ATAATGAGGAAAATATCCTTTACCACCTTCTAATTTAAAAGTTTTAGGAAATGACGCCAGTGGTAGCTGAATAAAATTCAAACTGTCTATGAACCGTATCGAACCACCGCATGTTATCGATAATATTTTCATACCTTGCTTTATAACTTTTGGCTGCCAGCGTGATATATTCGAAAAAATGTGTTGTAGTATAAAAGCTCCGTCGAAATTTTTCATGTTGTGTGCAATGGCTGTCACAGCGAAAATCTTTGACATTTTGGCAATGTGTTCCATGAGCTGTGATACAGGCTCATTATTAAAAATGTATTGGCGTTGACCACATACACCACAATTTTCGCTCATATCATCGTTCGACAAGCACTTTTTACATATTTGCTGCGTTACACATAGATTTGGTTCATGCAGAAACAATTTTTCACCAATTTTTTTCTCTTGTCTCGTTTCAAAATCAAAAAAGATGAAAAGAAAATTATTATTTCTACCAAAATGTGCTTCATTGTTGTTACGCGTAACTTTGCAAGGGTGCATGTAGCAATCGTGCCTAATATCCTTATCCTCTTTGCATGTGTTACAAAATTTTTTTCCACACTTGTGAGTACTCTTTTTTTTGTTTTTTGGTGTAATCTCGGCGTGACAAGTACTACAACGCTTTATACGATCGCAAGTCTTGGCTTTTTTATGTTTATTTAAACAAATCTCCCCTTTAAAAACCCTGTTACACATATTACAACTTATTACATTTGGGTCGTCGTTACATGGAGGCGACGTTAGGCAACACGGGCATTTAAACGGACAATTTTTATGGCGTTCTTGCTGGGAATACTTCGTCAGACAATATTCGCAGAAAAATCGCGTTGCGAATGCACCAGTCAAACTTAAAATTACATTATAATGTTGATCTTCCAATAAAAGGTTAATCCTCGGCTTGTTGATATTATAATCCCCTTTAAAATATACCGACGTTCCGTCGCGTTTATTATAAACAACTATTATATAATCTTCTTTAAAGTAATTTTGAAACCGCTGAATTTCAGCGTGTCCGCCCCCATGTGTTATATCAACATTTACTCTTTGACAAAGTGCCTGAGCTAGATTTAGCAAATCTATTTTACCCTTTTTTGTTTTAAATTTCTGTAGCACCTTTCTATTGCAACCGTTAGCCGTATACTCAATAGCAACAATTAGAGACGCCGCTAGGCAAAAATTGTTCACATCCACAACAAAAATGCTGTTTTTTGCGATACAAAATTCTTTAAAATTCACGCACTTACCATCCAGTGCGGAAAATCCTCTACCTAGTGGCATATCAATCACATCTATGCGGATAGTCATCTTATCGTTAGCGAAAAAGCTAGCGTTGCTTTGAATGATAGCGCTAATGATGTCCATCACCACGTCCGCGCTCAGCTGTGATAGTCTTCGAAAAGAAATTCCGGCAGGTTTGTCTGGAAATTCTTCATTTTCGATGACCACTCCAATCATGCTGGTGGGTTGAAATCCACGGGTAATATAATCAAGTAACTCTTGAAACGCATTCTGAAACAAACGTAAATTTTAATATTTATTTATTTATTTTTTTTTGTATAAAATACCTTCAACCAATTTTGTGGTATCTCGTCATCGTTCACATCTTTAAACGAAAATTCCATCCGTCTTGCCGTTAGCCCAAATTTACGTATGAACGCCTCACACTCGCCTTTTTCATTGAAATATTTGTGATCTCCGTTTACTGCGAAATAATAATAGTTATTATTATTAATGATCACTTATTTATTAATGTTATTATATTCTATTACCTGTATCGCTTCTTTCCCCTGCACCTCTTTGAACATCTGATGTTTCACTTTCGTCACCTTCTGTAGCCCCTAAAACGTTCCGTATTATTAGCTGTTATGAATAAATGTTCATTTTCAACATACCTTTTGACCATGTCGATGTCGATACATTTACTACGCTAGCTTCTTCTTCATCGACATCAGTTGATTGCGTTTTGTATGAATTATTATTACTGGTGCTATTGTTCGAAAAAGTCGCATTCACGACAGCCTTATCGCTGGACCAACTAGCATCAGGTGAAGATTGATGGGCAGTAGCAATGCGAGATTCATGCTCTATAAATGAGCGAAATTGGTTTTCCAAGTTATTCTTCTGTTGAATCTCGACATTATTGATGCACCCGTCCTTCTCGGCTTCGAAAATTTCTGTTAAAAAATAATAATATTATTTAGAATTTTTTCTTAAATCAATTAATTAATTAATTTAGGATATCAGCTATTATCAACTTACCCAATTGTCTTATTCTTCCTAACAAAAGACCATATGACTTTCGATCGTTGTTGTCCAAAACCGCATCCTTATATATAATTCGATTATTTATATGATCCCGCACAGTTCGCAGAATTTTCAAATTTTCAAAAAAACCACTCGCGAACATCGTAAATATTTGAACAATCTGCAGGGTTTGCAAAAATTCTTCAAATCCTGTATTCATTTTGCGTTGACACAATCACAACTATCACAAATTAACGTTCACTATCACAAACCGTAGCGGCAGACACAATTTTGTCAAAACTAAAAAAATATAATTCTACAATAGGCAAACAAGGTAATATATAGAAAAAACCAATGAGGGTGGGGTAAAAAAAGTGGTAGGAATCAGATAAACCCTATTGGCATTTATCGAGAGCTAAATGGTACATGCGCCGTTTACCCATGACTCAATACACGGAAATCTGTATCCGAAATAACTGTCGAATTAGTTAAATCGTCTGAAAAACGAAGATGCCAAAAACCGTCGACTTGCCCTTCGCAGATTTGCGGTAATGCACTCCGGCGCCTATTTTCTATTACTCTAGACTGAAAGGTTTTCTTATCATTGCTTGACATCAAATATTTCCGTCTTTGCAAGTCGCGACAGGACTTACAGTGACTGTGTCATCTTAAATTGACGAAAAAATGAAAGATGCCATAAACGTCGACTTGTCCATCGCAGATACTTAAAACTATTTGCGGTAATGCACTCCGGCGCCTATTTTTCTATTACTCTAGACTGAAAGGTTGTCTTATCATTGTATGACAACAAATATACCCGTCTTTGCAAGTCGCGACAGGACTTACAGTCACTGTGCCATCATTTGGGGATCTGACTAAGTGGCTGGGTAGTGAAACATTTCTATGTAAAGTCATTTCTTCAAAAATATTTAAATGTACGGAACAATGTACATTGTCGGCTTAGTTAAATCATCTGGAAAAAGGTACTCACCGACGTCTCAGGCATTTAAAAGGGGTAATGCAATATTGGCGCCTTCTTTGTTAGTATAGACAGAAAACTTATCTTAACTTTACATCATCTACTTCTTTAAGTGCATAAGTAATTGTCTCTGCAAGACCTTAGAGGACTTAACATTCTCTGTGTGATTACCTGCGAGAAGGTATTAGCATAGTGGCGCCCAATGTTACTCACAAAGAAAATTTAACTTTCGGCAAAATTGTAAGACTCGTACCTACCTGTCGTTACCCTATCCCTCCCTTTGTCATCCCTCTGAAAAATTAGTTTTACTTTAAACTTTAGAAAATACAGACGCTCTTATTCATTCAGCTTCGTAGTACCGTGTGTTATTCCTGAGAACGATATGGCCAACAGTAAGTTTTTAAGAATGTAATTTATTCTCATTTCTTATAAGTTTTTTTCTTTTTTTCTAGATCTGTGCATTATATTATTTTCCATCAGGCGGAAGGCCCCGTCTAGAAATGATCTTCGCAAAAGATTTATATGTCGGTTTTGTGCAAAAAACCATAAAGGACCAATGTGGATAGGCCACATCCATACGTTGGCGAAGGTATATTGCGCTAGGTGCAATGTACAAATTGTAACAAGTCGGAGATTCGTTTGCCAAGGTAGACAGCTTGGATTCACGGGCGGTAGATTCAACTACACCCACTTCGTCAGAGAGCGATATTATCCACTATCGGATGAAGAAGACGACGGCGACAGTGGTGTAGAATTGTGATGTGTGTAACTATATGTATGTATGTATATAAATATAATTATTATTATTATTAATATGTAAACCGGCTGTTCGGTAATAAAAATATCTATTTAAATTTAAATTATTTAAATTCTATATCAAGTTAACACTGATCTAATTAAATTTTAATAATGGTATAATTAATTCAATTACGTTCGCGATTAAAAATTAAAGTGGTTAACGACTTCGGAGAGGGAGTACAACAAGAAAATACATGCAGAAACAAGTCTGTGCTTGTAGATGATGACTCGTCTGCAAAAAGTGCGTCGTCGGTATGTCTTTAATAACAAAAAGCTAATGGACAAACATCATAATGAGATGTTGCCGTGGGGCTAGTGATTAATGACTTCGGAGAATGGGTATAACAAGAAAATACATGCAGAAACAAGTCTCTGCTTGTAGATGATGAGTCGCTTGCATAGAGTGCGTCATCATTATTGAGCTATTGGCACGGGCTAATGGTCATTACGATCTAATTTTTAGTTAATAATGCAATCGATCAAAGAATTATCAAAACGCTTCAGATATTAACCCACATCAAATCGTATTATATTCAGAATGAATTAATGATGGTGTAATTAGTATTTTAATCATTGATTCAATTGCGTAATCTTAAAACATTATCGTCTTTATGTACATATGCATGCAACCCGCAATACACAATTAAAAATATATATTTAAATTTAAATTATTTAATTCCGATATCAAATTCATAGTGATCTAATTAAATTTAATAATGATATAATTAATTTAATTACGTTCGCGAATAAAAATTAAATTATGAGTAATCAAAATCCATTAAGATCATTATCTTGATTGACAGCACACGTCAAAAATCCATTAAGATCGTTATCTTGATTGACAGCTGTCAAGATAACGTCACCTGTCAACATGATTTATTACCCCACTAATCCTAGGCACTATCTACTTATATTTTTTATTCATAGCAGAGTTTTTAATATAAATACTTACTTTTGTAACTTTTCTTCTTTACGTCTGATTCTCAAACGCTAACAGCAAATGTCTGAAATTTTATTTTCGTACGTCTTAATATACTCTCCTTTCCATGTGTAATTCATATTTCCCTGAACAATAGTTTCCACCAACCTTAGCTAGATTTACGTCTTTTGATGGAATATTCATCACTTTGGCGATTACGTATCGCAAACAATTTTTTTATTTAAATATAAGAATACTGCATTATTAGAAATTTTATCTTTGGAGACCTTGTTCACGACACTGTTAAAAACAATGTGTAATTCTGAATCGTTAAATGAAGTATGCGCAGAACTGTTAAGGTAACAAGGTCAAAATTATTTAATTTTTTCTAGAATTTTTACGCTGTTAAAGAAGTGTTGGTGAAATCATAACTTTAATCTAAAAACCGGCCCTAAAACTGTTTGTTTTTAGCACCAATTATTTCACTACGTTACTGGAAGTATTAAAACTTGTCTCATTTTAAACTTTAATTAGTGTATAGATTTTTCTAAAAAAGCTTTTGATTATTATAATTAGTTGTTACTTTAAGCTAAACTAAGCCTCAATGGTGATAAATAGTTATATATTTCTATCAGGATTAACTTTTACTAATTTAATTAAACACATTTTACGGTAAAATTTAGTGGAGACGCCACATTATTAAACACCCTTAGTAATTGAAAGTATGCTATGAAAATGTTAAATACACACTTCCTAGAAAAGAAATATTGACCTTAAAGTCGTAGTTATGGTTGCTAATATTTTTATATACGTAACATTAACTTTGATGCAAGCAGGCTATTTTTAACATTATTTTGAACAATGTAAATGATTAGGGATTAACAAGGAATGTTGTTTATAAATATTTAGTTATGCAAGTGTAGGTTACAGTTACACCAAGTTAATGAATTTTCATAAATCAACCGCACTATTTACAATACAAATTCAAACTTGCAGTTTAATCAAGTTTAAGTTTTTTGTTTTTTTTTTTGTTTGTATTGTCCAAAAAGATATATTCCCGTACTTCAGCCATGTCGGCGAGAACAAGCTTTTCGTAGTATTTTTAAAATGTACGTTTCAGACTGACGAATATATTCGTTGAAAAAAAAAAATTATTTCAACTTGTTTAAATGTTTTTTACGAAATACTTGGGACGGTTTATTTTCAGTTTTCATTGGAACAGCTTTTCTAAAGCAAATACATTTTTTTAGAAGTGCTTTCATAGTATATACCTGAAATTTGAATAGTCAAAAAACCCACAGTTTATTAAAACCTCACTTTATTTATTTGCTCCTATCTAAACAAACAGAAATCACTCCATATAACAAATACCAAACATATTTTTAACATAGAAGAAAGTGCTGTATTTACATATATGATAGGTACATAACAATAACACCGTTGTGTACAACCAATAACAAAATTATATAAATCAGTCGATACGAATCTCCTTATTGAGCAAAACTCATCGTTACTTATTCCTTCCATGATGTCCGTTCCCTCTAACTTCCACTGCTGAATAAGCCCTGTACAACTTCTGCGCACTTACTTCCCACCCATTAATAGGCGGCGACTTGTGTCTCACCCCGTTCGCAACCCCATTCGCCTTACTCCCGACCCCGTAGACGTACCTCTCAGCCTGAGGCAACTGCACATTGATATTGTGCCTCACGGTATTATTACTATCACTACTATCAATTGAGGAAGACAAGGAATTCATCACTTGCAAATTCTGGAATGGCAGCGCACTGCTTATGGAAAAATCCTTGGAATTAACATTCCTACTGTCAACTTCTTCGCTTCTACGTGTACCGTTTTGTGTGATCGCGTTCATGATTTGGTTCCTAGAGGCACTCTTCTCCTTTTGTTCTTCGAGGGGAATCCTGGGGTCGATCGGCGGTATGTAATAGTCAGGTGCTTTCCTCAAGCTCACCACAGAAGCCCTTCTATCCTTTCGTCGATGCCTGCTAGACTCGTGTTCGTACCCGTTAGCCTTAGGGTGACCCACAGGCCCCCTGGCTTCCACGCGCTCTCCCGCAGGACCCGTCTGGTTATCGTGGATCCCGATATCCTCCTCACTCAACTCCTCCAACTCCTCCTCGTTCTCTTCTTCAATCACGCTCGACTGAATCCACTCCCGGATTCGGTCCTTTTTCGCACTTCTATCAACCGTAGTCTCCAGCCCGTACTGCGTCAAAGAAAAAAGCAGCTTGTTTTTCTCTTCAGGGCTGCTGTGGAAACTGTACATAGACGGGCACAAACCTTCGTCTTCGTTTGGAAGCTCGCTGCTCTTCTCCATTCCGCCCTTGGACATCCACCGGTCTTCTAGGAATCGATAGACTTCTGCTAGTCCTGCCGGGCGTTTCTCGGGTTTGGGTTCTAGGTACTTCTTGAAGAGTTTCTGGGCTTTAGAGGAGACCAGTTTGAAGAGTTTGGGTTGTCTTTTGATCGGGATGGTGCTGGTCTGCCAGGAGTGGTAGCGGGAGTAGCGTGGATCGTCGAGGGCAGCTTTCTGCCAAGGGAGGCAGCCGGTTAGGCAGACGAATATCACAATGCCGAACTGCCAGACGTCGTGGGAGGTGTTTGTCCTGAAAAGGAAGACATTTTATATTTCTAAAGGTTATAGATCAAACCGTGAAAGCACAATTAAACTGACGGAAAATGAAAATTCAAAGTGAAAACGGACAAATTAAAGAGAATTGTTGAATTTTAAGGAATAAATCAGTTAGAGTGAGTTAAAAATGTTTTTTTTGTCAATGATTGTGGCACTAACATATAGCTTCCATCCGTTGTCACCTGCAGCACCTCTGGCGGAGCGTACGGGAGCCATTCGTTCCTCCTCATTACCACGGTTCCCACGCGCCTCGTTTCGCCAAAATCACACAATTTAATACGCGAAAAGTCCGACTTAAACACTAAAATATTGTCTAATTTTACATCACGGTGCACCAAATCGCGAGTATGGAGGTGTTCGAGAGCTGCTGAAAGCTGTTTGGCCACGCGTTTTGTGTGGAGTTCGCCGATGCCGGTGTCGGACACATTGGAAGTTAGGTCACCTGAAAATAGAAAAATCACTAACAAAAAAAGTGGTGGTTTTCTGGCCACTGTGATCTTATTTAGAACGTAGGTATTCTTTGAAACCAAATTTATATCGTGAAACGCAATTAAACAAACGTCAATCACTTTCCTCCTTGCAATCAATCAACTTTAAGTCTTTTATTGATAGTTTATATGCACTTTACAATCGACGGGTAAAAATAGACGGAACGTGTTTCAGCTGTTTGCCAAGAAATAAATGTGAGTTTTTACGAATTTCAGTCCCAATATTAGTTTTTAATGTAGTTTTCAAAAGCAATGACGAAATTTGTCACACCGGTTTTAAATCTGTGTTCCTCTAATACGAGACGGTGCAGCTGATTTAAAATTTTTGTAGGTTCAATTAATTAAAATCAAACAGTTTTACTTCGTGACAGGAAATATAAAAAAAAAATCTCAATAACACGCTATTTTACTAAAAAACAAGCTTTACACGTAATTGATATAATTGAGCCTGCGGTTCATTCACCCAAATAAGCAAAAAATAATTACGAACTCTCCCCTCCAAAAGCCGGAAAGCGCACTCGTCCTTTTTCCAAACCCTCACATTACTCTAAATATACCTAGATATTTCTTATTAGAATTTATATTTAACGTAAAGGTTGTTACCCGTTATGAGATCAGCGCTCTAATCTAATTTTATCCCTTCTTTATTGCCGAACAAAAGGAATCAGCGGAAGAGTCTGGAAATACTCCGAACCTACCCAAAGGGGCGTATTCCTGCGAGAAAACGTAAAAGCCAGCCGTTTCGAAGGACACATCGTACGTCGTGATGATGTTCTTGTGAGCTCCTAGGTGGAGACCGTAGTGGAACTCTCTGTAGAAGTCCTTGATGGCCGTGTAGGGTTTGGGTAAGGCTTTCAGGACCATTTCAGTGTCGGTGGCCTTGTGTTCGACTAAGAGGATTTTGCCGAACCATCCTTCGCCCACGATCTGGAGAATGTCAAACTCGTCGCCTAAATTTACCTGAAATTAGAAAGATCAGAGTTAACTCACTGGTGTTGTCGTTGATAAATTTCTGTTTGTAAACGTTGTTATTAAACTATGGAGATTTAGATGTTTGGAGCTTTTTTGTGAAAGAGTGGAATGTTTCAGTGAGTCATGTTTGTTTTTTAGACTTTGTGATGTGGGTTGTTGACAAGAACTAAAACCGTATTGCTTTTGAATCCACAGCAGTTAAAGAGAAGCTTGACTCGGATGATTTTATATTTATTAATTGACAGTGGCAGAATTTTTCTTTCTGTGTTAGTATTTAATGGACAATTTTGGATTGATACTTTGTTGATCTGGTGATGATTATATCTTGGCTGTTTTGAATTCGAAAGAATCCATGAAAAGTTAAAGCTGCGGGAGCGTAGTGTGAATTATGGAGGTATCCTGACATTTTGGAGACAAATTAAGATCATATTAGCCAATACTCTGCAGTGAAAAAATAGCTATCTTTAGGAGTGAAAAGTAACTCTGAAACTTTGAATTTGGCAAAATTTCTAAAAATACACTTAACAAAAAATGTTGTGTAAGAATAACATACGTACATACATTGTAAATCTTTTTATAAAAATAAACCTTCACGTCTTTTTGTAAGTTTCTTTATTTATTAGATATATGACAACGAGCCAAGCTTCATGTGAGAAGGTTGTGTGCAATTTATTTATAATCCAGGATTTTGTATTTCGAAAATAAACAAAAAAATCAGGAAGTGAAAAAGTCAGTGCAAATAAATTACAGAAATCATATCTGAATGATTCAGAAAACAATAAATTACCAAATTACAATAAATAAGATGCTGCCAACTTTGGTGGAAATAAATAAACAAAAATAAGAAATGACAGGGAAAAATTATAACATATTTGTACATATGACCTTGTATTTCATTAACTACAGCAATATTTTCTCTCAAGTTGCGATATACCAAGGTGTTAAATTCTTTAGATGTTGCGGACGTGCACAACGTGTTGTGGCTTCCAAATTATAAACAAAAATCTAATTCATAAAAAGAAAACAACAAACAAAAATGAAACACTATAGAAAACGCGATGAAATTTAAACAAGAAACTTCAACGGTACATCAGAAAATTGATAAAACTATATATTAATATAAATTAATGTGAAAAAGAGTCAAAGGAGTGAAAAAAGTAGATTATAAGTATAAAGCAAAATTCAACATATAAAAAATTCAAAAATTCGTCTGAAGCTATTCAGACAGAACTTCCCTCACAGGTGAAGCTATTTTAAATACGATTCACTTAGTACATTTTTAAATAACGTCATGAAAGGTTTTGGTGGGGATAGGTAGGTAATTAATTTTTGGTAGAGATAGTGCTAAATTTAGTATCGAACAGACGTCAAAAAAAAATGAAACACATTATATAGTTCTCGAAAAGGAAAAACGAAAATGATTCGATTTTTAAAATGTTAAGTAAAGTTTTATTTTTATTATCTTAAAACTTCAATAAACACAGTAAGGTGATTTAGACAACAAATTGGAAATTTTTTCTCCATAAAATATTATAACAAAATTTTATAAATTTGAACAAAGAGAAAAGTCAAAATTTTTAGTGTAATAATCAATGGCACCGAAAACATCCGATTTATAAAAAACAGACAGTGAGATAATGATGATAATACATTGGTAAAAAAAAAAATAAATTTGTAACTTAGAACCTAGTAAGCACTAAAAATTTCGAAAACTAACGTTTTTTTCTTGATGAATTATTGATCATCATTGCATGAAACTGCACAAGTTTTTATCTAACTTAAACTAACTCCCAACTATTACTATTTCCAAGGTCAGAACAGTGAGAAACTGTATAAACACCACCCCGCATAATTTATTACTTAACCTGATTTTAAACGTAACCATAAATTTCCCTCTTTTGCTTCGTGCGCAGTACCAAGCGAAAATTCGTCAAATCATCCACATCTGCGAAAATCCTGAATTTATTTCACCCACAAATCTGATAAAGTGGTGACTGTTTGGGAAAGTCTACAACGTAACCCTGAAAATGAACAGCGAGCCAAGAGCCAAGCATTTCGTCTATTTTCGAAACAAGCTGCTGGCATAACAATGCCATGATGGTGAGCAGCGGCGTTCGCAATAAAAATATTTTTTTGATTATTGGATCCAGCGTTCCCTTGTTTACTCCACACACTCGCACGATTTCTCAAAGTTCTTTCGGACCGAACCATCCTCAAAGTCCGCATTTATTTATATAAAAGTTCCACAGCACCGTATCAAAATCGCTCGAGAGGACGTGATGCTTTCATTTGGCACACGTCCGTTTCGAGTGTAACTAAATCATTTTTATATTTTTTTCGTCCTCTGCTTTGCGTAAAAATCGCGCCTTGTCGGACGTAATAATACTCTCGTTTGAAAATATTCTGGATAATTGCCATAATCTCGCGTCTAGACGTTTGTAGAAACGTTTCCGGAGAAGATTCTCTCTTTTTCTAATCGATCAGAATACAGGCGTTGAACTCGGTCCAAATTGAAAAATAATGATCATCGGGAGTGGGTCTAAAAATACGGAACTTCTTGCAGACTGTTACTCACTTTTTCAAGTTCAAATTCCCGGATTCGATGTATGCTTCCTCCTAGCGATTTTTTCATCAGACTTCCCATAGCTATGTGACCTGCAACGGAAAAGTTGCTTTATTCATGAGGAAACTGCTTAATTGAACTTGACAAAATAAATACAGCTGTGGTGCATCTGTGATCCCATGGAGTTAACAGTGTAATCTTCCGCAACTTGTAATTGGGTTTGTTTTGAATGCGGCGAATGTAAATTGTGGAAAATGGGACGGAAGTAGTCGAAATTGTCACGGTTTGTATTCTGGGATTTTAACGAATCACTACATAATTATAAGAGGCTGCTGAATTTTATTTGGAAAATTTCCGAAAGCTAATTGGCAGCGTGTTCCTTGCGCAAACAATTCGTTTGCAAGTTTTTTTGTGGAATTGATCAGCTAACTTGGAGACGACGATCAAAAACAATTATGTTGAAGATATTTATTACGGAATAAGATGTGTAGATACCAAAATCTTAGAATCTTAATGTACCGTTTGTATTCGTGATTAGGTGTAAATTAATTTGCAAGCGGCTCTTGTTTTCCGTTACTCCCTATAATTTGCAATTTTTCTCAAGCACATACCTATATTTCATACTAAGGTAGGTTTTAAATGGTAAATTTTACCCATTTATTTATAGATATACTTGACTGGAAAAAAGAAAGATTTTGGGATTTAAACATTAGATTTTTTACCTTATCGAATCTGGTGTGGCAAAAATTAATGAGAATAAATTTTGTTTTTGTTATAACCTACATTTCACCATGTCACTTTAGATGTTTTTAGCTTCTTCCATGACAGTTACTAGAAGAAGGTGAAATTTTTGAAGCAGAGTATTTTTTTCGAAAACGGTCAGAAATAGTCTTTTTTATTCAAATTAAAAAATACTGCTTATAGTAAATTTGTATGAAATTAAATTATCTGCTAACAATTTTAAAAATGTTATACGTTTTAGGATTTCTGCGTTGTTCTTCTATCACCTCAAAAAGGTTATTAAATAAATGTTTAAGATAAAGTTGAAAACTTGAACTAATTTCTATATAGCCATTAATTTTATGAAAATAATAAAATTCTATGGTACAAAAATAACTGCACTCTACAAGTTTAAACTTTACGCCTACAAAATTATAAATCATCACCACTCTTGTATAAATTTGGGTCTAAAAAACAAACCATAATATTAAGCCTGAACTAATAAACAATCTAAGTATTTTTGTTTGACATTTTTTGACGTTTGTTTAAATATAATTTTAAAACGATATTTCGGAAACCTTTGCGAAAATTTTGACAGCCATATTTCAGTAACGTATAATAAATACAAAAAGCATCTGTAGAGTTTAAGAGAAATTTATGTTAGATCAGTTTTTGTTTTCTAAAATTTCTAGTTAACTAACTCACTTAACAATGATTAACAATATTCCAAAAAACTATAGCAGTGTCGTAATGCCTTCAAAAGCTCTGTGTTAAAATTTAAAATATTGTTGAGATTTTTAAATCTAAAGCAGCACTCATTGACAATAAGTTTAGTTTTTCTTTCTGTTGTAGGCAAGTCGACATTTTTTTAGGTAAAATGTGGTTTGTAACAAAAATATACCAGACATGTTTATTCTTTCGATACTCCACCAACAAACATTGTCATTAAATAAAACCTAATCGCCATAATTCTATTTGTATGTACGTCATTTAAAATAATTCACTTCATACAAACGTGCATTTTTTCATATTTATTTTAGATAAGCAAATTTTGGCTGATGATCAAAATCTTCCTACGCAGAATGAAAACCCTGAAACTTATCATCTAATTGTCAGCGGAGTGATGTAACATGCTTTCCTTTATTTCACTGTTATTTTTAAGATGGTCATATGTTATCATGTGTTTTTTGAAAAATTTCCTAATAACTTTACGTTGCTTATAATCATAAACATATAAATCAGTTTTCATTTAATTCAACTGTTTCATTCATTTTTACTTTTGTAGTATAATAGATATGTGGGAGTAATTTTACCGATAGCACATTTATTGTCATAATTTGTAAAGTTTAAATTTATCATGTTGAAACTACAGGGGGTTTCATTTAGAACTGCAGATCGTCAAAAACCATAATATGCATCAGTGAAATGTCAACCCGTGAAAGTAAACGAGCTATAAATACGAAAATTTGATTAAATCATTCCATTATAGGACCTTTTTTATTTAATTGCTTTTGTGTACCTGAACCCATTAAAGTCATCGTAAACTTTAACAACCTGACACTGTTTATTTACACTTTAGAAACTTAACACCGAAATACGCCAACATGAAATTATTACTGTGTTCGTTTCAAACAAAACAAAACAAAAATACTACGTTGGCTCGTAACCCCGTCATACATTCCCTTCTTAAATCAAAACCGACCTCTTCACTTTCTAAATGTCCCAATCTCACACGGCACTTCTTGTAGCCATGAACGTCACTTAATCGCGAAAAAACCAGCCCAATCCAATTTTCGGCTCTTTCATCGTCCCGATATAAAACCGCGACAATTCGGCTTTTTCTGACATAAAACGCACCCGAATTACGGAATTCCAAAAGCGCAACAGGTGTGCGCCGCCTCCGAAACCCTCAATTACCTCAATTCATCCGATGATCACATAATCCTCACATGTGTGCACACTCCAATAAAAATAATCACTCATAACACGCCGGATTCACTCTATTTCTGCACGAGTTCGAGGTTCGAAGAAGACACGCACGTCGCGCCGGCTACGAGCAACTGTCAGCGTCGCGACGCCGGGGCTCAGTCACTTAGGCGCTCTACCAGCAAAAGCGCTGGCATTCAAATGTAGGACAGGAGGGGTATTTATGGCAGGAGTGCAGTGGGAGCGGCGGGGGGCTGACCAAAGCGGCCGTATATTTGTGTGCAAGGGGGCGAAGTGATGGGTCTGAGGACAAGGAAGTGGCGGATCTGGGAACAGGTGGTGTTTTCCAGTTTTTATTTTCTTATCCCTGAATTACAAACTTTTTTATACAGAGTGTTTTAAGACAATATTGCCACTAACTTTTTTATGAGGATAAGCTACTGAAACATAACATGTTTTTATACCAGAGGCATAGAAATAACTGTTGGATGTGTAAGCCAATGGATGTTAAGTCAGGTCAAGTTAACACAGTTTTAGTTAAGTCAGCTTAGTTCATGGCAGCTCCCACCAAATTTCAAACTAATGATTTAAATTTGTTGATAAACAATATTTATTGAATAAAACACACTTTTCTTAACATGTATTTATTAATTTATTTATTTATTTACAAACTGTACAGGACGCACGTTACATAAATACATCAGACCACACAAATCACAGATCATTTCTCAGCAAACTGCTTTAAATCACGCTTCTGGGGCTGTACATCCGGCATCTTCTGGTTTTCGAGGACCCCTAGATCAACTGGCTCTAGATTTGGCTCAGACAACTTACACAACATTTTAATTATGGGTTTTTCAGTACTTGTGGACTTACTTAACTCCTCGCACACTTCCTTTACCGCATTGTTCAAATTTTCCATTTTGCTGTCACTAACTTCCCTCTTCGTCCTTGCTTTCGCCGATTCGCTCTCTGACAGGATATCCCTTCGCATTGCCTTAACATCCGATTCTTTCTTATTAGTCTTATTCTTTGCGTCCATTTCCACCACTTTTGCTTCAAGCGTGGCGTTGTTTAGTTGCGCTAGAACTATCGGCAGCGGTACCATTTTGACTTTATCTTGATCCTTTATCTGTTTTGGTTTCAAGTTCACTTCTACGACCCCGGTTTTGTTATCACCAGTTTTCTCTTCTTTACGTTCCGTAATTTTTTCCCCTCTTTGTTCAACTTTTTTGCGGTCCGTTTTCTTCTCTTCAGGAATAGGACCAGGTTCTTTTGCAGCTAAACTTTCTTCGTCTTGCTTGTCCATATTTTCTGGGGCGTTTTTGTTATCTTTTCCACTAATGCTCTCTATTGCTCTTTTCGCTATGTCTTCAATCTGCTTCACGGCTTTGACTTTCTCCTCGTTCACTTTATCAACATCTTGGTTCTCTTGATGCTTCTGAATCACTTCAATTAGCTTCTTCTGCTGCTCGACTATCTCCTTCTGAACCTCGTTCTGCTTCTGTATCGTATCTAGAAGAATCTGATTTGGGTCTTTCTCTTTTTTGTCTTCTTGTTCCTTTAATTCACTCTCTTCTTTTTTAATGGCTTCGATGTCAACTTCCTCGCTCTTCTTGACCTCTTTCTCTTTCTTCGTTTCATCGGGAACTTCGACAGGCTTTTTTTCGTTAATCGCCTCTTTTATAACCTTCTGGATTGTTTCTTTTTGGCGCTGTTCTTCAAGTTTGTCGTCTGCTGGCTGTACAGGTTCCACCACCGGCTCCTGCTTGTCGGTTTTCTCAACTTTCTTCTCTTCAGTCTTGCCGGGTTTTTGTGTTTCTTGGTTTTCTACCGGTTCTTCGGGTTGAGGCGGCTCATGACGCACCTCTTTGGGACGTTCTTCTTTCTTGGGTTGTTCAGGGGGTGGTGCTTCAGCCAACTTCGGTGGTTCATCGGGCGGTTTTTGTTTCTTCTCCTCGGGGATAACTATTTTAACTGAACAAAACAATAAACGGGAATGGTACGTGGGAGGTAACTTACTCGTTGTGGGTATGTCCATCACGACAGGTTTCTCGGGTTCCACTATATTAGGTTTGAGAGCGACCTGCGGCACCGGTGGTACTTTTTCAGTTACAATGTGAAAGTTTTTAGCTTCTTCGACGGCTTGCAAGTTGGCGTAGGTTCCTAAAACCATGACGATTACGCCCACAAAAAGCATAATCTTAAGTAAATGATTAGGCTGTGCTTAGATGATTTTCAAAGCTACCAACCTGGGCTAAAATTCGTTCGTTGGTGTTTTTAGGTGAAATGCAGATGAAACACGTTACGGGAAAAAGTACGCAAATCATAACCCCGATTGTGGATCCTATCAAACCTAAAACTAACTCAATACTAGGTATCATGATCCCGATAATGAGCGAAACTGATACTACGACGAGAGTTAACATTTTGAATTTTCCTTCAGGAATGTAGTTGGTGGCGCCACCTTCATGAAGGTTAGTATATGAAGTCTAAAATTACAGATTTAAAAAGAGGCAGAGTAAAAAGTTTATTGTTACCCCTTTATAGAGAAGAGAGTAGAGGCTAGCTCTGCATGGAAAAATGACCAATGGAAAACTAAATCCTAGTGACAAGACAAAACCCAACTTTATTACGTCACTGGTGATGGTTGGTGTGAATGTGAGCAAGACGTTTCCAGTGAATGGTTTTTGGAAAAATGCAATATATCCAAAAGCTCCCACGAAAATGTAAACCCAAGTGCACATATTCACTGCCACTCTGATCATACTGTTCATTTTTTCTAAAGATGCGTTTGGTAGAGCTTGGTAGATTTCAAACAGTTGCCTACAAATAACATAAATCAGTTCTTCCTTTAAGTGTAACTCTAATAAGAGAACTAGAAAGACAATTTACTCTAACTATAAGAAATAACCACAGGAAACCATGGGAAATGTTTTTTTTTTATAATTACGTTTGACAGAACAACGCCATGGAAAATATCGGCAAACACTGCAGAATCCCAGCTGGTCGCCACAAAATTACTTCGCTAACCCAATCTCCTGTGAAGATATGTGGAAGTGCTTCAATCACTATTTTCAGTACCAAACAACAATAAAACCCTATCGTAGCAGTGGAAACCCCATTCAAGCTATCTACATTTCGCAGCAATCCCAATGGTAAGACACAAAACACAGCCAAAGCTACCAGTGTACTATTTCGTAGCGCATTTCCAATGCGGACGCCAGTTATTTCAGACAGAATCGCAGGTCCCAAGTCTCCCATCACGACAAAAAATGCAACACAAGTGCCCAGCAGAAACCCTATCATTCCAATCTCTATCGAAAATTTCCCCAAACTCCCAAAGATGTGGAATGCTAAAAACTCGAAAGTTTTCCTTCGGGCGAGAATTGCCGACTTAAGTAGGAAGTGGCAGGCCAGCCGGGATATGATGCTGCTTATCAGAAGTAGACATATGGAAAGAAGAATGCCACACTGAAAAAAAACATGTTAGGACGTGGCCGAAGTGGTGGATGGAAGTAACCTGTCTGAAGCAGTACGGCATCGCTAGAATGCTGACACCTATTATACTGTTCGCTAGGTTTATGGTGTGTCCGCTTGCGTTGTCCATTTTTAAAGTTTGAATTCAAAAAATAGATAAAATTTTTGTTTACATTTCTACGACGGATTGACAGTGACGTGTAAATGTCAACGAAACGTCAACAGAGGCAGTGGTTCTGAAAATGTGCACTGAGCTGACAGTACTTGGCGCAAACCAACTTCTAACGACATAAAAACTTAATTATTATTATTATTATGAGTACGACCAAGACATTACATTGAATTTTAGTCGTAGAAAACTAACAATACACCTACAGACTGCAAGGTCTGGAAATTTTTTGTTTTGAAACATTATTCATTCATTGAAGTCGTTTTTATTGTTGTTATTTCCTTAAAGCATTATTTCTGATTGCGTTTTACCACAAGCGTAATCAAATTCTGGTCGTTATCGTTCGCAGACACGTTCGGAACCACTGATATTGTAGCCCACTTCTGGATGGCGTTTTTAAAATTCCATTCGTCCGTCTCCCTCTCTCCTCAACAAAATCGTATTTGTCCATCTCTCTTTGCTTGGTTCGAATGGCTGCCCAAGTGTCAAAAGTGTCATATGATGTCAAAAGAATTTATAATTCGTGCGAAATTCGTGATTTATGGAATGTTTAATTTAGTCTAAATGTGAAACAAAACAAACCCAAACACCTTAGTCAAAATTCAACAATGGTATGTCGCCAAAAATCCCTCAAAAACTTTTAGGTTATATCAACGTTGTCCAAACAAAAGTAATCTCTGTGAATGAACTTTGCTGTTTCCAGTCGTATCAAGATGAAGAGGAAGGCGGTGCTTTCGACGGGCACGCGAGTTCGTTTCCTAAAGATTTTGGGTACGGGGCTTTCGACGGAGAACACGACGTGAACCTATCAGCTTCTGGCGAACAGAAACCTCGAATACTCCTCATGGGATTGAGAAGGTGGTTCGGTTTGACCGCAAAGGGAGCTCCTATAATTGTTTTCGTTTTACAGATCTGGAAAATCCTCGATACAGAAAGTCGTCTTTCACAAAATGTCCCCCAACGAAACCCTCTTCCTGGAGAGTACAAATAAGATAGTTAAGGATGATATTAATAATTCCAGTTTTGTACAATTTCAAATATGGGATTTCCCCGGACAGATCGATTTTTTTGATTCGTCGTTCGATTCGGATATGATTTTCGGGGGGTGCGGGGCGCTGGTTTTCGTGATTGATGCCCAAGTGAGGAATTACACTTTATTTATAAAACGAGAAAGTGTTCTAGAAACACTGTGTTTTTAGGATGATTATATGGAAGCTCTCAATAAACTTAACCTTACTGTTACAAAGGCGTATAAAGTGAACCCTAATATTAAGTTTGAAGTTTTTATTCATAAAGTGGATGGTTTAGGTGATGATTTCAAAATGGAGTCACAGAGGGATATTCATCAAAGAGCTACAGATGACTTGGCTGATTCAGGTACATTTTTTTGCTGCACTGCATAAAACCTTTTTCACATTGAATATATTTTTATATCTATGATATTACCTTTTTCCCTTTTTGTTCAATTTGTAATAGATACTGTGTTGTATGATTTAAAAATGATGACGGCATAAATATTTTTTTTATAATAATTAAAATTGTATCTCTGTTTTTCCAAAATATTTGAGACACTCATTTGTAGGCTATGACCAGATTCACCTCAGTTTCCACCTGACTTCAATTTACGACCACTCCATCTTCGAAGCTTTCTCTAAAGTAGTTCAAAAGCTAATTCCACAATTGCCCGCGTTAGAAAATTTGCTCAACATTTTAAACACAGTAAGTCTGTAAGCCACACTCGTGCTGCTTCTTAAGGACCCCTTTTTCAGAACTCTGCTATAGAAAAGTCGTTTTTGTTCGACGTGGTGTCAAAAATTTACATCGCCACGGACTCGACGCCCGTGGACATGCAGAGTTACGAGTTGTGCTGTGACATGATCGACGTCGTAATCGATGTGTCGTGGATTTATGGGTATTTATTTTTTATTTCAATGTGTATTAATCTGCATCAAAAATTAATCTGTTTATTTGAGTAGTCACGTTTTCAGTGTCAAAGAGGAGCAAGACCCGGCCGCTTTCGACGAACAGAGTTCTAGTCTTATTAAACTAAACAACGGTACAGTTCTCTATTTGCGGGAAGTGAATAAATTCCTGGCTCTAGTCTGCATTTTGCGAGAAGATAATTTCGACCACAAAGGTAAATTGGTGTTATTTTGTGGTATTCGTAAACTTTTTATTTGTTGCAGGTATCATCGATTACAATTTTTTGTGCTTTCGCGAAGCAATACAACAAGTGTTTGAGTTGAGAAACAAGTGCCAAGGTAACCCTTTGACAAACTCCGCGGGCAGCCCCATTGTTAATGGAAACAATATCATTGGAGAAAGACATCTAAGTCCAACGCTAACTGATGAAATAGGTAGCAAGTGAGTGTAAACAAATGTAAATAGGTACGATGTGCCTTTTATTTTACGGCGTTTTTTGTACGAAGTTGTTATTTTTATGTACATTGTTTTATTTTTAAATGTATATAATGTTGTCCTTCCATGTATTGTGCTATAGCCATTTTTAAGTTTTGTATTATGTGCACACGTTATGCGATAACGTAAACCTAAACCTACTGTATAGCTAAGCTTCAAATCATTAAAACCTTTATTACTTTGAACGTCGTTTTCTTCAACTAACCCAGACCCTTCTAAAGAAAGAGACCTGTATAAATTACGTTTACTCAAATAAAACAAAAATATACAAATACGCAACCTTCTCCTAATCGTCGTCGTCCTTCATACTATATCCGATCTGCTCCAAGTGTTTCTTCCTCAACGTATGCCCCTGCTCTCGCTTCCACACGTCGCTCAGTACTTTGTGTGCTGCCTTCTGGTCCTTGCAGTCACGTGAACTTCGCCCTATAAGCCATGTTCCTGTGACCGTCTCACTTCCCTCGCATGTTCGACATTCCCCTACAAATCTACCGAATAAACTACAAAAAGTCAGAAAAAAATTACGCGATTACCTATAAAAGTAGCTATATGTTTGTCCTTCTCGTGAACGGCCAGAGCGATCACCATCCCGGAATGCAGGAACGGAAGTTCGCCGAAGACCGTCCAGTTACCGTCGCACAAGAAACCGTCTTCGTTGGGCGGAATCCGGTCGGCCACGTGTATTCGGAATTTTTTTCGCGTGGAGTTCTTGTAGCAGATGTCGAAACGCATCCCGGCAGCGTCACTGATCCAGGAACCGTTGAGGTTACAAAGCACACCTAGAGCAAAAAGAGGCGTTAACTGACTGACTATCCTACTGCTTATGTTTAAGTTTTTCACTCCACTCCCACCTTTATAGTTTCTAGACAGTACTGTAAGTACCTTCTTTTTTGTTGCCTTCGTGCTTCCACTGCATCAACCCTTCCACATCCTCCAGTATCCTGTGCAGAACTTGGGTCTCTTCCTTTGTGTTATTGTCGCTTCCTTCCTCCTCTAATGCTGTTGGAGGCGTTCCGCTCGCCCCCTCTGCCCCTTTATCACTACCCACCGAAGCCGCCGTACTGCTCCCAATCGCTGACACCGGCGCCACAGAAGCTCCAGACTTTTCGTCTTTTGCTAGAGGTTTCTCCATTTCTTCAGACAAACTACCAAATTCCAAATTAAACAAAATTAAACTCGGCTTTCCACTTACGTTCTAGTTTTAATTAGCTTAACCCCCGGCGCTCTCATATTCAACGGAATAATCAAAGGTACCACAGTGTAGCCCTCTTGTTCCATGTTCAGCTCTTCGCTTCTCTTACTTTCCTTGATGTTCCTAAAAGGGACCAACTGACCGTTTTGTATCACGTATAGAAGATTTTCGTCGAGGTCCTGCGAACGCTTCTTCCTCGTGTCTTCTAGTTTGTCGGGGTTCTCATTTCTTCGTTTGTACCTTTGGATGAACGACTTTAGGTCTTCACTCATGGGCTGCGTTTTGAAGAATTTGCGTTCTCGTTGGAGGAGCGACCGCTTGGCTAAGGCAACGTCTTGTTGATTGAGCTTAGGTGTAGAAGACTGAGAAATAATCAAGATTAGCAGAGTGATTCCTAAGGTTCTGAGGAGGGATTTTGGCATAGTCTAGTGGTGGATTTCATGCCACGATAGAGTAAGAAGACTGTTAGCGAAATGTCAAAATGGCAACATGTCAGAAGGGAAGGAATACTTGTCAAAAATGGAGTGTTACCCGGTGATTGAGAAAAAGAAAAATTAAATGCCTTGGCAGATATTTGACAATCGCGAAAACTGTTGCTCTGATTGAAACGAAAATTGATGTGACGTCATCGCTAAAGGTTTCTTATATACTTACACTTTGTTGTACACTCAAAAAATATAAATTGTCATATTTAAAAGTCAGTGATTATACTTACAGGGACCCAGGGACTAATAAAATTCTAAATACAAACACTTACAATACATACATTTTATACAGTGGGTAGATGACAAACTTGTCAATGGAAAAAGAAAAAAAAAGGTTAATAAATGTTATAAAATAAACTGTTAAAATTTGTATATTTTTTTGTAACAAGTGTACATAAGTATTTTATATACAACTATAGACAATACTCAATATTTTTTTTTTATTTAAATAAGCACATCAACTGCTAAGGCTATCAGTGAATCGACAGTAATAATAATAAATGCTATAAATGCAATAAAATCGTATGTACAAAATATACATGAACAATCTTCCGTTGATGGATCTTTGCCACTCTCACAGTATACGCAAGATTAGAAATAAAATGTTTAGGAAAACGCTGCGGTCATCCTCGAAACCTGGAAATTATGTATCCAACAGGTGTACGATTTTGTTTGCTATTTTAAGTTATCCACCATAAAGAAACCTTGCTCGACTCCCGCGGACCATCTTGCGTCACATCTCCTATTTATGTAACATCAACGAAAAATCGCTCCTCGCCGCGAAGACGGAATGCCAGCGCATCAGATACAACAAATAATTTATTAATTTTAATTAAGGATATCGACGATCATAAACCACCAGCAAGTGCAAATACCAGCCCAGAATAACTCAGAAGGCTTCAGATCTGGTGTGTGGCGGCGGACGATTCGCCAGTGTTTCGCGACGAGCTTGCTTGATCGTATTATTTATAGGTGGTTGATTGAACGTGAAAAGTGCACTGTGTACAACGAATAGGTGTGTACAAGAGTCCATTAGGACGTGACGGCAAGACAGAAATTATGGAAATTTCGCCAAAACTGTGTTGGTGCAGCCGCTGCAAGGCCAAAATGCGATTTATGTATTTTTTGTTTTCGAAGAAACGAGCGGTGCATTTTCATTTCTTTTTTTTTAATAATTAAAAGTGGACGAATTTTTGGGCACGGGTAACCCTGGTGCGTTCTTGGACCGAGAAATACGAAAACCAAAAATAGAACAATTGAATGTTTGAGGAGATGTTGACATAGTTTCGTGTGCTGGATTCACGTGTTTGGGTTTTTGAATCGCGGTTTATGCTTTTGGGTATTTCGGGGAATGAGTTTTAATTTTTATTTTTGTTTTAATTTGCGGGGGATGCACTCTGGAACAACTACGCTATTCAGTTTTGTTTATTTAAACGTTGTTGCATCCATCATACAATATTTTCCTTAGTTGTGTGCCAACAAGCGCGTCATCGTGTTTTCTATCACCACTACGGGTAACAGATGAATGTAAGAAACGTGATGCGAATTTTGGTTTCTTGACTCATTTTGCAGCTTGTCCCTCATAAAAATGTCGGCGGGATAAAAATTACAAAAGTCTAAAAATAAAGTATAGGTATTTATACCAAACTTAAGGAAGTTCTTTTTTAATAAAGCGTAAAGTATTTTGTATAGTGTACAATATTTAATGATAATGATTAATGACATTCGTTTGAGTTCAGAAAACTGAAAAAAATAATTCTTAGCATACCTATGTCATGTTTGTTTGAAACTGATAACAACAAGATATAGATCTAGAGATTACTACAGTTTTATATTTTCTGATATAAGTTTCTCTACAGCTGAATAGGAAATTTAAAAAAATAGTGACCATTTACTGCAACGAATGACAAATATTTTTTATTTCTGCGGAACCAGAATTATAACTTCGGTTACACAAACAAAACAGAAATGTAATTACTAAGTCGACAGTTAAAAAAAATTGGTCATTTATGTCATCATCTTTTTTAATCACTTGTACATATACTGTAATATGCAGGAACACAAAACTATCCATGGCATTTAAAGCAAATAAATCAGTCTAATATAAAACTCCAGTTCCAATTTATTTGTTCATGTTAGAAGTGATTATTTATCTATTCCGTATTGATTAAAACAGTAAACTACCAATCTAAAGACGCCTTCGACAATTATAGTTTCATATGTATCCTTATAATTTCTGCAGCAGGTGATGGCACTTTTATACCCGGATTCGTTTTTGGACATGACTAAGCGGTACATTCAGATTTTCACAATCACACTGTAAACAATTTTACTTTCCAACCGAATGTAATAATAAATGCAATACATAATATATGTGACTAGAAAAATAAGTATGCATATTTTTACTAGAATAACGCCGATTTACATACATTATTCTTTCAACAAATCTATAAAAAAGTGTGTAACTGTGTACCTACTGGAATACTTATTTAACGACTTTTTTGAAAATTTGAGAAACAAATAACTCTTTCTAGAGGTGAACGGAAATACAGTAGAACAGAAAATAAATTATAGTGTCGGTAGATCGGAAAAATACGACGAGCGTGTGGTAAAACTTATATTGAACTGACCAATCCTAGCCGAGTTTTGAAAAAATGTTGGAAGTCAAGGGACGTCACTTTTTGTGCCACAGCTGTTTGCAGAAAGGGCAAATTTAAAAATCAAATAAAATGCAAAAATAATATTTTTGAATAAGTGACAAAATATTATCTACGAAAGGGTTTGACAAACTCCAAAGTAGCTAATCTTTGTGGTCACTTCATTCAATCCAGAGCCCGCTAAGATCGTACATTTTTTTAAAACACTAATTAAAGGTATTGTTTTGTCCTTATATTAATAAGTGTTTGTTAAGTACAGTTGTTTCAAAAAATAAATTTAAGAGATACGTATACAGCCAGAAACCTTGCTCATCATCCTTCGCTCTTCAACAACTACCTCGAAAACACAAAAACAAATTCTTGCAGTCGGCTGCCGTGACCGGGAGAAAGTTGAAACGTCTTGGCACCCCAGTGCATCTTTCCTGTTGGCAGCAAACCAATTGTATGATATTTAACAGAGATTGACTGACCCACTCTTTATATAGATCAATTGCATCGAGATTTTTCAGTCTTAGTCGCTTCTGCCAGTCCGTCAACTAATTCTCTCTCTTCCAGGTCAACAGCATGGCGTCACAACGTAAGACAAAGCCAGAGGTAAGCCTCCTCCCGCTCCCCGAAACCAGCAAATAACTGCACATTGTAGACACTTGTTGCACAAAATTGCACAATGTACTAATGGTGTTTGTTTATTTATAGATAAACTAGTCGCACCTTCACACTACACAAAACACACACGGAGGACCAGAAGGACGATCAAAAATTTTTTTGAATAATGATATTCGTTTTACGACAGCCAGTATGTTAGACACCTTCACTAGTGCTTGGTAGTGCTGCTTCTTCTAGCTAGAGTAACTACTCTTCTTCTATTTGAACAGAAGGCTACGGTTATAGGCTTCTGTTCGGGTTGTGATTTCGACTTGCAAAAATTTTGGCAAAGACTCACAGATTGTAGATGGTTCAAGTCACAACTAAACTAGTTTTCTGTAATAATCGGTAGAATCGATGTGCGTCTTTAGGCTCCATTGGCAAACAGTCTACACGTTGCAAGGGGAAAGTTTTCTAGGAAATAACTTGGTGGTGTTTTTAGGTGACGGGGGAAATCCTTGTAGCTTGGCAGAAGTACATAGCTCGCAGTTCCGACGAGATTACTCTGAAAGAAGGAGATGTGGTAGAGCTGCTGGATGCTGAAGATCCAGTTTCGGCAAAGTAATTCTAGAGTTTCTATGAAGGCTTTTTCTAACACCAAAATGTTTTGCAGGAAGCCAAAACTGGATCCCGAACTCGACACAGTATCTGGTGAGCTTCTCGACAGTTCAGCGGCTCGCCACAAGCTTTCGGTCAAACCCAGAAGGACCCATACAAGTTCTAGACATTCCCCTACTAGACTGAACTTAGAAGCAAGGTACGGTAATTCACTTTCAAAGTTGATGGTACTAATCGCTACTAAAACTATTTTCCAGATGGTTGGTACGTGAAGTAAGTGGCGGCAAGAAGCAAGGATGGGTTCCTTGCAAGATCCTCCAAACCATAGATGACCCAACTCCTGGAGGAGCAGGACTTCCAGGAGACGCACTCTACAGAAGACAGTACGTGAAGTCCGATCCACAACCCAAATAAACATTTTTTTCCAGAGCTGTGGTCAAAGAACTCGTGGAAACCGAGCACGAGTTCGTCAAAGACTTGGACCACGTAGTCCAAAAGTACCTCCTCCTTTCAGAAACCAAGAAAGTCCCGAAAGTCATCAGAGACAACTTTGAGGTGATTTTTGGGAACTTGAAAGAAATAGCAGAGTTTCATCGGACGTAAGCTACAGATAATTTTTTTACTACGATGGTGACCGTTTCTTTTGTAGGGTGTTGATGGAAGGTGTGAAGTACTACGCGACCGAGCCTCATTTGCTGGGAAAGTTCTTTCTGCGTTTGGAACGAGACTTCGATAGGCATGTTGATTATTACATGTACGAACCACAGGCTCAAGCATTTTTGGAAAATTGCGATGAAGCGCACGACTATTTTGACGTAAGTGGTGTTTGTGGCGTGTTAAAAATGGATAATGGAACGTTTAGTTTGTGTAATTGTGTTTATTCAGCTGGGATAAGCTTGTTGAGTTGGATGGATTAGTGGTAGGTAATGAAAACAGGACGAGTTGGTTGAAATTACGTGAAATGAGGAATTTGGCGGTTTGTCTTTCATCACGGACAAGTTTTATTCGACGAGGCAAAAGCTATAAACACCGATGATTAAAGTTATTGAGATTTATCAGGTTTTACCTTTTTGTGAGTTTCTGTTTGTTGTGTCAACTTCGACGATACTATAAAAAAATGTGATTATTATTAATTTAGAGCTTTTAAAATTAAAATTGAAAAAAAAATTTGAATGTCGATTTAGATGAGATTTAAAAATTAAAATACGAAAAATTCTGACACTCGAAAACTGTGTTAAAAAGACCACCAGCTGTTCAACGGTTTTGGTAACTTATTAGCAATATTTAAAATTCCTTACAAATGACATTTTAATCACTTGTGATTCTAAATTGACACAAGTCCGTCAGATTTAGAATTTACCTAATAATATTTTTTGCAACGAGTTCATCAATTTTTTGACTGAAATAAATACAGCAATTTTAATTAGACTTTACTGTCCATAGTAGAACGGGCGAACGGATTTAAAATTACCTACAATTACCCATTCGAAAAATTTCCAACAAGCCAAGTGAGATGCTGATTAAAATAAGAAACCTAGATTCTTGAACTGCGAAATATCAAGCGAATATTAAACAGCATTATTTTCATAGTTCGCTGACGAAGTAAAAAATAGATTTCTAAAATATTGTAGATGTAAGTTTTTACATTTAATGTCCTTCGAAATGTTGAAATCTGTGTATTTTGAAAATTTGAAAACTTAGGGAGTCCTGTTTTATTAATTTTTAAGTTAGAAATTAATTTATAGCTTTACGAATCATTTCAAAACCCTTAAATTAAAAAATCCAAAAGTTAGAACCGTTCAAAAGCTCTAAGTAAACAATAAAAGTGAGATCAAGCAATTTTAGAAATTAAAAAAAAAACTAATATAACATTAAAAAAAGCCACGTACTAATTACTGATCCTAACAATTTCAAAATTGGAGGTATATAGTCAGTTAAGAAAATTATTTAAATCAGACCTCACGCATTCATTAATTAAAAAAAAAGAAATTTCTAAAATAATAACGAATGAAATTGAGACAACGTATAGAATATATCTTTAACAAAAACTGTTTCATGGAGTATCCAATTAACTAAACTTTGAAGTCACATTTAAAAAATCTCCGAAAGCTGCCTTTAAACTTATTAAACTTTTAGATTTCAAAGTTCGCATTTCTTTTTTCCAAAACAATATTGTAATGAAACTAATCGCAAATGTAAAATGCTTTGAAAATTTTGATAAATTTTTAATGAAAATTTTAATATAGCAAATCGTAATATAAAAAGTAGGTATATAATATTCCACTAATAAGCAAATAGCAAATGAATTTACTAGTGACAAAGATCATTGCTTGCTTGTTACCGTCTATGCCTATTTTTGTTTAATTTCTGGTTTGAAGTTTTTATTATAAATTTTAACATGTAACATGAAAAATTTACCAATTCACTACTGTCATGAATCAACAAAATTCAGTAAAACAATACAATTTTTGTTTTTTAAAAAAAATCTTATTTATTGATTAAGACATAAAAAATGTAATCAGTTTTATAGATAAGTTCTAATCAGTTATTTACATATAACGAAATTTATATTTTTTGAGAAGGAAATCGTCTAATATTGATGTTATTAATTTTAAACAAAAATCATCAGTCTCGTGAGCTAATAAAATCAAAAATTGTTACCAAAAAATGCTAAATAATATGTTATCTACACAAAACTGGATGATTTCTGTTCTGTTCTTGGCGTTTCAACGAAAACACAACTTGAGTTAAAATAAGGAAAAGAAGGAAATAAAATCGATTTCTGAATTTATTAAATTTTGGTCTAATTATGAAGAAACCCATAGTCATGTTCATGGTTATACAATTTACACAGATGGTGTATTTGGTGATGCACCACCCTGTATATATTTTGATAACTGCAACTAGGTTCGTGGGTAGCACTTTATGTAAGCAAACTGTACGACGCGCACAATAAAGAATAATTAAAAATAGAATTTACTGAAAATTCAGCCACAAAAAACAACGAATGTAAATTTTTTGGCTTTTGACTTGGAGTCAACATGTAGTGGATGATATGAAATATGGTGCTTATAATATGTAGTCGAAAAATTTCCACTGTCTGTTGATGAATGTTTTTTGATGAAACCCAAATTATCTATTTTAAGGAAATTAATAGTTCGACAACATTGTACGGCTGATTATATTAAAAAATAAATTATAAACTAGTAGAAAGTGAATAAATAACTTGTAACTCGGTTCTAAAATAAAGATATTTTAATGTCCAGGATGATTCAAATAGATGTTGCAAAATTTAGTATGGGATATTTCGAGAAATTTAATTTAGGAAATGCGCGTAAAGATTTATCCTGTTTTTCAATTCAACAACTTTATTGCAAATGCACATCGCAACCAATTTTATTTATTACAATAACGATTTAGCAACGTAGAAAATTGTCCGAAAAAACGACCATTAACATATTTTCCATTATCTTGTTTTTCTATTTTTAACGAACACATTCAGAACGGATACACACGAACATTTTCTGCATTAATCACTGCATGGTCTTGTCTTAAAATAGTTGGGTATTTTTCGGTCCTGCCAACAATGAAACACCCACAATTTTCACAAAACAAAACGAAAACATGTTTCCACTGCAATAAAATGATACATATAACGAACGACCTCTTTTTATCTAATAATAAAAAAGGATATTGAGGGACGAACGTCAGAAGACGCGCAAAAATAAAGTATAAACACATCGTATCATCGCTTTTTAGAACTGCAGTATTATTAAATTTTTGTTTACGTAGCCAGTGCTTCATTCTTCATTACTGCGTGTGCACTATCTCACTTCACTTTCTTCTCAGTTTATACACAAGGTAAGCACAAAAGTTAAAATTTGCCGATTTTAGGAAAAAATTGCGAACAAAAATCAGAAAATACAAACTGTGTCTGCTGCAAGAATTTGGAAAGCACAAGAGGCAAAATTTAACTTGGCACTGGTCGATCTGGGTTTCGACCCCATTTCCGCAAAGCAGTGTTAAGTGCACGTAACTAACAACAATTATTACGCCTATAATTTTGAATGCACTTTAAATTTTGTTTGTGAATGTGATCGATTGAGAAACCGGAGATAATGTAACAGTGGGCTCAAAGCCAACATTTTTTTCTTTCGCTAATACCAGCAGGTATTTCAGGAGGGCCTTGAAGTTTCTGTCAGATTTTATCACTTTCGGAGGAGTTTTTCTAGAATTTGAAAAATAGATGAGTTATTCTGAAATAAAAAATAGCTTTTGATTGTTGTTCTTTGGAAGCAGATGAGCGTACTGAAAGTTGTGTTTTTCTCTACCAAGGACGGGTATAAAACAAATTTTGTTACAAAGGTGATTAATCAAAATTAGTGACCTACGTTTATGTCTGAAACGTAGAACGTAAATCATAAACAGCAACGACTATTAATAAAATATTTATTTATCACATCTAGGAGTTCGTTCATTATAAATATTTGAATAGCGTCTCATAAATTATTAGTAGCTGTCAGTTACACTTGTCACTGACATCTTCTCCAACAATTTTTTTTTTATGTTGTCTATGCGGATCACTTTCGTTCATCATACAAAATAATTCCACACCCAAGCAACTATGCCTTGTGGGCGGTAAGTTTTTATGCAGTTTACGTTTTCTTACCGTCAACACAACTCCCGAAATATCTGGCTATTTTTAGGATCGCAAAATTTCAAGATAACCGTTCCACCAGGTACGCACCTTCGTGATGAATTTAATCCAAGCTCTTACGACGTCATTCTTTGTTAAAGTCGTCTTTAAACAGCTCCAGACAGATCAGGGGGATTGCCGGGAAATTCCTGGGCGATGATGGTCACTGCATGAGTTCAGAAAATATTTAATACAAAACAGATATAAATAGGAGCGAACTCTTAATAATAAGTGTAGTAAACAGCTTCGTCTAAAATTTTGATTTTTATTTCGTGTCTGTTCCTGCGCTGTAAACACCTAGATTTTTAAAATACTTCTCGCTGAGGAAACCAGAAAGACAGTGAAAAAAAGTCAAAAAACTGTAGTGGGAGGTATGTAGCTTTTCATTTACAAAAAATAATTTTTTAATCGATATTTTAAATTACCCAGTTTGCAAAAAATTTTGCACTTCTTAGTTAGAATTTGTAAACATTTTTGGCTTTGCGAAAAGAAATTACTCGAAACTGTCCAATTTATAAGTGGTTCTAATGTGATAAACTTTTCAGTCTATACATGGTTAGTCGAAGAATTTTTTAATCATGTTTTTGCTTTGTACTGTACAACGAGCATAGCATTCCAGAACAATATTCTGGATTAAAATTAAAGCCGATAATATCAGTTACCATCGCAACTAACACTAGAACTGTCAAAATTTTCTAACCTGTGTTGCAAACATCGTAAACTTTCAATCGGAGTTTTAAAACTGAAGATCAAAATGTAGAAGATTAAATAATATTTTTGATGTTTCAGTCTAGATGAAACAACCTGTACAAAATTTACACACCTTGTTAACCGAAAAAATTAAGAGTGAGATTTATTTTTAATGAGCGTGAAAATCAAAATGTGCCAAGTTGGCACAAATTCTGATAGCGCTCTACGCCTCATTGAAGATATAATTTAAATTGGATTTACGCCGTTATTCCACTAAAAAAATTGTGATGACTTTCAACAAAATCCTGAATTTACCCGAGATTCTAAACTTAAAAAAATTGTGAAAAGTAAATATTTATATCCAGAACAGAAGAAACTCTTGCTTTAATGTATATTTTTTTATTTTACTAAAACAGTAAAATCAATTATTGTATTTGGTTAGTGCGACCGAAACCATTTTCAAAAAAAAAAATTTGTTTGAATTAAACTTTTGCTTCCAATTTTCACTAATGAAATAAAAAATCTAAAAAGTGTGTCCAGCGTGTCTTGTTTCCGTATTCTTATTTATTTTGTAACAAACTAGTCCTTAGCTTAATAGCCACATAATTTGAATTATTATTAAGGGACCACATCAAGACGTTACACATTACAACACATGTTTTTAGTCCAATTAATAAATTTTGGAGATGACGTCAACAAATTGTTCTATCTACACGATAGTCCTAATACATATACGCAACAACAACAACAAATTTCCCAATAATCGGTCCAGTAATTTCGAAATTTATCTGCCTAATAAAAATCCGGTTAGACGGCAGACAGACACAGAGACGGAAACGGGAGATCTATGTCTTCGTACTCTAGGGGTCATGAAAGGTCGTCGAAAACACGTTAAGATCCGGCTCGCAGGACCATTTTTGGTCTACGTGTCCTGAATTAATGACTTGAAAAAGATGAAACTTTCCAAAGAAATGCATTTTCTTTTTTAACGCGTGTTGTTCACATTTCTCCTTTACGACTCGAAAAATTTTGCTTGGTCGGTTCTTGACCATGACGTCACGAACCTATTTTGAACCCGAAGCCTTGGCCTAACCCCGTTTCGCCCACTCCTGTGCACAGCACTCGTCCTCGTCATCGCCATCATCATCCTCATCATCGCTCCTTCCCACGTCCTTCCAAAACTCTCTACCCTCCGCACACTCATCCCATCGAAAATTTGCGCCGATCTCGAGCAGCAAAACCGAAAATCGTCCGTGCAAACTGTTACGTGTGATATCCGAGCACGCGTCTATGTATAGCCACAGGGAATGAGTCGATTTGCTCCTAGTCAGTCGATTCGTGTCCGCGAAGTGTGTGCGTCTGCTTCAGCCCCCCTGCACGTGGACTTACCCCCGATCCACAGGTAGGACCTCCACGTCAGCAGTCCTACTCGGCCTGTTATTGGGTCGCTGCCTCCGTCTAATTAACCACCGGCAGGTGGCTATTTTTAGTGATTGATTAGCGCGAATTTAATTGCCAATTTGTCGCTCCTACGGGCGGACGCGGGATTCCCCAGGCGGCGGCGTTTGCGCAAGGGGTGGACGAGGGTGCGTTGCGCGACGCCGATTGGGCGCCGGAGAGGTTGCGTCAAATTGCAACATGATAAGCGAAGGCCGGTTCTGATTGGTGGCCAACGGATCAAAGCAAAATGTCGGCCAATTTTTTTAATGGCTCTTATTATGCCGTTTCAATTAATAGTTTGAAGGGAATTTGTGCCAAATTTCTGGGACAAGTGAGGAGGTAAACATTGACGAAAACACGGGCGGTGGTCTCATAAATCAGTTGTGAATAAGGGACGTTTAGTGAGTGGATTTAGTGCGGACTGGGTATGTTTGTGAAAATTTGTATTATTGACGAAAACAGTATTTACTGGGATGGGTAATTAAGCGCGATGGGTATATTTCGCCTTCTAATTTTTCTCTCGAGTTTAAATCAGAGTAGTTTGCGTTGCTTTTACAAGGCGAAAATTTGTGCGCACTGAATTTTTTTTTTTTGTTACATATATTAGGTAGCTTTCTCCTTTGTTCATTACTCTTAGAATAAAAACATGCCCGAGATTTGGATGTAGAAGAAAGATCGTTAAAAACCTACAAAAAACGTGAACATCCTCACGTACCTGGGTACTGATTATCGATACTCCAAACGAATTTTTCTAACAGAAATGAGTGCCCAAGTGATTCTGTTTACAAAAAATGTCTTTCATAAATTAAAATTTGCTCAGTATGAAGTGAAACAAATAATCATACAACTTTCATTATTTACAATATGAATATATTCTTAAATCGAATTTTAAATGTTATCCACTTAAAGTTCATTCCGCCAATACAGAAAAGTTTAAAATTTTAGGTATTTTTAAACAAGAATAACATTTTTTCTATCTAAATTCTAAACTGAAGTGATAATAATTTGTAATTTTTCTCTCGGGGCTCAGATATAACTTTTTTACAGACACCATGAATAAAAAAAATCAGAAATACCTAATTGTAATCTATATTTTTATCTTTTATAATAATAAACCATATCAAAAATAAACGAAAAAACGTGACGCTTTCAGGAAAAACCTTCAGAAAACCGTTCATTCTTTTGTTTCTTGGAATTTGATCTTTAATCATAAGCAGATCTTCTTCAGTAATGTTATAGAATTTACTGAACCAGCTTCGATTGTCCACATGGTATTATAAAAAAATTGTACAACGAAAAGTTACCTAAAATATTACAGTAAAAATAACTTTCTACAAAAAAAAAAATATGTAGAAGGATAAACATTCTAGTAATTTATTAATATTTTTACTAATATTTACACTTATCCAAGGACTATCGAACGATGTTTATGCCGTCATTTTTTAAATATTACATAAATTATACTAAATAAATATGGAGATGCAACCAATTTATACTTTCCATTGCATGAAGTGAAAATAATCTCTGAACGTTTGATTTAATGAAGCGTGTACTTGTTGGAACTCCATCACGAATTTATAAATAATACGCATTCGGTTCCAAAATAATTTATTTGTAGCCACTGTTACACGTGTTTCGGTACACAGTTCCTACCTTCATCATAATTACATTTTCCTGATGAAGATCTTGTGTGCCGAAAAACGTGTAGCAGTAGAACAAATTTTCTACAATTTTGGTCCTCCAGCATATTGTTTTCTGATTATTTTAGTCTCTGATCAAGTTATTTTCTGAAAAATTTCGTTCCAACATTGAAATTTTGTTGTTTTTATTTTAAACGTATACATCCCTATCAAATGAATTACACATGTTTTTTTCCAATCAGAAATTTAAACTAAACTGAAATTATTGTAGTTTATTATTAAGAAGACAGTTAATTTATGTATAAGCCACCGTAAAACTTCGCAACAAACATCAACTTGAACATTTAGATTAGGAAATGTAGATTTTTTACTAGATTTCAGTGTATTCGGGTGACAGTAACAAATATACATATGCCTAAGTGACACCAGGGACCCTCAAGAATTTGTTAGATTATTCCAAATTATGCCAACATTGCATTTTTCTTGTATACGTATAAATATGTATATGTACCCAAATAAGTTTGAAGATAGCAAAATATATTAATCTAATGAAGTGTTTACTCAATATAAATTTCTTACTGTAAATGCTGGTTCCATAGAGTGTAAATCACCAGGAAAAGTATATATGTTAAATTGAAATTATTTGGAGCGATTCTGTGACTCACTTTCCTGAACTTGTCGCTCTGTATAATTCAAAAACATGGTCCATTTCGTGTACAGAATTAAATGCATTTGTTTGTAACAAGTGAAAAATCGACACAAATTTCTTACAAAACAGAAATATGCAACAAACCAGATACTCTGCCAAGTTCTACAAAATAAATCGAGTAAGGTTTTTGAACCATTTCGGAGACTTTGAATTGCCAGGCAGTTTTTTAATTGTATAGTGATTTTGTTGCCGACACATGAACATGTTTCTTTTTCATGTTGTTTCCATTTTCAAAAACCGCGACACCTAAACAATGTCCCTTTTAAAAATGTGAAGATGAAAATCTAAGATAATTTTTTATAGAATCTTCATTTAGCTTCCGCTTGCTGAGACAGCTACGAACGTATCTCGAAATAAAAATTGCGTATGGTAAAATAAACCTACTGTTGGCTACACTTAGGTTGGTACTACTACAAAAGAAACTATAGCCTGAAGCGCACTTTGAAACTTTTTTTTTTCGCCCAAGGCCAACCCAAGGTTACTTAATAGTGACTATAAAGGGACCTTGAGGCCAACCCAATATCAGTGGATGATTTCCGGAGGAGCTAACGTATAAGTATGGTTTACTTGCGTGTATAATTGGTTGCATATACGTATTTAATGTATGTACAGTAGCGGTCATTTCTACGGAACCACTCGATAAAAAGTCAAGTTGGTAGCCCTGTCATCTAGTACTTTACGCCGAACGCGGTTGGTAGCGGTAGTTGATACGGCAATCGAAACTACTACAACACGAATGTTTCGGTTGCCCTCCGCTATGCCGCACTGTATCCCGTGCAGACTGTATGTTCTGTTCATCTATTTATTAAAATAAAATATCTACATTGACAATGGGGCCATCTAACCTGTCAAATTTTTGACACATATGTTATCCCCCAGAAACCCGTCAAGGTCACTTACACCAAACAAATTTTGAAAATTTACACTAGGGAGTGGTTCTATAGAAAAGATCGCGACTTTATACATATTTATCAATTTTTACGTACTAAAAGTTTTTTTTGTTCTTGACAATGTGATGCACATTTTCTGTGTTTGATTCTGTATTTTCACAAAGGTGATCTAATCCAGAAAAAATATTTCGTTAATGAGAATTATTAAAAACTGATAATATGTACCTATGAATTACTTATTTGACATCAATACCAAAATAATTATTAATAATTAAACACCAACATTTGGTAAAAATTGTTAATTAAAATTAACAAATATAGTAACTAAAGAAATTTACTTCCTTCCAACTCTAAAAATTCCCCACACCACATCATGTCATAACACACACTTGTTGGCAGGCAAATTAAATTCCACGCTTCTATCGACCAACCCAATATATGTTTAGCAGCCCTACCATCAAATCAATTTGGCAAGCCCACTTTCCTAATCTTCTTCGTCCTAATTATATTTCCACATAATTTAGCATTTCCACTTTTAGACTAGAGCGTTTTTTTATCCGCAGGAGTTGTCACAACGCCTGGGTGACGACAAAACCATATCCGAGCATTTGAAACTTCCGATCCAACGTATCAACGACTACCAACTTCTCTTGAAGGTGAGCAGTTGAAAGAAAATCGTTTGTTTGTGCCAATAGAAATTTAAATAAATAGAGTTGTTTTTGTACAGAAATGTGATGGTAGACTGTGCATGCAGAATGGGCGCCGATCCCGAAACTTTATAATATATTTAGAGCGACAGAAATAGCTAGTGTTGACCCATTTCATTAAACGCCCACGATCAATGTCACGTAAACTTCACGAATCGGTGGTTTTAGAAAATTTTTAGCGTGTATGCATACGACAATAGAGGCCGCTAAACAACTCTTACTTTCGCGTGAATTAAATATACATGCCTTTTGTAACTAGGTATATACCTCTACCTGTTTTAAAATTTAACCTTGACATCTCATTTTCGGAATTCCAAATGGCCATCTCAAATTTCATCACACCAAGCTTATGATCTTTGTAACCTGTGTAATCTAATCTCACAACTATGTGAGCTTAGATTTTTATGCCACACCTTACGCAACACCAAAGCCTGACAATTCAAATTTTAAAGTCTACTTCTCGACAATAGAGTTATCTTCTACATTGTACATAGTAGTATCTCAAATTCTTGTGATCTCAAACTTTGGATCTTAGGCACCAGTATCCTGTCTTCTGAGATATATTCTCCAGAATCTAAAGTCATTTTATCCAAGATTGTGATTTTTGAAATTTAAGATCTTGGACACGCCTGAGATATTGAACTAGGCCATGAAGTAATTTCTTGGCATTCTTCTCACAACGCTCTTATAAATCTGCTGCATTTGTGTCAATCCCTCAGTTGTCAGCAACTTTTTGACATCGTTGACACTTATGTGTCCATTCTACATTGTCTAAATTTCCCGTGTTATGGCAGAAGAGGTTCCCGTTCCCAGTTTTTCCTTTAAAGAACCTATAAGTTGGGTCGGAGTCATCGGCATCATTCTCGTCTTTCTCCTTATAATCTACAAAATGTTTATTCAAAACTGCTAGTTCCTGGTAAGTTTTTTAACTTTCCACCCATCGTTGGCGTTGACAAAAACAATAGAAATCTAGAAAGTTTAGAAAATCCCACTAAATTATTCGTGCACCATGCTCGGCGATAATTTGTTGTATTTGGTGGGTATTGCCGTCATCATAGTCATCGCCGTCGTTGTGTACTACTCGATGATCCAGGGCTCTGCCTCCATGGCGGAGTAATTTTCGGTAATATTTGACACTTCCTCCAGCAAACTGTCAAAATTTTCGTGCGCGAAGAATGACCGGCGATCTTTGCATTTACTACATCGGGCTTATCACGGTTATCATCCTTCTCTACTACATCATCATCAACGTCATCCTCAAAAGAAATTAAGTAGCACTGTCGGTTTCCAGGAGTTGGTAAGATATAGCGCTTGTCTTGGCGAAGACAATAGCGACCTCCAAAAGGCTTTGGAGTTGATGCTAAGTGTCCCTCACCGAGCGCAAGACGAAAAGTTCACCTCTAACATCGAAGGCTACCGTGGAAGCATCCACAAACTCGGCCGTCTACTAGCTCACGACTGGTTTTCAGTGGCGCTTGCTGACGTCTCAAAGGAACGCTACCTCTTCTTGTTCAAGGGCAAAATCCTCATCTGTAAAGTCAGACGCATCTCCGAGGACAGGTCCGTCTTCCAACTCAAGGACATCATCCAGGTGAGCGCCACAAAACTTTTTTTGGCTTTAAACTCTGTTTAGCTGAATCGAGTCGCTGTTAAAGACCATCCAGACGAAGAGAGGGTTTTTGAGCTGATCGAAACCGTCAACGGGAAACCGTTGATCCTCACCGCCCACAGGGACCACATCACCGAGTATTGGATCAAAGAAATCAAAGAGTTCGCGCAGGAATACGGTAAGTCGTGCGTTTGGTGGACATTTTTGTTAACGAAGATTTACAGAAGAGGGCGAAGATACCGAAGACGATTTCCAGTTAGCGTCATCGTCACCACCCACAGAAACAACTCAAACCAAGTTAGAAGAGAACATCACACTCCAGGAAGTCAAAGTTCGAATTGCCGAGAAGACTGTTACTGAGGAATCTCAAGCGGTTAAGACCGAAGAGGAAGAGGTCATTCAAAAGACTGAAGCAAAGGAAGTCAGAGTTGAAGAGATAAAAGTTGAAAGCAGAGAGGAAGAAAAACGTGTGGGACCACCCGAAATAGAATCAACTCCTTTACACATAAAGGGCAAAGACCGATTGGAAGAGCATCAGGCAACAGAAATCCGAAAAGACGAAGTAAACGTTGACCGGCAAGAATTAAAACCAGAAGAGCCACCACAGAAATTAGAACAACCTCCACCGGTAAAAGTCAAAGAATCTCCAGAGACACCCGCAGAGGAAACACCTAATCATCAAGAATCCATAAAATCAAAAGAGACAACAACAGTTAAAGAAGATCTGCAAGTATCTTTGAAAGAAACCAAGAAAGACGATCAGCCACCACCATTAGTAGTAGAAACTCCGCCCGAAGAACCGCCGTCCGTGGTTACTAACCACCGCGAGCCCGAAGATCTTCATGTTTCCAAAGCTTCAAAAGAAGTTTCTAGTGCTTTAGACAAATCTAGTGTTGATTCATCTGTTCACAGTGCACATTTAGCAGATTCAAGTGTAGGTTTAGAGGTTAATGTCGAAACTGCCGACGACATGAGTAGGAGATACACATCGTCCTCTGCAAGAGCAGGTTAGTTCTAAAATATGTCTGCAACTTTTTTCAATAAACCATTTTGAATTGTTTCGTTTTTGTGTTTTGTCGTTTTAATTTGTTCATTTTTGCACAACATGAACAAATCACACATTTTGTGTAGTCGATAAAGTCACGCTTAGCTATGAAATGCACAAATCTATTGGAAATCTTCCTTCACAGAAGGCTATTCGGATTCCTATAGTAGAAGATCCCAGTCTTCTTTCTCCAATGATGGAGTTTCGTCGAGATACGGTAGCGAATCGATCGCCAGCAGATACAGCAGCGCCGAATCCTCCTTAGGAGGATCAAAGTATGAGTCTTTAAGTTCCAAGTATGACACTGGCGACTCTCTCAGTTACTCGAAGAGGGGAGATAGCCATAGTTATTCCAGACACCTCGATCTGGGAGATGATGACGACGACTATAATTTCTCTAGGCGATCTATTAAAACCGTCACAACTGAGTATGGCGACGGTGATAAGTATTCAAGACGATCAATCAGAGCCTCCGCGGAGGCTATCGGCGACTTAGACTCCTACTCCGTGCGAAAATCCGTCCGTAGTTCGATAGAGGGAGTAGGAGGTTACGGCGACAGCGAACTCGATTCTTACAGCTTGTCCCGACGATCTATCAAAGAAAGCAAGGATTCCAGAACCTACGGTAAAAGATCTACTTCAATTGAAGAAGTAGGCGATACAAGCAAGTACGGGCGAAAGGCTCTAACGCTCCGAGACGACATCGAAGAAGACTTAATGTCCAAATACTCACCCTCTAGGTACTTAGGCGAAGATCGCGAAGCAGAAGACATATACGCAAAATACGAACGCAAATACTCTAGAACAGACTCGAGCGAAAGCAAATCGAAATACGCTCGAACAAGTTCAATCGAACAAAAGGCAGGTGAAGAAGACGTTTACGCCAAATATACCAGAAAGTACTCCCGGACCGATTCTTCAAAATCGAATCGCGACGAGGAAGAGGACAAGTATCGAAAGTACGCAAGAACCGACTCGAACGAGAAAAAGTCCTACAAAAGAACAGATTCCGTGAAGAGCGATCGTGGTGAGTTCGATGGAATTGAGCTTCCGCTTAATAACTCACCGCTAAGGGTCAACTCTCACTTAAACACTCTTCATACTATCTGTGTCTACTAGTTGCCAAAGCACGAACGCATTCGGTAATACTCCGATATGTTTCAGAATCATCCTCCATTCACAGCGTGAGTGAAACAACCATCGCCAATGGAAAAGAAATCAAGAAGGAAGCTGTCGAGAGCAGCGAATCTGTATCATCATCAACCACTTTCGTCAAGGAAACGACAAAGTCGGGAACGAAACACAGAGAAGAGATCCGAACGAGCGGCGATGAGGAGAGGAACAGATTCATTAAGACGATCAGAGGCGCGGATATTGAACGTAAGTTGGTAGATAGAAGAGTGTGGCTTCAGCTCATGCTTTTGTTGTGGCAGCTGGCGAAAACATCTCGTTTGAGGTTGCTTTAAAAACGAAACCAGACAACTTCGTCTGGTTAAAAGACGATAAACCTCTAGATCAGGACGCTGTCATGACAGGGCGCATCCAGATCAGTCACTGCGACGAAACAAACCATTATAAAATCGATATTAACAAAGCTCACGTAGAAGACAGCGGCTACTATACTGCTTTAGCTACCGGTACTCACGGTACTGCTTCCTGCTCCGCATTGCTTATAGTCCACGAAAGTACTAATCTTCGAATCCGCCGAACCCTCTTCTAACTTTCTGTTTCCAGTGACCGCTGATGAAAAGCTAGCAAGAGCCGAAACAGACAAACCCGAGTTCCTTGTCAAACTCAAAGACACAGAATTAGCCGAAAACACGTATCTGAGATTCATGGTCAAAGTCCGTGGTGAACCCATGCCCGACGTTATTTTGTGAGTATCACGTTACTGCGAAAATTTTCTCTAAAAATTCGTTTAGCTTCAAAGATGGTGCCATCATTGAAAAAAGCGACCGCTACGAGGTCATCCGTGAACACTCAGATCGTGGATTCTACGAACTGCTCATCCCCGAAGTGAAAATGTCAGACGCTGGTTACTACAAATGCGTCGCCTCCAACAAGTGGGGTGAAGAATCCTCCGACGCGGTACTCAAAGTAACAAGTACGTGTAAACCCCACCCTGTTCTTTCTCTACACGTCCATTTCTAGCCGAAGACCTCCACAAGGACATGCCCGAAGGCGAAATCCTCGCTCCTGGCGAAGCTTCAGAATTCCAGTGGAAGAAAGACGGAGAAGCCTTCACTCCCGACGAACGCTTCAAGGTCCTAATGGGAGACGACGAGGATTCCCTCGCTTTGGTGTTTCAGCACGTACGTGCCGAAGATGTCGGGTTATACACATGCGTCGCGCAGACCTCCAGGGGTCACATTAGCTGCAGCGCGGAACTGACAGTTCACGGTACCGTCAACCAACTAGTCCGAGAACCAGAAAAGCCGCAGCTCATTATTGAAAAGCGAGAACCCGTCGTGACGGCGGGAGGATCCGCGATGCTCGAGCTTCAGGTTAAAGGATACCCTAAACCACAAGTCAAGTGGACGCACGAAGGCAAACCTATAGAGGCCGGTGGCAAGTATAAATTCTTGTATGAAGATGAAGAAAGCATGTCTTTGGTTATCAAAGACGTGCAGAAGGAAGACGCTGGGAAGTACGAGTGTACAGCCGAAAATGAGATCGGAAGCGACACTGCCGAGATGACTCTCACGGTGAAGCTGCCACCGAAGCTCAAGAGCAAAATCGAAGACGTGGATGCTCACGCCGACCTCACTCTGAGGGTACCGGTGGAAATTGAAGGTACCCCAAAACCTACCGTCATTTTCTACAAGGACGGCAAAGAGATTAAGAAAGATGAGCGCGTTAAGGTGGTCGAAGAAGGCGATAAAATTATCTTGGTCATTGAGAAGACGACCCTGAAAGATACAGGGTCGTACTCCGTAGTGGCCACCAACGAACTCGCCCAGATATCGCAATTCTTCAACGTGAATATTCACACTAAACCGAAAATCCTTGAGAAACTTGGTAAAGATAAGATCGTATCTCAAGGAGAAACGGTCGAACTGAAAGTGAAGCTGGAGTCGGAACCTGAAGCCGAAGTGAAGTGGTTCAAAGACGATAGTCAAATTTCCTCCAGCGACCACTACGTTATTAAAAAAGACGGCGATACCTACATCCTCAAGATTACAGGAGCGGTGACGACCGATGCGGCCAAGTACAAATTCAAGGCCGTCAATATTCACGGTTCCGTGGATGACGATTTAACAATTTTCGTGAAGAAAGCACCCAAAATCACCAAAGGTCTTCAGGACATGACGGTAACAGAGCATGACACTAACGTCACGTTCGACGTGAAGCTTGAATCCTTCCCCAAACCGACAGTGAAGTGGTACCTCGACGAAATGGAAATCACAGAAACAAAAACAGAATTCACCCGAACTGAGTCGGATGACGGTGTCAAGCTCGTAATTAAAGAAGTCAACAGTAAATTGTCTGGAAAATATACCTGCAAGCTGAGCAACGAGTGCGGAAACGCAGAAACCAGCGCTAAACTTACTGTCAACTGTAAGTCGTCCATTTGTATGAAGTCTTCACTGATTTTTGCAAATTCCAGGTGCTCCTCGCATTATCAAGCAACTTAAAGACACCACAGTTGAAGAAGGCGCCACTCTACATTTAGAGGTAGAAGTAGAAGGGTGTCCAGAACCTACGGTCAAGTGGTTGCGTAATGGTCGCGAAGTCTCCGCGGACGCTCGCATCAAAATCAGCCGAGATACCCAACGTCAAGAAAACTACAACCTGGCTGTTAATCTCATCAAGTACGAAGAACAAGGAGAGTATGAGGTTGTGGTGACTAATTCCTTGGGTACCGTCTCCAGCAAGAGTTACGTGACAGTACACAGTAAGTATTCCCGCCGACCATTGGTCCTATCATTTTTTTTTGATGGGCCTCGATCAATTCAGATAAGTACCGTTTTGCCCCCAAAGAGATTTTGTGAAGTCTTTTTTCCCCCTGTGACGTCTATAGTGATAGTCGGCTTTGTTGCCCCACTCATTAAATGTTCTTACCCTATGACCCTTCACTAACCGAATTGCAGAGGTAACCCATACCGATGCTATTGAAGTAGAAGGAGAACCACCCGCTAAACTCAAAGTTGAAGTGGTGGAAGACGAAGAACCGCAAGCTGCGGAATTAGCGGAGCCTCAAGAAATAGAAGAAGTAGGTAGAGAAGAACAAAAACAACCTCAAATTGACGATTTTGATGAGAAACCGGCTAAAGGTAGAGTATATTGAGTCGTAAGTATGGTCAGTATCGCGTAACAAACTCTCAAGTGACAGAGATTTGCTTGCGATGCTTACATGTGCTTATGTCTCTCGGATCATCTAGGTGACACGTTTAGTAACAGTTCACACAAAATAGGTACTATAGCAGAAAAAGTACAGATCGAAGAGAAACAAGTTACTCGCGTAACTCCGGAACCTATAATCGAGGAACCTCTCTCGCCAAACCTGTTACAAAGGGTTCATTCCGACATTCTAGAAGAATCAGAAATAGTGGAAAACGAAGAAGCAACCAAACCTCAACGCTTCACCGAAGAAGAAGTACCCAAACCTAAATCGAAACGTGCCAAATCGATTCAGATCGAGGAAATCGAAGAGAACGACCAGTTCCCGGACGAACCCAAAACTCCCGTAGAAACGGAAATACCGAAACGGAAAGCCAGTAGGGCGATGTCTGCCACCCAGGAAGACATACAACTCGTAGAGAACAAACTTATCGATACCAGCCACGAAGTACGACCGACGGAAATCGAGAGACAACAAAGTCAAAAGGGTACGAAAGAAGACGACCAAGAAGACGACGAAGAATTGGAAGCTCTTCTCAAGAGAGCGCAAAAACAGAGGAGTTTGGTTGAGGAATTACCCAAAAAAAGTGATCTAGCTGAAGGTACTACGATTATCACACAGTAGCAACCACTAAACACACCAAATTCACCACATAAATGTAATTAATCTTTGTCGTGTGCATTACTAACGCAAGCTTTATAAAACTCACAACGCTGCACTTCTTCAGACAAGGTAAGAGCAAGGGTAGAGCTTACGCTCTGGATTTTCAGTTTCTGACTGATTCTAATTCACCCGTTTCGTTTAGCTAAACCCACGATCACCGACTCGAACATGAAGGACAGCTCTCGGCCCGAGTCCTTGGGGATCACTTACATCGTTAAGGGTACCTCAAATCCACCACCGAAGGCCACGTGGAGTTTGAACGGCAAAGAAGTCAAACCTGACGGTCGCCTCAAGATCACCGAAAGCGGAGAAGAGTTCAAACTCGAGGTCCTCAAACTAGAAATGTCGGACGCCGGAACCTGGCAATGCACCTTATCGAATCCTTTGGGAGATGTTAAACAACAAGCAGTCCTCGAAGTTACGCGTAAATTCTTCTTTCATAACATTAAGCCAAAACTCATTCGCAACTTTTAGCGGAAAAGGAACTGCGCCGCCCCAAACTAAAACAAGGCCTTGACGACCAAACCATCGTCAAGAAAAATTCGCTTACGTTCAAGGCCGTGGTCATCGGGGATCCCGTACCGGTCGCCACGTGGTCAGTCGATGGTAAAGAGATCACGAATGAAGAGTACGAGATATACAAGATCATCCTCGAGAGCGAAGACCACGAGATCCAAGATGGTTTGAAGGAGTGTTCGTATTCTCTGACAATTCCCAGATGTGAGTACTTGTAATTGTGCCAATTGGGCCAACTTCAAGGTTAATTCATAGGTGAGAGATGCAACGGAGGAAAATACACGTTCTTTGCCAAAAATAAATGGGGAGAATGCAACAGCAGCGCTCAGCTCACCATCGTCCTGCGTCCGGAGATCGAAGGCCCTCAGAACGTTTCGGTAATTCCAGGAGAATTCGTCGAGTTTGTCTGCAAGATCCAGGCTAACCCAATTGCGGAAGTCAGCTGGACCAAAGACGATCAAGTGATCAAGGCGACCGAAGACAGGGAGATCGTTGCGGACGTGGCCAACGAAACCTACAGGCTAGTTTTCAAAAAGGCGCTCCTTTCTGATGACGGGTATTACAAGGTTATCGCCAAGAATAATCTTGGCGAGAGTTCATCAGAGGCGCGCCTCAAAGCAATCAGTAAGTACAAATCTTACGTGTCCCTATCGAGGGGTATAATACTTACGACTCATCTGCGACTTTGTTTTTACAGAAGAAGCAGAACCCTCTAGTAAGTGTCCGTCTCTTGTTCGCTTATCTCTCTTTGTGCTTTACTTTAACCGCATTCTGCCTTAACCCCACTCTTTTACGCTATGCACGATCTCACATTTGCGATTATAGCTGAGAAACCAACCATCATCACCGGCTTGTCCGACGAACAAGTCGAACACACCAAAGAACTTTCGGTGATGGTGCGAGCCGATGGTTTGCCCAAACCGCAAATACGTTGGTTCCTCAACGATAATCCTCTCACGGAAGACGCGAACCACAAGATAGAAGGTCACACGGAAGCGCAAGTAACGAGTACCTTGACCGTCACGAACTTCAACGAAGCCGACTCTGGAATGGTAAGGACACCTCTAGGAGGTGGTAAAATCTGAAAACGTTCTTGTAGTACAAAGCGGTGGCCGCTAACGTCGCCGGAGCCGCCGAAACCGTGGCACGCATCGTCATGCTTCAGACACCTCCTGGGTTCGGGAAGAAATTGGAACGCTCGGAGGAATTCAACGAAGGAGAACCAATCGAGCTCAAAGCAAAGATTAACGGAAGCCCTAAACCTACCGTAAGTTTTGCGATCATCGTCGGTACCACACTGAAGATGTGTTTAGGTGGCTTGGTTCAAAAACGGGGAACCCATCGACGACGAACGCATCAAAACCACGGTGTTACCTGACGGTACCGTAAAGCTCAACATCGAAAAGGCCGAACCTGGCGACAGTGGCGCCTACAAGCTCGTCATCAAGAACCCCAATGGAGAATCAGCCTGTCTGTGTGCTGTAGCTGTTGCACGTACGTTTCGTGTCACTTTAACCACCTCGTACTTACAACCATTTTACAGAGAAACCTCAGAGACCGAAATTCTTAAAGTGTTTCAAAGACGCGAAACTCCCTGCCGGAGAATCCCTTCGTTTAGAAGCCCAAGTGCAAGCCCACCCACCACCGGAAATCAAATGGTTCAAAGACGGTGTTCCAGTCCGTACATCTTCGAACATCCACTACGAGTTGCATCCGGACGGCAAAATCGCCTTGATAATAGATTGTGCCAAACCGGAAAACGCCGGGAAGTACGAACTTGTCGTATCTAACAAATATGGTGACGCATCTAGCGAGGCCAACATAGAAGTAGCCAAGAAGCCAACGAAGCCTGAATTCATCACCCGTCTGGTACCTCAGACGGTGGTGGAAGGCTTCCCGGTGAAATTAGAAGTCAGAGCCACCGGTTTCCCGGCACCTAAAATCTCCTGGACGAGGAACGGCGCCGAAGTCGTCTCCGACAGCAAACACGTGAAGATTCAAGAACTCCCCGATGGCACCAGCATCCTGTTGTTGGATGCCGCAAACCAGGCACGTGATGCGTTGACGTATAGGGCTATAGCTATCAACGAGGCTGGAGAAGCTGAAACTAGCGCCGCCCTCACTATCAAACCTGCGAGTGACAGCGACCAGCCGGAAGAACCACCCATGTTCCTGCATCCCCTGAAGGACGCAGTGGGCGATGAAGGTCAGTCTTTGATCCTGTCGGCTCCGTTCACTGCCAACCCGATACCCAACGTGGAATGGAGCAAAGACGGCGTGCCCATGGAACCTTCCGACAGGATTCTGATCATCTGTGACGGCAAGAAAGTCGGTCTAGAAATCCTAAACGCTCTCCCTTCGGACGCCGGCCAGTACACAGTAACCCTCAGTAATCCGCTTGGCAAAGAAACCTCTGAAGCTAAAGCCACCATTCACAAAGTGTTCATGCCCCCACACTTCACTCAAAGCTTCACAGACCTCCAACAACTACCGGGTCGCGACGCCAAATTCCCTTGTCGCGTAACCGGCGTACCGCAACCCGAGGTCACCTGGTCGAAAGACGGCATTCCCATACACGAATCCGACAAGTTCCACATCAAGCGCGACGGAGATTTGTGCTGTTTGTACATCCTGAATTGTGACGCTCCCGACGCTGCGGTCTACAGAGCCACCGCCACCAACAAAGAAGGTGAAGAAATCTGCACTGCGTCACTCGAAGTCGTGGACCAAATGTAAGTACCGCGTCCAAGAAGAACACGACTGATTTATTTCTTCTAGAAAAGCCCAGAAGAAGATCGAGCCACCTGCGTTCCTGAAGCGCATCGGAGACACCGAGTTGTTCCGCGGCATGACGGCCAAGTTTACCGCGTGCGCTACTGGGTACCCCGATCCTGAAGTCGAATGGTACCATAACGATCAAAAGCTGTTCCCATCGAATCGCATCAGAATGGAAACCGATAACGCGGGTCTTTTGCGGCTGGTGATTTCCAACCTCGACGAGGACGATCTTGGAAAGTACTCGTGCAAGATTACGAACGAGTACGGCGGTGATATTTGCCATGCGAACTTGAATATGGACGAGGGTTTGGAACCGAGAGTGAAACGTCCAATCACAGATCAGTACAGCGAGTTCGACAAGTACAAGAGGAGCGGAGCACCTATGCCGCTTTCGGATCCACCAATCATCTCGCAGATGACGGACAGGCATTGCACACTTTCCTGGAAGCCGTCCATTCCCTCGGGACCCAGGGTACCCGTCACGTACCAACTGGAAATGTGCGAACTTCCTCACGGGGATTGGTTCACGGTTCGTACGGGAATCAGGAGTTGTACTTGCGGAGTTCGCAACCTGGAACCGTTCAGGGATTACAGGTTTAGAGTGAGAGTTGAAAACAAGTACGGCATTAGCGATCCGTCACCATACGCCACGACTCACAGGTAAGACTTGAAGATAATCTTATTCGTTCGTACTTTATCGTGTCTCTAGGGCAAAACTTGAACCCGAGCCGCCAAAATTCCGTCCGTATTTACCACCAGAGATCGATTTCCGCCCCGAAACATCCCCCTATTTCCCCAAGGACTTCGATATTGAAAGACCCCCGCATGACAACATGGCACAAGCTCCGAGGTTCTTACGCCAGGAGCACGACACACAGTATGGTGTCAAGGATCAAAATACCAACCTCTTCTGGTTCGTCTACGGCTACCCTAAACCCAAAGTGTCGTTCTACTTCAACGACGAACTCATCGAGAGTGGAGGTCGGTTCGATATGAGCTACACCCGCAATGGACAAGCGACCCTCTTCATCAACAAGTAAAGTGTTGAAACGTCAAAGTTCCATTTTAGCCAAATTTCTTTTAGAATGCTGGAAAGAGACGTCGGGTGGTACGAAGCCGTCGCCCAAAACGAGCACGGAGAAGCCAGACAAAGGGTTCGTCTAGAGATCGCAGAAGCCCCAGCGTTCCTGCGCAGACCCGAAATCCAATACGCCATGCATAGAGGAAGAATACGTTTCGAGGCTCGAATCGTGGGAGTGCCATATCCGGACGTCAAGTGGTACAAAGACTGGAAGCCTTTGGCCACATCCACTAGGATTAAGGTACCTGTTGCGTGCCGCGTTTCACAATCTCACGACTTCGTCTTCTAGATCCAGTTCATCGAGCCTGATACTAGCGTCTTGGTCATCAACGACATCATCAGCAAAGACGAAGGTCTCTATTCTGTGAGCGCCCGCAACGTTGCCGGTTCCATCTCCAGTAGCGCTATGCTCTACGTGGAGGAAAGCGACCTAGACTACAACATCCACACCTACAGAAACATAGCCAACATCAAAGCTAAGAAGAAGCCTTTCAGCGACTTCTACGATTTGGGCGATGAGTTAGGTCGTGGCACTCAAGGGATTACATACCATGCAGTTGAGCGCATCAACGGAAGAAATTACGCTGCTAAGATCATGCACGGACGCGGCGAACTCAGACCTTGGATGTACAACGAATTCGAGGTCCTCAATTCCTTGCGCCATCGCAAGCTCATTTCTTTGCATGACAGTTATGAAACTAGTGACTCTTTGGCTCTTGTTCTTGAGTTGGCTGCTGGAGGGGAGCTCGTTAAGGATTATCTCCTCAGACAGGAGTACTACACGGAAAGAGAGATCGCCGGATTCATTAGACAGCTGCTTCAGGGCCTGGAATACATGCACGGGAAGGGTTACGGACACATGGGTCTCAACGTAAGTCTTGCTAATGATCTCGGTTTGTGACTGTAAATCGTTGTTTAGCTTGGCGATTTGTTGATCGCTCATCCCGGAGGAGATGACCTCAAAATCACCGACTTTGGCTTGGCTCGTAGAATCACAGCGGGTAACTTGATGCCGCTTCTGTATGGAGTGCCAGAGTACGTCAGTCCGGAGGCTGTGAATGGCGAGGGTACCGGTCTCGGCCAAGACATGTGGAGTGTGGGTATCATCACCTACATTCTTCTCTCTGGAAGATCTCCTTTCAGAGGAAACGACGACAGAGAGACTTTGAAGAACGTACAAGGCGGAAAATGGATCTTTGACGAGGAATGGTGGTTGAACATTAGCGCCGAAGCTAAAGACTTCATATCTAAGCTTCTGGTTTACAACGCGGAAGGCAGGATGGATGTGCACGCCGCCTTAAGACATCCTTGGCTGGAACGTGCCGATAAAATTTACACCGACGAGTACAGGATTAGCAGCAAGTACTTGGACAGTTACTACAAGCTTTTCAGGTACGGTTAACGAAGTTGTAAGTTTTTTCTACTAAGAGTGTTACAGGGAATGGTACGACAACGCGTCCTGCAAGAGGTGGTTCCGTCGTCGCACCTTAGAAAGTGCCTTTACTCATCCGTCTCGAATGGTGTATCCACCCGGCGAATATGATTCTCCAAGGGTCACCCCCTCGCCTATTAAAGCGCCACGCTTGCCCACTTGGGAGGATCAGCTTCCGGCTAGATCTCCTCTCAACTACGAAATCGGCTCAATAAAATCCGAGAGTCAGTAAGTACAATATTCGAAGCTTGAGATTTCGTAAAAGTCACGTAATATTTTTTAGCTACCAAGCCGGTCCGGACACCTACCTCCTGCAGCTCCGCGACGTGGACTTTCCCGTACGCTTGCGCGAATACATGAAAGTCGCCGGCAGCAGAGGAACGGGTGCTGGTTTCATCATCTCCCACGAAAACGGTTTCGATTGGAGGGTAAGCTCGATCTTTGTCGCTTCCTGTTCCAAACTCTCTCCTTGCAGACGCCAACCATCAGGGAACGTCGTCGCTTCACCGATATCATGGACGAGGAAATCGACGACGAAAGAAAAGCAAGGATCAACAAGTACGGAACCGACGATAGTTCGTATAGCATTCGTAGGTTAAAACACGAGCTCGGTTCGCGTCTCGATACTTACGTCGAAGCGGAAGCTTACTTGGAAAGCAGGCAAGACGGTCGTCTACCGTTCTTCAGAGAAAAACCACAGATGACTGCCATGGTGGAAGGGAACAACGCCGAACTGACTTGTTTTGCGGTTGGCGAACCCGAACCTCTAGTCCAATGGTTCAAGTAAGTTTCTCATCCGTGAAAGGACGAAAGTTGATGAGTATTTGTAGAAACGACTCGATCATCGCCGAGTCTCACCGGGTCAAAATCGACATCGACGAATTAGGGCGGAGTCATTTGAGGTTCACGCCGGCTTTGGCCTTTGACCAGGGGACGTACAAAGTAGTGGCAAGGAACAAGCTAGGACAGACCATCGCAAGGGCGAGAATAGTCTACGGAAGTACACCCGAGGAACCAGATTCCCCCGAAGCAAGCCAAGTTTCAGACACTGAGGTTTTCCTGACTTGGAAACAACCCAGATTCGACGGGAATTCTCCGGTCCTGTGCTACAGTCTCGACTACAAACTCGCGGACGACGTTGACTGGACCACGAAAGCGGATAACATTGACCACGAGTTCTACCTTTTGCGGGGGTTGACGCCGAATACCAGTTACATGTTTAGGCTGGCGGCTCGCAATGCTATTGGGTGGAGCGACTATGGAGTCCCGACTGGGTTAGTCAAAACGAAAGGAGAAGGGGCACAAAAAATACACCTAAGTCCCGCGGTACAGCACTTGCAGCAGATCACGGATAGTGGACTGCCTATAGAAATCGAGCCTGTCAGTTACCCCGACTATGCAACTGAAACGCAACCGATCGAATGGCAGGATTCAAACGCCCAAGAAAACTACAACTTAATTTCAGAAGTTTCTCGGTACGTTCTTGTACGGTGGTTACGCCTTAACAGTACACGCTTCTTCCAGGGGTCAATTCTCAGCGGTACTTAAAGCAATAGACAAAAGTTCCGACGCGGTGGTAGTCGCGAAGGTCCTAGATATGAGCAAAGCCGAAGACATTGACGGCGAATTTGCCGCTCTTAGATCGCTACGTCATGAAAGAATCGCAGGGTTGCTGGCAGCCTTCAAGAGTGGTTCTAGTCCCGTAGCTGTTTTCATTATGGAGAAACTACAAGGCTCCGATGTTCTGACATACTTGGCCAGCAAACACGAGTACACCGAACAAACCGTCGCTACTATAGTTTCACAGGTATGTCTCCCAGTTCACATCATCATCAATTCAACTCAACTCGTAGGTTATTGACGGTTTGCAATACCTCCACTGGAGAGGCTTATGCCACCTGGACTTACAACCTGACAACATCGTGATGGCTGGAGTGAGGTCTGTCCAAATAAAATTAGTCGATTTAGGTTCAGCTCATCGTGTTACAAAACTTGGCACACGAGTACCAGTGGTCGGTCACTTGGATTACATCTGTAAGTCGGGCTGTGCGCTTCTTAGAAAGAGATGAAAATGAGTGCTTGTTTTAGCTCCCGAGGTGCTCAATGAAGAGCCTGCGTTCCCTCAAACCGACATCTGGACTGTGGGTGTCCTCACATACGTTATGTTATCCGGTGTAGTACCTTTCAAAGGTCAAGACTTAAACGAAACGAAGCAGAATATTTCGTTCGTAAGGTACAGATTCGAGCATTTGTACAAGGAGATTTCACAGGAGAGTACTCGATTTTTGATGTTGCTGTTCAAGAGGCAACCTAAGTAAGTTTCAGGGGATTTGGTGGACGTAGTTACAACCAGTATTTTTTTCAGCAAACGACCTTCTGCGGAAGAGTGTCACGAAAATAGGTGGCTGTTGCCCACGGATTACATGATTAAGAAGCGGGAAAGGGCCGTATTTTTAGGTAACAGGTTAAAGGTGAGTTACCGCATGATAGGCTTGAATTACCTATCACCATTCACAATAGTTTTGCAACTTTTGATAGTCATAAGGCATCGCACGAGTACAACCTAGCTCTAGTTTTGTTTGCCTTTTGTATTAACCACATATTCTAGAAATATAAAGGGAATCGCGTTATTATTCCAAATGCCTTTACGAAAAGAAGCGATATTCAGTGCAAAATTTTTAATGAAAAAATTACCTTCCGTATACACAAAAAAAGTCACGTTATTAATTTATGCTGTGCTTCATATAACGACATCAACATTAAAGCGCAAGGAATGAAATGACCACATTGTAAAAGTCACGTGTTTGGTTATAGAAACCAATAAAATGCCGTTTAAAAAGGTTTTTCATACTCTAAATTGTTCATTTTTTGTTAAATGTTAAATGCGTTTCAGGAATATTCAAACGAATATCACAACGAAAAAGCTCAAGCCGCGCAAGACATCACAGCAAAATTAGGAGGCAAATTCAGTAGATCCCACAGCATACAGGAAGAGTTATTGACTGCGCCTTAGGCATAAAATTTTAGAATGTATATATTGTTTATAATGTTAATACCATTACATTGTTATGTTAAAAAACCTTAATTATTTTTGTGTTATTTTCGTTGTATCTTCAACTAATCTGTACAACAATAGATCTTTAACGTTATCATCCATTAAAAAAAAAAATATTTCAATAAAGACTACAACAATGAATCTTATTTTTAATAACCTAACTACTTTTGTCATTCTCTAAAACAGCCTTTATCTGTTGAGCAATAGCCACTTGTGGGTCTTTCTGAAACTGTTTACTTTTAAACATTTGTTGAAAAACTTGAATACCTTGTAGTTGATTTTTCTTTATGGTTTTTGCCTTTTCAATGCCCCTTCTCTTCTTCTGTGGTTTCTGCTTGTAAGGAACATTCCCCTTACTCTTCAACAAACTTTCCAAAGATGGTAATGCATCTCGTAGTGGGTTTAAATCACCACCTACAGCTTTCTTCTTTTTAACCAGCTGTTTTTCTTCTTTTATAGCTTCAAATTTCTTCATTAGTAATTCACGGCGCAATTTTAGTTTGCCCTTTTTTGATATAATTTTCTCTGACTCGGATTTTACAGATTTAAATGATTTCACACTTCTAACATCATCTGGGAGACTTTTGTTGAGATTACCGATGTCGATGTTTAAATTAGCAAAAAGATTTTCTTGAGGCGCAATCAGGAACTCAGGACCGGATGCCGTTTCAGTTTCTATAGGTTTTTCTAAACCAAAAGTTGTAGGTTTTGTTTGATTGGCTGGTAAATGGAATTTCTTTTTTTGTCGACGAACTTTTCCCATTTTTACTAATTTAAAAAAAAAACGATTTAATTTCAAACAAAGGAATCAGTACACTTACCCAAGAATCAAATTTCCAAAAGTTATGAAAGATTTTTTTTAATGCATGACTTTGTGAGGTTAACGTGATTTTTTTGTCTTTTGACGGTTTTGACCTTGACAAATGTTTAATGTTCGTCAACTTAAGTTGTCATCTTGTTGATGTTCTGTGGTGGTTATCATAACCTATAATACACGTTACGTTTCCAAAAAGAATTTATTATTTCCTAAATGATATTACTTTATAAGTATGGAAAAAAATGATGATGGCGAAAATTTGGAAAGTTCGGTTTCTGAAGGTATGTATATGTTTTATTCAGACCGTAACACACAGTTGTGTTTTAACGAAACTATTATAATTGTAGAGCCAAGCACTACCAAAACACACGAAGAAACAGAGGTTGGATTAACCCAAACCGATAACAGCGATGAAACTGAAGCAACAGAACCTTCCATGGATCAGACAACCAATTATGACCCAAATAATGTTCACTATGAGGGCAGCACTGCAATATACACAGACCCCAACACTGGCACACAATATGAATGGCATTCAGACAAAAAAGAGTGGAGCCTAAGAGAAGTTGCTTATACTTTTGAAGGTGATACTCACGTTTACACTGATAAAGACGGCGTAAAGTTCTTCTGGGACAAAGAAAAAAAAGCTTGGTTTCCAAAAGTGGACGACGATTTCATGGCACGTTACCAAATGAGTTATGGCTTCGTGGAAAATATAGAAGAACCAAAAGAAACATCCGAAACCGAAGCAGAACCCGAAAAACCTCAATCGAAACCAGAAAAACGCAAAGCTTCAGAACCCACATGGTTCGACGTTAGTGAATCTGAAAACACAAAAGTGTATGTGAGCAACTTACCTACAGGCATAACGGAAGAAGAGTTTGTGGATTTGATGCAAAAGTGCGGGCTCGTAATGCGAGATGCCGCCAGCGGCAAGTTTAAAATTAAATTATACAAAGAACCTGGAACAGATTACCTCAAAGGAGACGCGCTTTGTACTTACATCAAAGTAGAATCAGTCGAACTAGCGTTAAGTTTATTGGATGGATCAGATTTTAAAGGGCACAAACTTAGAGTCGAGAGAGCCAAGTTCCAGATGAAGGGAGCGTATGACCCTAAACTAAAACCGAAAATGAAAAAACGGAAAGAAAAAATGAGATTGAAGAAAATTCAAGAGAAGTTATTTGATTGGCGGCCAGAGAAATTCGTTGGGGAAAGAGCCAAACACGAGAAAGTCGTCATAGTGAAGAACTTATTTGAACCGTCGATTTTCGACACAGACGTTGGCTTGATTTTAGAATTTCAGCAGGATTTAAGGGAGGAAGTATCGAAAATCGGCGTAGTTCGAAAAGTTATTATTTATGATAGACACCCAGAAGGGGTTGCGCAGATCAACATGTCGTCGCCTGAGGAAGCCGATGAAGTTCTGAAAATGCTAAACGGGAGGTGGTTCATGAAACGGCAACTTACAGCGGAAATCTGGGATGGGAAAACGAAATTTAAAATAGCCGAAACGGACGCTGAAATTAACGAACGAATGGATAAATGGGATAAGTTTTTAGAAGACAAGGAAGATAAGTCCAAGGAAGCGTCTGTAACATAGACAAATCGAAAATACATACATATTTAAATGTTATTTTTATTTATTTTAAGACAATAAACTAGTTGCTAAAATTGCCGCATAAATTCAAATGTGACGTTTCGTCATATGATCGCAATCGACCAATTACCGCTGCACATGCGTATTACCGTTTTGTTCGCCGGTCTGGTTGGGGATAGGTGAGGTTTTCTCCCATAATTTTCCAATTTCCTTTAAAAACCGACCTATTTTCGCGAAATTGCAACCGCAGTACTAATTTGGGGCCTCTCGGCGATCGAATAATGATACGAAAGTTGCAAATCGGTCACTTCGTGTCGATTCTGACGTGATTCTTTCTTTGCAGATTTCACCACTGGGAGTCCATTGAAACAAATTTGGTACCATATTTTGCTGCAGTATGCAGTATAATAACGTATTCCACAATAGTTCGATGTAAGTGATGTGTCTTTTTGATTTTCGGGTCGGAATTTGGCGATTTTGACAATGGAAAGTGGTTGACCTCTTGTTCCACTTCTGTAACAAAGGCTGCCATTTTCTGATTGTCAGTCGTGTTATGCGAACAATTTTCAATTAAATGTCGGGAATTGGGATGGAAAGGTTTGGTTTGTGTGAGAAATTGGCTATTTTGCGGTCGAGTACGTTTTATGGGGAGTCTTAAATTGGTGAAGGCTGTAGTGTAGCGTAGACTGGTTCGAAGGGGTTGGTCGTACGACTTGCACGAGTTGAACTTTTTAACTTTTAAGAAATTTTACCCTATAACGAAAACTAATGCACATTTTTCATGCTCATTAAAATTATTAAGATTTGTAAAAAAAAGTAACTATTTAACATAAATTGTAATGTGCATCCTTAATCTATGTCGTTATTGCTCAATGTATTCGCAAAAAACAAATCATTATAATGTTGTAACGTAACAGATTGCCTAAACAGTTTTAGTCTTTTGAAGGTTTTAAACTTAGAAACAATTGTCAGATGTTGAAAGAAAACGTAAAACTTGTAAAACTTTAAATTTTTGTTTGCAATTATTGATATTTGTTGGTTGTATAGTGGATATTCAAAAGTTTAGAAGATTTAAAAATATATTCAAACGTAAAAATCTTGACATGGCAAAGGTATGAAAAGCGGAAACATTACTTCCAAGTAGATAAGAAACGGTTAAGTTAATGGTGTTGTCCTTGTTGCAAACGTCACCGTGTCTCTTACGTGTAAATATGGCTGTATATCATTCCATTTCATAATAACGCAAATATGCGTACTATTTAGATTATTTAAATAGTTAAATAATGAACTGAGACTGATTTTGGTTGAAAGTAATTTTTCAATTATTTCTTATTATAATTATGGTATTCGTGCGGTAAAAACTTGATTTAAAACGAGTACAAAAGTAAGAGGAGTTCATTATCGTTACCTTTTTTTTTCGCAAATTTTTTTGAAGGTTGCTATATGATTTTTACTTCTCGATCGTAATTAAAAGAAACGTCATGAGATCGTTTTGACGACTGTATTAATTTCATATTTTTGAGTGTTTATGTTTTTCTTACTCCCGTTTACGTTTATTTGTCTTTCTCCGTCCGTCTATTAAGTAAATCTCACGTGAAATTTATAGTATCTCACGCTCCTTTATCTGTGTTTACTAGTCAATCACTGTTTTCATTTTACTGTAAATGGTGAGTTACGAAATGAATAATAATAATTAGAGATACAAACCAAACTTGTGGTAACAATAAAAGTGAGTCTTATTATACAGTGTTTTCAAAAATTTCCCTTTTTTAAGGGTCACACCAACACATCGAAATAAGCGAATGAGAGACGGAGTAATATGCAGTATTCAAATACACGGTGTTTTGTTTGAAAATGTTCTCATAAACAGTTCCACTAATCTTTCCCTGTTGGAGAAACTGTCCATTTAATTTCCTTGAAAATCTCAGACCATAAACTTATGATATTGTCATCAACTTGTTAAAATTAATTTTTATTCTTGTCAAGAATTACTACATCTTTATTAAACAGTCTGGTTTTGTGTAATAAGGTGCAAGGGAATTTCCGACTATTTTTAATTCCCGACCGCGAGCTTGAAACAGGGTCCATTGGCATGTTTTTTGACGTTTTGTGACCTCGAGAGTACGAAAAATAGATATCCCGTTTTCACCTGATTCGATCTAAAATTTGCAAAATATAAGTGAATACATATTTTTTAGAATTGGTCACTTAGAAGAATTAATGAATGAGTCAATTTATTTTATTGATTAAATCAAGAACGGCTCACTCCATTTTCCCGAAAATTTGGAAATATAGTGTTGTTACCTATTAGTATATACACTGCACCTATCCAAATTGATATACACGCTGACAACGTCATCACAAAATTTTGTAATGGAAACACTCACTTGAAACATCCACATACAGTCGTTTCCAAAAAATTTCGGGCAAGATGAGCAAATCAGGTTCTCATAGATCAATGAAAAGCAATGGGACTTCCATGTCAAATCTCATTTGCCCGAATTTTTTTTTGGACAAGACGGTTGCACGCTTCTTTATCTTTACGTTAACATTTCATAGCAATTCTTTTTTAATTTCTAGGGATTATCATAAAAAATATATTCACAAGACCAAGTTTTATAATTTTTCGAAATACCTGAATATGCTGCACTCCTTCAGAGGCGACGGAAGTTCTGTGCAAGTAACCTTGCACCAATCCTTTAATTTTTCCTTTGTATATTTTTGAAATTATTATTAAATATTGCTTTTAACCGGACCGTTGTCTTTCGTAATAAAGGATCTGCTGCCAGAAAAACAACATGGTAAAATCAATAAAGGTTTCATTTGTAGAAAATTGACAGTTATATTTAAGCAATTATTTTTTTCTAATTCTCTCGATTCATTTAGTAAACGTTAAAATGTAAGATATTGAAATAAGGAAATAATGACGTCATAGCGTGGGTATCGTGTTGCCTAGAGCAGTTTAGATTTAATAGTCGTTAAATTCTAGAAAGTACAACATTGAAGAAATTTTTTTAACGTAACACTGATTTTGAGAGGTTCATTGAGATTCATTTTTAAGTCCCTTATTATTTGCGGTCCTGAGTAATGACGACATTAATACGTTTAAGTATGAACTTTGCATATATGCAAATGTAAAGGCGATAAAAAAGATTTAATTCATGGTGTGTGGGCTCGTGCTACTTGTAGCTGTACAATAAATGAAATAAAAGAAATTTGTCAGATCTAGAGATGACAATAAAACTAGTAATTTTGTGCATTTAAATAAAAAAAAGTGTTGGTTTTTCGATTGTAGAAACTATGACGTCAGTTCACCTTTTTTGCAACCCACTATCGCCTACATACATTTTTTGAATACAACAATAACTATAGTACCCCCCCCCCTTGTGACGTCCTAAAAGAATTGAACAACTTCGCATATCACGAACAATTTTCAGTAAAATAATTTCAAAGCTGATTTTTGAGCAATTTGTCTAATCGCAAAGACCGCGTACAATAACGAGATTTGTGTCAGGTTCAGATCACGTCCTGATCGCAGTGAACAATTCGGTAAGCAGTCCAACTATTGGTACGGCCCTCCACAGCACACCATCGCTCCAGTTCAAGATTTTGGGGGCCCTATTTCAAAACAATACAAAAAGAAACCTCAAGAGGACCAAAAACAGACCAGTACCGTACCTGTGTGGAACGGAATGGAATTGAAACCTTTCCGAAAGAACTTTTACATTCCTCACAACAACGTGAAGAACCGCAGCCAGCAAGATGTCGACGAATTCCGGGACGTAAACGACATAATAGTGCGAGGAAACACCGTGCCGTGTCCCAATTTGTGCTTCGAAGAGGGCAACTTCCCTGACTACATCATGCAGGTCATACTGAAGCAAGGTTTCGCCGACCCAACCGCCATCCAGTCGCAAGGTGATACATTTTCAGCGTTAGTTTGGTCTCATAATTTTTTTGTTTTTTCAAAATTAGGGTAAACAATTACTAAACTCCAAAAATTCATTTTAAGGTTGGCCAGTGGTGATGTCGGGTCGCGACTTGGTAGGGATTGCCCAGACCGGCTCTGGAAAAACTCTCGCGTATATGCTACCAGCTGTAGTCCACATTAACCATCAACAAAGGCCCCAGAGGGGCGAAGGCCCGATTGCCCTAATCCTAGCCCCAACTAGAGAACTTGCCCAACAAATCCAAAAAGTAGCCCACGAGTTCGGGTCAACGACCATGGTGAGAAATACATGTATTTTCGGAGGCTCGCCCAAAGGGCCTCAAGCAAGGGATTTAGAACGAGGAGTGGAAATAGTTATCGCGACGCCTGGAAGATTAATCGACTTCTTGGAAAAAGGTACCACCAATTTGCAAAGGTGCACCTATCTGGTGCTCGACGAAGCCGACAGGATGTTGGACATGGGCTTTGAGCCCCAGATTAGGAAGATTATCCAGCAGATCAGACCCGACAGGCAAGTCCTAATGTGGTCGGCAACTTGGCCGAAACAGGTGCAAGCACTCGCCGAAGAGTTCTTGGTAGACTACGTTCAGGTAAATAATTGGTTGTTTAATAGTTATGAAATGAAAATTGTTTGATTAATAGGTAAACATCGGTGGGCTATCTTTAGCCGCGAACCATAACATCAAACAAATCGTGGAAGTTTGCGACGAAAACGACAAAGAAGAAAAGTTGTGTAAGCTTCTGAAAGAGATCGGTTCCGACTCGTGCAACAAAATTATCGTTTTTGTCGAGACCAAGAAGAAGGTTGATGATATCACGAAATGTATCCGACGAGAAGGCTATGCCGCTATTGCTATTCATGGTGATAAGTCTCAACCAGAGCGCGACTATGTGTTGGCGGAGTTCCGTTCGGGCAAATCTTCGATTTTGGTTGCTACGGATGTGGCAGCCAGAGGCCTGGATGTAGAAGATGTGAAGTACGTCATCAATTTCGATTACCCCAACTCCAGTGAAGACTACGTCCACAGGTCAGTATTTGTTTTTGTGAAACGTGGCCTGTTATCTATTCACGAAACATAAATGACAAGCAATGTCAAATTTTCAATTTTCAAAAATCGGTGTGTAGTTAGAGAGTACAGCCCGTCATTATAAAATTATAGTTTATGTCAACTAATCTCTTCAGTTTTTCTTCAGTAAATATTTCTCCATAAATACTTTTAGTTACGTGGAATGGGAATAAAATTTAGGATCTTAAATACCATAAATATTTTAGCCGTTAGTTTGCATGTCTTGTTAGACAATAATTCATACTTGGCACAAAAAAAAAATCGTTCGCATTCTATCGCGGTGGACTAACGATGATATGATGACAGTAGTTAAATTGATGTTTAAGCATCCTGGTCATTTGTTTGAAAAAAAATCTCAGTGCCGCCAACGCTAATATTTCATTAAAAACAGTATACGAGAATTTGTTATTTTATTCTTATGTCATTTATGTTTAGTGAATGGATAATAAGTTACTTTTACCGAAAGTGCGTGCATAGCAGCATTCGTTTACATGCAGCGCACCACTTTGTGCCTTGTGTCACGTTCGCGTATGTCATACTGTGCTCACTTTCGGTATTTGACAAACTGCAACGATATGACGCAGTAAACACTTCCTATTTTCTAGAATCGGTCGCACCGGCCGATGCCAACAAGCCGGCACAGCTTACGCATTTTTCACGTCCAACAATCAAAGACAAGCAAAAGATCTATTGGCCGTATTAGAAGAAGCCGGCCAGAACGTATGTTCCCAATTACAAGAAATGGCGCAAAACGCCCGTCCAACCCAAAACGGTAGAAGCAGATGGCACAACAGAAACAAAGATAATTCCTCGCCTAATTCGAACAACTCGAATAGGGGAACGAAAAGTTGGAGTAACAAGAATTTCAGCAACGGCAATGATTATCGGCAGAACCAATCTGCGAGAGTCAACATGAACGGAAACGGACCGAGGGGCGACAATATGCAACGGAACAACGGTCAGAGGAACTACTCGAATGGATTCGGCTATCAAAATCCTCAATTCCAAAACGGTCAAGGGTATCAAGCGTCTTACAGTCCGCCCAACATGTACCAGCAGAGTCAGCAGGGAAACGGCGGGAGACATTATGGTACGTTGTAGTGTTTTCTGTTTTTTTTTTTATTAGCGCGTCGCTACACTGTGTGATAAACCGGATTAATTGACTTGTTTCAACTTCCAGGTAACAACACACGCAACTACAACGCCCATTCCCGCTACAACCAGCAGCGCCAGCCCGCGTACGGCGGCCCCCCGCCCGCCAGCAGCCCCAACATGTACCACACCGTGCCCCCACAGGCCTACATGATGCAAGCGGCGCCCGGCCCGGACGGCATCCAGTCCATCATCAACCACAAATTTTTCCAGAGCAGCCGCTTGCCCAGCACCACCAACCCGTGCGCTTATCAGTCAATGGGTCAAGGTCAAGCGACACCCTACAACCAATTCCCCGGCCCCCTCCCCTACACCTACCCCTACACCCAACAGCCAGCAACCGCCGTACAGCAGTAAATACGCACCAGAGGGCGCCAGCGTCGTTCCTGTTTTATGTAGTCTATATGTAATCTCATTGAAGGGTGGATCGATCCATGTCAAAACGATAGTTATTTTTGTACTAATAATAAATTTCTTGCGTCAAGTGTTGAGGTTTAGTGCGGTTGCACGTTTTGAAATGGAATCCCCTTCATACACGTTGTCAATTCGGTGTTTTTGGTTAACACAACGACGCGACGTCACGCGCCCGGGGCAGGCCTCGTTTAATATCGAAATTATAGTTTAGGTTGCGTTATTACTTTGATCGGCAGAGGAGCTATGCGGTTGAAGTGATAATTTTTCGGAAAAGTGCTCGGTCGCCAGTTTTTGGTGTTTCGATGTTGGGTGGGGTTTGCCCGGGGACGTTTGCACGCTTTGGCTTAATGTTTATTCGATAACGCAGTGGGCTCTCCGACTCTTACAGGTGTTTGTTTGCCGGTTCCGGCGTTATTATATATTTAGTGTGTAATCTGTGTGTTCTCGCAACGAGATTTAGGTAGTCTAGTGTAACTATCTGTATGCTGTTGAAATGCACGAAACATATAGAAGGGGAGTTCGGGCTCGTTTCGTTCTATAGTATTTCATATATTAACTTGAATCCATGCTGTTTAGGAGAAGAGCGTCCAGTCAAAGATTTATATTTCTCCTTTGTTTGGGGTCGCTTCGAAGTATGGATGTTTTGACTGTACGGGAAAATTGTAGCCAGCAGCAGCGCAGAGTGAGAGTTTTAGCCGTACGCGTCGTGTGCAAGTGACTCGTACCTTTCGTTTTTAATTTATTGCGATTCTTGACATGACTGCTTGTGTCGTGTAAATATGTGTAGTATTAAGTATTAACTCGTTCGTCGTTTAGCGTGGTGCTGACTAGTGCGCACGTCCATCTGTGATATTTAGCGATTACGGTAGCAAAAGAATAATAATATTAACTTTTCCGTGTCTGGGAGAAACGCCAAGCGTTATTATATTAAGCTATGTACAATAACGTTGCAAGGAATGTGATATTTTCTATAAAAAAGACTGAAATATCTCTAGATAATGTTTCGTTTTAAAGCAAGGCCAGACGGTCCGTTTTGAACCTCAAGATTTTTATTGTTACGTATACAGTTTTATTAGTTTTTATACGGAAAGAGAGCGTATCTCGGTCACTGAGTGCGGCAAGCACAAAGTTATTTCATTATTCTATGACGTTATCATTCGCGCCATTGCATCGTAACGATTAACGATTTTATATAATATTTAATATGTCTGTTTTTTTTTCACGTTTCGTTTTTCTTTCGTGGTATGTTTCTGTCGCAAGTACCTTGTAATTATAAGTCTCGAACCAGAACTGGGGTAAATCAAACGTGAGTGATCCGCTAAGCGCGATTTCGGTCATGTTTTATCACTACTTACTTTAGTTTGTTTTTTTCCTTATCGACAAATTAGATGCATGACCCTCGCATTAAAACTCTCTAAAGAAAAAAAGTTGTTGTTAAAAGAAAAAGTTATTAGTTATATACTCTTCTGTAAGTTTCCAGCAAGTGCATTTCTTGTATGTAATACAGTATTAATATAGTTGTAATTTGAATATATTCATTTCTAATGTTTTCTTGGCAATTCGATTTTTAACCTGGATGTATAATTGTATATTCATTAAAAAAAAAAAGGAAACGAAATATTTATATTTTGTGAAAAAAATTGGGACTTGAAATTTTTAATGAAAAAGATGGAATCTACAAATGTCGCTGTATTGTATTTTCTAAGAAAATTTCACATACGACAAATTTTCAAAAATTGGATTTTATTTTCATACACACATATTTTTATTTGCAGAAGGCTGTACATGTATTTTCAAAAATATTCCATCTGGTTTATTTAAAATGTCAAAAAATCCGAATTAATTGTTTATTCAAATATTTCAAATAAAAATGTACCGTAAAGGTGTCTTTTTATTTCCCACTCACCGAGTTCCAAAAAAACACATTTACTTTTAGTTCAGTTTATTTTTCTAACTGAAAGATACTTTTTATAGTTACTATTTGACTGTTGATTTTATTAGAGTGGCCAAGCTATCGTATCGATTACACTAGTTTACAAGGTTTTATATCCAAAGACAAAAATAGTTGAATCTAAAGGATTTGGGTTCAGGAAATTCAAATCTGAAAGCAGAAAAAATCCATCACGTCAGGTTTTTGAGATATTTATATAAACAAACCCGGATTTCTTTTCTTTTACGCAACTCTTGTAACTTTTTTATTTTTAAATATATATGAACATATAGTTCTTTAAGTAAATTTGTATCATTTTAAAAGATCATTTACGTAAATCAATAACATGAGTGTCAATTTTTCAAGCTACTAGATTGTCATCAATGTTTTATTTAAAATTTTTCAAGTACTGATTTTAGAATAATTGATTGCTTTCGATTTTTCCACGGGAAATGATAATAAAAATGTGAGGTTGGCCTCACAAAGATCTTTTAAAATGATACAAATTTGCTCAAAGAAATATAGGTTTATCTTTAAAAGTAAAGAAGTTACAGGGGTTGTATCAAATAAAAGCAACACCCAGTATATGTTATAAACATTATGACATGAGTGAAAATTAAAAATGATTAACACTGGCTGACACTGGCTTTTTTTATTGACAGTACTGTCAGTTTCCTTTATAATAGACCAACAGTAACACATTTTTATCCCAAAAACCTTGATACCTTCTTTTTAAGCATATTTGAACAGGTATTGCTTCTTTAGGTTCTATAATTTTACCACAAACGTAACAAACCTGATTTGCACTTATACTTTGCACGATCTCGAAGACATTTTTTATGCGACAATGGTGCATTAACATGAATCAGTTCAACACTAACGTGAAGGTAAAAGCAAAGTTCGTTATTTTGGATTTATGAAAAAACCTGACGTGATAAGAATTATCCGTTTTTGGATTTGTTATCAGTAAGTAATTTAGAAGTAAAAAAATATTTTTTTATTTTTGGATATGAAAAAAAGTTTAAATTTGTAAACTAGTATTATTATTGTAAAATTTTAGAATTACAAATTAAAATAGTGCCGCCACATTGCCCTCAAATTTTTTGGAAAATGGAAAGAATTGTCATCCTATGGAAATTTAATACACGTTGTACATCGAACTATTGTTGAATCAATTATTAGAAAATAAAAGTAAAGAAATGTGTTTTTTGTGTACACTTTAGAAATATGTATTTCTTAATTTAAATTTTAGCGCGCATTTTAAAAAGGTGAACATCCGCCTTATCGATCCCAGAGGCCGCCACTACCGCTTTGTTCTAAATGTGCGCATGTGCTCTGAAATTTGTGAAGCCGAAGACCCCAATTTCGTCATCGCTGCTCTCTTCAACTTTGGACGTTGTTGAGGTAAGTAGAGCTTTTCGCAAAAATATTCACTTTTTTACAAAAAAAATTGTTTTTGTTGCATCAAAGTGTGCAACTGTTGATTCTCACGCCATTTTAACGACAACAAACACGACAAAAACTCATTCACTTGTTTTTTCGGCAGAATTCCAGCAACTCCAAAGCCCAGCAAAAATCAAGTTTAACACCGCCTTAAGAACACCATCCAGCAACTGTAATCATGTAAGTACAGTTTTTGCGCCCTTTGTAAACGGACTTTGTAAATATTTTTCAATTCGAAGTCCAAACGATGGAATTCAAGCAATCGATAATTTTCGGGATTTTAAAAATGTCTGCCTTTGGTAGCCCAGCAACCTTTCTTTACTTTTCAATATTTTCCATTAATACAGTTTTAACTCGAAAGCTAAACCACGCTATTAAAAGAAAAATGGAGCTTGCAGCCTTCATTTCATGCGATATTTCCTCTAATTGCAGGTCGTACGGCAAACAAAATGGCGGCTCGTACCGAGGCCGAGGTTCAGACAATGGATACGGAGGCGGCTCGAACCGCAGCAGCAGCAACGGCTTTGGATCGGGCGGCAGGTACAAAAGCGGGGGCGGTGGCGGCGGAGGTGGTGGCAACGGAGGCGGTCGCTTCGGCGGCGGTCGCAACGGACCCGGAAGTGGGGGCCCACCTGGAAATCGCCTCCGCAAACCCAACTGGGACATGAAGAACCTGAGGCCGTTCAAAAAGGATTTCTACGTCCCGCATCCTGCCGTGGCGAATCGGTCCAAGTACGAGGTCGACCAGTATAGGCGTTCCAAGGAGATCACTGTTGACGGGGATGCTCCTAATCCTATCCAAAATTTTAACGAGGCGTGTTTTCCGGATTATGTTATGCACGAGATTCAGAAACAGGGGTACGATGCACCCACGGCGATTCAGGCGCAGGGATGGCCCGTGGCGATGAGTGGGAGAGACATGGTCGGTATTGCGCAAACAGGTGAGGTTTCTATTTGTTCTTTTTTTTTTTAGTTTTAATTGTGATGTGGGCGCTTTAAGAAAATAAATTCTGATGTAGAAAGCGTTCAGTGAAATGTTATTTGTTTTTTTAATGTAAATAATTTTGACGAGAAACTTATTAAATTGATTGTTGTGAACATTATTTAACTGTACAGACAATAAATAGAGTATTAATTGTAAGTAGAGTGTTATGTGAAACTCAACTTAACCACTTGTCAGTGTTTACTGTACCGTTTAAACAAAGTTATCATCTTTCAGGTTGGTGACCTTAACATTAGTTACATTTACGTTTTTTTCCAGGATCTGGAAAAACTCTCGCATATATCCTTCCAGCGATAGTCCATATCAACAATCAACCCCCAATCACCAGAGGCGAAGGTCCAGTCGCTCTAGTTTTAGCCCCAACACGTGAACTCGCACAACAAATCCAGCAAGTCGCACATGACTTTGGTAGTTCGTCCTACGTTAGAAACACATGCATTTTCGGTGGAGCACCCAAAGGACCCCAAGCCAGAGATCTGGAACGAGGAGTCGAAATCTGCATCGCCACTCCAGGACGATTAATCGATTTCTTGGAAAAGGGTACCACAAACTTGCAAAGATGCACATACTTGGTATTAGACGAAGCCGACAGAATGTTGGACATGGGTTTTGAACCACAAATTAGAAAAATAATTGAACAAATCAGACCAGATAGACAGACTTTGATGTGGTCGGCAACCTGGCCCAAAGAAGTTAGGAAATTGGCCTCAGATTTTTTGAGGAGTTACATTCAAGTTAATATTGGGTCACTGCAATTGTCAGCCAATCATAACATTCTACAGATCGTTGATGTATGTCAAGAACATGAAAAGGAAACAAAGTGAGTAGTAATTCTATGAAATATTTAGTGTGTTATTGACAACAAATGATCAGAAATAGAAATGTAATGCATCCCTCGGGAAAAATATATGTAGTGTGCAATAAAACCACTTCTATTTCTGATCACGTCATATTTTTATGATGAGCAACGTGTCTGATTAGCTGTGATGCTTTTTCACTCACCCTATCCTCTAAGAAGAACTGACTTTCACACCGTTTAATAAAAACTTTCGAATTTTGAAACTTGTTTTATCACTTGTTTTGTTTTTCTTTCCAGATTAAACAATTTATTGCAAGAAATCGGCAACAATGGGGAACCGGGCGCCAAAATAATCATCTTTGTGGAAACCAAAAAGAAAGTAGAGAGCATAACTAGAACAATCAGACGTTACGGTTGGCCAGCGGTGTGTATGCACGGTGACAAAAGCCAGCAAGAACGCGATTACGTTTTGAGGGAGTTCCGCAACGGAAAGTCGAGCATTTTAATAGCTACAGATGTAGCGGCTCGTGGATTGGGTAGGTTTTTGTCAATGATTCCGCGTCGATTTGATTTTCATCTGTTTCTTTTTTGGAATTTAACCATGTTCAGTTTTGTTTTTGGACTTAAATATCAAAAAGTAAACTTCGGAATTTTCTCTATGGCATAGTAGCACTCTGGGGATTTTCCAGACTGGTTTTGTTTTCATTATTGAAGGGTGCGCCAGTTGAATGGGTGGGGAGTAAGCTTACGGCATGTGTCTGGTGACCGCCAACACGTAGGAGCATCTCAAAAACCGAATCTCATTTATTTAAATAAGCTTAGTTTGTAAGTTAAGGATAACATACGGAGCAGATTATTAATCAGTCTGGTTGTCCTTTTTGTTTCAGAGGCACATGCAGGATGAGCGTATTTAGCACGTGCTAATAATTACGCCTTTGTTGCGTTCTTGTAAAGGATGCAATTCTGTGTCTTGCGGTGCCTCTGGCTGGCTACCCCGCTCTGAGGTAGATCAGTTGAGGAGGTAGAAGACCGATGGAAGATTTGATGTACATTCGCATCAAATATGGCACATGTTTGTATAATCCAGGCTCTAAAATCCAACCTTTCCGCCACTCCGACTTCCTTTAAATCGCCGCTTCGGCGCACGTTTCGGGGATTTACCAAATGCCAAGTCAAACAAATGTCATTCAAATTTGAGTATTTGTCTTCCGTTCGGTCCTGCAGTGTCTAGAGCGCCCGATTGTTTATTGATCCCACCAGCACATGCGCTCGGACATCACTGCAGCAGCCACTATATGCTACTATAGCTGTTCCGATGATTTGTTGTAAAAGCTTCACTACTTCGTGGATCACTTGAAACTCGAGTCATGGTTAGTATTCTTGATATTTTTTATTTATAAATCAATCACGGGGCGCGTCTAGCGGCAACGCGACACTTTGTATTGTCAAAATCGAAATGGTTGCCGCTCGACGCGGCGTCCGATTTATTTTACAAATATTCAAATTCAGCTTAACTTGTGTTGACTAATTTTGATTTTGTTAAGACAAGTTTATTTTCTGTGTTTACTAACGATACTAAAACTAGGACGCATTCCGAACTCTATACTAAACGACTTTTCCTGTAGATGTGGAAGGAATTAAATACGTTATAAACTATGACTATCCCAACTCTTCAGAAGATTACATTCACAGAATAGGCAGAACGGGTCGATCTGACTCCACGGGTACTTCATACGCTTTCTTCACTCCATCCAATTTCCGACAAGCCAAAGATCTTGTTTCTGTCCTCAAAGAAGCCAATCAGGTAAGATCATTTTCATGTGTCGTCGTAGGACCCTTCCTTTTTTGGCATGCCTCTGCGTAGACCAATCAGCAGAGCATGAATGCTGAAGGAAGGGAAATTACAGTTTGGGAAATATGCCTTCGGTGTCCACACGTTTCTTGTCTGGATCCCATCCTCAAATTTCCCCACATTGACATTCTTATAATGGAATAACTTTTCTAAAGTATCGTTTTTTCTTAGGTGGTAAATCCAAAGCTCTCTGAAATGGCGAACCGCTGCGGCGGCTACGGCAGTAAAGGCGGTGGTGGCGGTCGCTGGGGTGGTTACGGAGGCGGTTTCAAGGGCCGAGAAAATAGCGGACCAAGACATCATCAGAGATTTAACAATAGCGGACGAACCAATGGATATAGTAACGGAGGATCATACTAAATTCGAGTGTGGACATGGAATGAGCTGATCATTTGTGACAGTATTTTTTTCTTCAGATGCATTCCGGATGCGTCCAACTTAGTTGCGAATTGACTAAAAGAGAACTTATTTTTTATTTATTTATAACAATTCATAACATATTTATTGAACGCGACCCGAGTGGTTTTTGTAATTTCTCTGTAGAATTTAAGTTTCTCATGTTTATTAATTAATGTTTGTAACTGTGATTAGAATCGACTTTAGTTATATTGATACAATATAATCTTTCCCGATTATCCTTGGCAATCCGTCAAAATATTAGTTTTAAAGAAATAAAAATGTTTTTGTAAACAAAGTCTTTGTGTTAAAACGGCACATTATAAAATGAAGGTCTGAATTCTACATTTCAAAGGAATGGAAATTCAACCTAAAAAATGAGCGTGAAGTTGTGTATAACCAATGAAAAAGTATGTTATCGAGACAATTTGAACGTCATGATGTTATTCACTTGAAAAGAAACTATGTAAAATTACAAGGTAATGTATATAGTTTACACAATGACATGTTTTTATTTCTCGGAAGGAAGTATTCCAATCGAGTCCATTTGGTGACTGGCTAATATTTTTTCCACGTTTCATGATCCCTTGAGTAGGGAAAAATTTGTTCCCGCTTCCGTCTGTCAAGATTTTTTCTGAAATGGATGATTATATATTTGTTGAGAATATCGTGAAGATTGTAAAACGTTATTCAAAATTTGTTTGATCATACCCACTAATGATGGAGTGACGTCATCTCCAAAATTTACAGTAGTAAATGTTATTTATATTTTATAAAATAAAATACCCTGCATTTGTGGTTTTATGAATCCGTGTTGAGTTTTTACCCTTGACATCCAGATTTTTGAGAAAAAAAAATCAAAACATTTTACAGTTTGACTTTGTGAAATCTCGCAAACATTTTAAGGTTATTGAAAGCAAGCTAAATTTTTAATCAAAATTTGTTCGTTTATGAGTGTATAGGCTAGGCATCAGTTTTTTGAAAATAAAACGAGTGTATAATTATATCAATTAGTTCAATAAAAATCAATCAAATTTTCTTTTCTGAACGTGCTAATGGTCGAATTCTTTCGCAGTATGAACATAACCAGTCGGAGTTAAGTACGCATTATACAAGTAAAATTGTGGTACCCAAGGCCTAAGGAGTACTTCACAAATTATGTCAATAAAATGACACATCAGTGCCTGAGATTACGTGCTCGTAAGTGTACAAGCACCATATTTACATCAACGTCTTTGGTTCTAGTTGCACCTAGGTATGTTGGATCGTTTGAAATGTACGCTTGTAGTTGAAAATACGGTTAATCAAAGAATATTAAGAAATTTGACAACATATATTAGAATTTTACTTTGTGAAGTCAATTTACCTTTGAAAAAGGCGAAAATTGAAAAAAAAAAATGACAACTGCGTTTGAAACTTTAATATTAGTTTGAGAGCCGTTTTCTTTAAACCACCGTGCTTTAAATAAACGAAAACAAAATAGTGTCCAAGACATTAAATTTTCCATTGGCAAATAATCTTTTCAAACCTTGCTTCTAATTTTACCCATGTTTCCGTCTACGCAACGCGCAGTGCGCAACATCCGTTTTATTGATCCCAGGGGGCGCTGCTTGTTCTCTTCGACGTCGGACGTTGTTGAGGTAAGTGCTGTTCTTTGTAAAAACCACTGGAAATTTACCAAAAACAAACTTGTAACGTTCTACGGTACCTAGAACACACGCTACTGAAACTTATTCATCGTTTTTTCCTTGCAAAGAAGGCCGTACAACTCCAAAGTCTGCAAAATTCAAGGAAGTTAACACCGTCTTAGGAACACCATCCAACTAAATTCATCATGTAAGTACCTGTTTAATCGCTCCTCATGATCATTTTGTAAATCTGTATTTATTATCTCAAAATACAGACAGCAAAAGTGGGCAATCGATAATTTTTGGGATTTTCAAAATGTCTGCCGTCCGTAACCTAGCAACCCTGCCTAACTCTGTACAAATTGCGATAATTTTTCACCCACCTCACGTCAGAAAATTCTAACGTGAACAACTCATCCAAAAATGGTGTTTGTAGCCCCCATTTCAAGTGTCTTTTCGCCAAATTCCAGGTCTTACGGCAAACAAAATGGCGGCTCGTATCGTGGTCGTGGTTCCGACAATGGATACGGGGGCGGCATAAACCGCACTAGCAACGGATTCGCATCGGGAAGATACAAAAATGGTGGCGGTAACGGAGGTGCACGTTTTGGCGGCGGCCGCAACGGAATCGGAAATGGAGGCCTACCTGGAAACCGCCTCCGCAAGCCCAACTGGGACATGAAGGATCTGAGACCTTTCAAGAAAGATTTCTACGTGCCACATCCTGCCGTAGCGAACCGCTCCAAGTTCGAGGTCGACCAATATGGACTCTCAAAAGGGATCACAGTTGATGGGGATGCTCCAAATCCCATTCAAAATTTTAACGAAGCTTGTTTTCCTGAGTATGTTATGCATGAGATTCAAAAACAGGGGTACGATGCACCCACGGCAATTCAGGCCCAAGGGTGGCCCGTAGCGATGAGTGGAAGAGACATGGTCGGCATTGCTCAAACAGGTGAGATCTATATTTGCTTTTAAGGTTTTTTTTGACTTGTAACTGTGGTATGGATTTATGAAAATAAGGTCGTGCTAATGTACGAGAAGGTGAACTTTCTGGGTTTTGAATGGTTTTTATTCTGAACAAAATGTTATTAATTTGTGTGAACATTTTTTAACTTTTTATAGAGGATAATATAATAAAAAACATCTATTCTAAATGGCAAGGTGGAATTTAGCATAAAAAATGTTGTGAACTAATAGCAGTTTAACTAAAGATTCACAAATGTAAGTAAAAAACACGTGCAAGTGTAAAGTTGCTTCAAGTTCAATTAAAGGTACTAAATGATTGAAACCTGCAATGTGCTTGTTGAATTCTTAAATTAGATAGTACTGAGATTCATTCACAATTAGCTTAAAAATAACGATCCTAATTGATAACAGTGAAAATTAAACTTTATTTTACTATTCCTTAGTAGGTGTAGTTTAAGAGGAATCGCTGCGTTTTCATGGGATTTTCGGTACATTTTTAAAATGTAATATCTCCAACACTAACAGACTTATTGCTATGAGATTTTAAATAGAACCTGTCCATAACTTTCTACATGCAGGGTGAATCAGCTTAAATGATCAGTTTGATTAAAACTACTCCTATAAATAATGTAGGGGTAGTTTTTTGCAATTTAGCATCTTTTAAAATTTTGATCATAACAATGTCAGCAGTACACCCAATACATTTATGATTTTTTTTTCAGGTTCGGGAAAAACTCTTGCTTACATCCTTCCAGCGATAGTTCATATCAACAATCAACCCCCAATCACCAGAGGTGACGGTCCAGTCGCTTTAGTTTTAGCCCCAACACGTGAACTAGCACAACAAATCCAGCAAGTCGCTCACGAGTTTGGTAGTTCGTCGTACGTTAGAAATACATGCATTTTCGGTGGAGCACCTAAAGGACCCCAAGCCAGAGATCTGGAACGGGGGATTGAAATCTGCATCGCCACTCCGGGACGATTAATCGATTTCTTAGAAAAGGGTACCACAAACTTGCAAAGATGCACATACTTGGTATTAGATGAAGCCGACAGAATGTTGGACATGGGTTTTGAACCACAAATTAGGAAAATTATTGAACAAATCAGACCAGATAGACAGACTTTGATGTGGTCCGCAACCTGGCCGAAAGAAGTTAGGAAATTGGCTTCAGATTTCTTGAGGAACTACATTCAGGTTACCATTGGGTCGTTGCAGTTGTCGGCCAATCATAACATTCTGCAGATCGTCGACGTGTGTCAAGAACATGAAAAGGAAACAAAGTGAGTTGCTGTTTTATGCCATATGATCAGAGAGCCAGTAATGTAATGATGAGCTACGTGTCTGTATGACAGCTATGATGTTTTTTAATCACCCTATCCTCTAAGAAGAACTGACTTCTTTTATTTTGACACGATTATCCGAGTGTTGAAAGTTACTATATTTATTGATTTCTTGTTCCAGGTTAAACAACTTGTTGCAGGAAATCGGCAACAACGGCGAGCCGGGCACCAAAATAATCGTCTTCGTGGAGACAAAGAAGAAGGTAGAAAACATAACGAGAACAATTAGACGTTACGGTTGGCCAGCGGTGTGCATGCACGGTGACAAAAGCCAGCAGGAGCGCGACTACGTCCTTCGAGAATTTCGTAACGGAAAGTCGAGCATTTTAATAGCTACAGATGTAGCGGCTCGCGGATTGGGTAGGTTTTTGTCAATGATTCGCGTCCTTTTGATTTTCATCTTTCTTTTTGGAATTTAACCATGTTCAGTTTTGTTTTTCGACGTACAAAATCAAAAAAGTAAACGTCGGTATTTTTCACTATGCCATAGTAGCACTCTGGGGCATTGAACAAGCCTAGATTGTAGGTTAAGGATAACGTACGGAGCAGATTATTAATCAGTCTGGTTGTCCTTTTTGTTTCAGAGGCACATGCAGGATGAGCGTATTTAGCACGTGCTAATAATTACGCCTTTGTTGCGTTCTTTTATAGGATGCAATTCTGTGTCTTGCGGTGCCTCTGGCTGGCTAACCCGCTCTCAGGTTGGTCGGTTGAGGAGGTAGAAGACCGATGGAAGATTTGATGTATGTTCGCATCAAATATGGCACATGTTTGTATAATCCAGGTTGTAAAATCCACCCTTTCCCCCACTCCCGTTTCCTTGAATCGTACGTTTCGGGGATTTACTAAATGCCAAGTCAAACAAATGTCATTCAAATTCGCGTATTTGTCTTCCGTTCGGTCGTGCGGTGTCTAGAGCGCACGATTTTTAATTGATCCTCCAGCACATGCGCTCGGACATCACTGCCACCGCCACTATATGCTACTATAGCTGTTCCCGATGATTTGTTGTAAAAGCTTCACTACTACGTGGATCCGTGAAACTCGAGTCATGGTTAGTATTCTTGATATTTTTTATTTATATATCGAGTAGGGGTCGCGTCGAGCGGAAAGCGGCACTTTGTGTTGTCAAAATGGAAACTGTTGCCGCTCGACGCGGTGTCCGATTTATTTTAAAAAATTCAAATTCAGCTTAACTTGTGTTGACTAATTTTATTTTGTTAAGACAAGTTTATTTTTTATGTTTACTAATAACGCTAAAACTCGGACATATTTGAAAACCGACGCTAAACGACTTCTCCTATAGATGTGGAAGGAATAAAATACGTTATAAACTATGACTATCCCAACTCTTCAGAAGATTACATTCACAGAATAGGCAGAACGGGTCGATCTGACTCCACGGGTACTTCATACGCTTTCTTCACTCCATCCAACTTCCGGCAAGCCAAAGATCTGGTTTCTGTCCTCAAAGAAGCCAACCAGGTAAGATCGATCATCTTCGGAATTTCCTTCCTTTTTTGGCATGCCTCTGCGTCGACCAATCAGCAGAGCATGAATGCTGAAGGAAGGAAAATTACAGTTTGGGAAATATGCCTTCGGTGTCCACACGATTCTTGTCTGGATCCCATCCTCAAGTTTCCCCACATCGACACTTGCGTGTATGGAACAAGTCTCCTAAAGTATTGTTTTTTGGTAGGTTGTAAATCCGAAGCTCTCTGAAATGGCAAACCGCTGCGGCGGCTACGGCAATAAAGGCGGTGGCGGCGGTCGCTGGGGCGGTTACGGAGGCGGTTTCAAGGGCCGAGAAAACAGTGGACCGAGACATCACCAGAGATTTAACAATGGCGGAAGAACCAACGGATATAGTAACGGAGGTTCTTATTAAATCATGTGTGGACACGAGAGTGAGCTGATCAATTATGACAGTATTTTTTCTTCAGATGCATTCCAAGTGCGTCGAATTTAGTTGCAAATTGAACTTTTTATTTATTTAGTACAATTCACAACATATTTATTGAACGTGACCCGAGTGGTTTCTTAATTTCTCTGTAGCATTTAAGTTTCTCATGTTATTAATTAATGTTTGTAACTGTGATTAGAATCCACTTTTAGTTACGTTGGTATAATCTTGAACGTTTACATTGTTGTAATATAATATTTTCAAATTTACCTCCAGCAGTTCGTCAAAATAATAGTTGTCAAGAAATAAAAATGTGTCTTATAAAGGAATTGTTTTCTTAACAGCATCCCAGTCCCTTTTCAGTGCCAGTCAAAGGTATTTTTATTGACGTGGCGGATATTGGTCGATGAACAAGTTTCTTTAAGTACAGAAGATTGACTGGTATTCATTCATTCATTCATTCCATTTAGTTCGTTTCAATTTCACATAATATTAATGATTATTAGGTTATTTTGTCTCAAATGGAGAATTATGTGAAGATAAAATGTGTGGCAACCATGGCACCAAACGTACTAGGACAGTGAGTGTCATTGCCGGATTATTATTAGTCTAACTAACCAGAATTTAGGAAGTAAGATCATTTTCAATTTACAAGTCGATGCCAACTTCGCGGCAAATCTTGGCGTGTTGCAGCACAAAACGTAAAGATTTACCTATAGATTAACAATGATCGAAGCGACATCGACACTGTTACGTTTCTATAACGACAAACACGTCTTGTCGCTATTGACAGTTATGGTGCGTCCACCGCGGTATCGCCGCATACAAAAAGAGCTTCCTGAACGGGAGGTTATCACAGAACCAGCCCGACGCTCCATTTACGACGTTCTTCAAACGAATCTGAAGATCGCAAAAAGGGTAAACCGTGATACGCAAAAATCCACCTCTGACAGCCCACTTCTAGGTCTGCTACATCCACCGACTGATGTACATAGGAGAGCACAACTTCTCGGTCGGCGACGTGGTCGAAGTCATGGAAAAGAATTACAAACAGACTAATAGTGGATACGGCACCGAGCCCCTGTCTGGCATTTTGCTACATTACTCGAAATACTTTTGCTGTATAGTAGAAGGCTCAGAGGAAGCGATCGCGAAACACTTGCATCTACTCTTCCACACCCATGAAAAGGATCTAAACAATGTCAAGCTTTTGTCGCCGATTCACCACGTGAAAGCGGTAACACGAAAAGTCGTTTTATTTTTAGCGTTTATTAAAAAATCGTAGCGTTTTTTGAATGAGTGGATGTCGTACTACGGTCGACCCCCAGAAAGAGTGGAGGACATCGACGCGGAGAGCAACCTGGAGAACTCGATGAGATACGTCACCGAATGCTGCGAGAAGCTGTACCGCTTCGCGAACGCTTTCATCAGCGATCAAATGAAATTAAGAGCGGCAAAGGAAGAAGTACTTTGAGTGTATTTTCACGTTTTCGTGGTAAGGTTTAATTTTAGGAGGAAAAAGACGACGAGATCCCGCTACCCGGAAGTAAACCTCGTTCTCGCAGCTTGGTCGAAAGAGACATATACAGTGTCCACCTCCCAGAGATAAAACTCTTGGATTTTTTAACGTCGTGCAAATACTTGAAAACTTTGAGTCAGTATTACAAATATTACGAATACATTGGACAGTCGCAAGACTATCGCTGTATGTCCTTCACTAATCTTGTGCTTTTATTATTACTTCGTTTGTAGTTAAAACGTGGCCCGCCCCCAAGAACTTCGTCCCTTACGATATTTTCGACGAAACGTACGACCCTATCACGGATCTCCCAGTTGCGGCAGGGCAAGCCCCAGTAATACACAAAGAAGACGACACGTCCCAGTCAGAAACGGAGTCGATTAACGCCAGAACGGAAACGTAGTTTTATTTACGAATATTAACAAACGAATAAATCATATTCCCATAAATTGGCACAAAAAGTAGTACTTGCGACGTAACCTCGGCTTATCGAAACACCCGTAGAGGTCGTTCAGTTTGAGACAGTCCCCCTTGGAAAGCGCTTTTCTCTGGCCCAAAGTCTTCACTCCTGGCGTTTTCGGGGTGATCGTCGGCTTTCCTTTACCCTTGCTGAAGAAGTACTTGCCGTAGTGCATGATCGAGTCGTAGTCGTACTCGAAACTGTACGTCGTGTTTTCGAGACTCTGCTTGTCGAAGTTGTTTTTAAATTCTGGAAGAAATTTTCTGTTAAGAGTGAAATAAGGAGAGGGTACTGTTACGTGGGATGATGTTGTCGAGATGGACTTTGACGAACTTGTCCCTGTCCCATCTGGACTGTTCGTGGAAGATACCCAGCGCGTGCATGAGCTCGTGGATTGCTCTTCCTTCGGTGCCCAGGCAGTTGGGTCCTGTGGCATCTGGGGCTTGCAAGCTCACGATTTGAGCGCCGCCAAATTTGCCGACGAAGGACCAGCAGCCTTTGGGGTACTTTATGGGCCAGATGAGGAGGTAGTCTTTGGTTTTGCCGTTCCATGGGACGAAGCGGATGCACGTCATGAAGTTGAGAGTGTGGATGGCTTTCATGATGGTTACCTGGTCTGCGGGCTCTGTGGAAGAATATTAGATAGAGGTGTAGAATGTAGATCTAGGTATTTTTAGTTTTCAGTTTTATGGTGCAACATGAATTTTTTTAAATGTGTCTTTGATCGTTGCATTTTCAACACAAACTTACAGTAATATGTCAATACGAAAATTCTATCAACATTTTTTTTTCAAAAATCCATGACTGTTTCATGTTTTTTATTGCGCTCTCGCTATTTCAAAATATCATAAATATAATTTAAAAACATTCGTTTACTTCATTTTACTATTTTCCGAAAAGTGTGTTGTTTTATTTAAACAATAAAATAAAATGTATGAATATATTTATAATTATAGTTTGACAATTAAGCACTTGTTAAAAATGCTTAGAATAACTGTCAGATAGACCCTATTAGTGTGGCAAAAAAACTGTATGTCTTATGACTTACTATTGGTCTATAATGACCTGGATTTGAGGTACATTATTGATCAAATAATACTCTAGGGTAAGGGCACTGAGAATAGTTGTCATAGTAACGTCAACAGAAAACGGAATTTGCTGGAAACCAACTATTTAGTACTTGGTGTATTGCTGGTTGCGTAAATACGGCAACAGAGCTAATTTATATTATTGAAAATTGGAACCACAATATCTGGTATCAGGCAACTCAAGAAATCCAATCATCCAAAAAATTGAACACATTTCCAAAAACACAAAAAAATCGAAAAAATAAAAAAAATCCAAGAAACAAAAATCCTATTTTTAAATTGCATCAAGTACTGTGGATCTACATTTGTTACTCATTAGTACATCAATTTCTTTTTTATGGTTACGCTGTTTAGTTCCGAGAAACGTATGTATCTACCACGGCTATCATTTGAAGTTTATACCCTCGGGCATAAACTACTTATTCATATTATATTATTATTGATACATAAATAACTATTGTGGCCTGATATTAATATTGCTTATTCCAACCATAAGTCGAACAATCTTCTCGGTAAGGATCTTCGTTAGTCCTTCCCAGACTCGAGGCTTGCCACTTTAAAATCTAAGTAAATTTCAGGGTAGTAAATACTTAGGAAAATAGTTGTTCGTCAAAAATATGCTGAGTGAAGATTTCTACATACTTTTATAATTTTTTAAATGACTAATTTTGTGAACGACCATGAACACAAACAAGTCTACTAAAACAGAAAAAGATAGAGAAGAAGATTTAGGTATGGTTTTACCACGGACCCCAAGTTGTTTAATTTTTAAGTTGTAAAATTTTATTCTATATACAGTGTTAATATACTTTCAAAATGTATGTTAAAATTAAAGTTATTTTGATTACTGACCGTAAATCGGACTAATGTAGTACGGCACCGTCCCATTTTTCCACAGCTTTTCCGGAAACACGTCCCACCGAATGCCCACCCTCCAATAGTTGTAAATTTCATTGGTCATGGCCATGTCTCCCTGGAACAACCCCGGGGTGACTTCCGGGTCCGGATCGTCCACCATGTACTCCATATCCGGGCTAACTTTGACTAATGAGAATCGATGATAAATTCTCCATAAAACTATGCTCGATTGCTCGACTCCAACAGAACCAAAACTTTTGGTTTTTCTGCACGCTCAACCCCTAGCACTGATACTGATAACATAGATAGGTACCATGGATGTATATGTAAAGAAAACTGTGAATACCAGTTTACAGGGGTCCAGGCTGCAGAAAAGCCTTGGGTTTTCCTTTCGTCCAAGCCGAGCTTAAAACATCACACTACCATCGTCCGGAACCGGCGGATGCACAACGTCGGGCACTGTCGGCAGGATGTACCTCGCGTTCTTCTCCTGCATCAGAAAGACCATCACTACAAAAACTCGCCGCATCGTGCCGTTGGAAATCATACACTGAAGGCGCCGATTAGCAAACGTCTGTGTGTGGTGCAGGTAGCGGTCCTCCTAGAAATTAAACTCCTATTAGCATAATTTGCGGAACGTGAACCTGTGGGTTTATGATTGGCGAAACGGCGCGTATAATTGAATCTTTTTTTTCTGGGATCGGAGGAGTGCTCGCGTATTATTGATGAGATCGCGATCCCGTCTGGTGATTTAAATCCGGATCGATCGTTTGCCGTTTGATGACCTCTGGCGACGCGGTTAATTCATAGCTTTACGAGGCGATGAACAGTTACGTGAGGAGCAGTCTTATCATTTTCCCCCACGCTGGGTGCTGCAAGTATGCGATGATTGGAGTTTTATTGCGGCTTGTGCAGCAGGTGATTGCTATTCACGTGCTGCAGTCTAAGATTTTTGTTGTTTTGTTTTATTCTGGTTTATCGGTTCGTTGTACCATCTGGAAAGGATGTCGTACATCGATATTCAGCTTCAAATAGCGCTGACTTAAATGAGTAGAGTGTAGAAAAGACTTACATTCTTGTTACTGTTACTACCATGTATTCGTAATAATGTGTGATACGGTGATAGTAGTTCCTCTCTCGCACACGTGTATTTATTTTGACGTCATACATTTTTTGGAGAGAACGAACGGAAAAGAGTTTATGGACTATAATACATATATTATACACACAGTAATAATTACAATACTAATTATTAACATTAATAACCAGTTAAGAATTACAGAAAAATTAAATTTTACTTAAAGTAACCAGTGTTGAATATTTTTCATTTCCTTGGTGAAGGCTGTCAAACCGTTGCACAATCTTTTACCTCTAAAATAGAAAAAAGAAGTCGAACAGAGTATGTTGACTCTTCCTGGTGTGGCCACAAATTAACAAATCCTCTTCTTATCCATTTAACGTCGCCCTCCGTTCCTATCTCCTGTTTATCAATAACGACCGTAAGTTTAGTCGTAACACACAACTTTTTCCACTTTACTTGCTCATTTCGCATGTATTTCTTCTAAACCGTAAACTGGTCGCCCACATTATCGATTTGTCCAGTTAATACAAAAATGCTGACCCACATTTAGGTATTTATAAAATATCTCAATTACCCACAAACTTGTGGACGCATTTGCGTTCCCAATAAATGTTCCCATAACTTATAAGGTTGTACCCAAACACTACTAGTCATGCCACCGTCAAAAAAAAAACGTAGGCTTGTTATATTTAACTGACAAGTTTCTACTTTTAGAAGCAGCGCATAATTGAGCTTGGTATACTTTATTCGGCTCATGTCATGTAAATTTATTTAACGAGAAAAATACGATGATCGAAGCATTTCGTTTAAAATTCATGAGGATTTTGCATGCTCATTTTACTTGTGCCAGACAGAACGGGGTCAGAGATTGGGGTAAAGTTTTTGCATGTCGCAACGGGGTTATTGCAAATGATATTCATATCAAATTTCGTGAATAAATCAAAGCGCTCCACGTTCTCTGACATAAAGAGAATTTATATGTTTTTAATAACACCGGTACCAGGAGTTTTCTTAATTACCAGAAACGAAAATTACGTTTTTAACCTACTTTTTTGCGTTGTTTACGCATCTACTTTAGATTTTCTCGAGCACTCATAGTTTTATTTCTTGTTTATTGACTTATCAATAAATTAGGTAACTCAGGTCAGTTACTTACTCGTTGAAGTAATATAACTAAAAAGTATATAGTGTGTCCACAAAGCTTGTAAATGAAATATTCCAATTAATTATGTATCTTGGCCTCGCTTTACGCCTCAAGTTGTAGTCTAGTCAACACAAGGCGAGTTAAGATTTACAAACAAAAATATATATATATTTTTCATTCTAAAACCACCAACTTAAAATTTCATAATAATAATCATTTGTTACCTAATAACATAGGGGTTACTCTACTTTCACCGTCTTTCACGCTAATTAAAAAAAAATCTATAAAACTGGAAAACCATGTCGCACTAACTCATTTCCGAAGTAGACCACGCAAGATTCGTAGTAAAATTTCTTTCAACAAAATCGGTTATTCACCCTCAAGATGTTTGAATAGCTGTTGCTATAGCGATGCGATTGATCAAATACGAGATAAGTTTTCCCGCATACATTTACTGTGGTTTTGGTTTCATTACACTTTCACTCAGTTGCTTCTAGTCTTTGAAATATAGTGGCTGTGATTTAAATGCTTTCGTATTGATTTTTGAACTTGCAGAGGTAAGTGTTTCAACTGTTGCAATAAACCCACAATAAGTACATACACCGACAACAGTATTGATTGTCACTTCCAAGTCTACACTTTTTGGAACGACGGAAATTTCTTTTCCAGTTTTCAGTAATATACACGATATTGCTGGTAAAACTTGTCGCTAGTTGTACAATGAAATGTCCACGTACGTAGACAAGCCTTTGTCGTTGATAGAGAGAAAAAAACTGCAGTGGGCACGAGAAAAAGGTAAGTACGTTTAGAGTCCAAGGGAGTTAGGTTTCATTTTCCAAAATTATGCACAAAATTTTCCGAAAATTGTGAATATATCGTCCACGTATATCAAACATGAAAATAATTTATTATGTGTTGAGTTGACTTTTGTGCGTAGACGCATCTAAATTTAGAATCTTCAAGCTAAACGAACTGTCTTGTACCAGTATCTTTAAAGCATGCAAATAACTCATCATTCTTCGCTATGCGCATATTCCTATAGCGGAATTTTTTTCTAAATTTAGGTACGATAATTTTAAATATTGAACGCTCTACCATATTCCAAATTTTTTGAGATTTAGTCGAGATCACCAAAGTCAGAACGCGGCAAAATGTTTATTCTCGTAAAAACCGTGCGACGCATTCAACCATTTCCATAGACAAGAAACTAAATGACAATTTCTTAATTTTCTTGGACTGTGTAACGGTATCAAACATTCATTGGCTTTGTCGTAGAAGAACTAGCGGGTTTGTGCGCACCCTGGGGCAACAAAGATTCTCAAACGTGCGACAGGTCATTCCAAAGGTATCGCCACCACCTTTACTCTAACAAAAAATTGTTTGTGAACCTTGTTCTTTCCTCTTGCCAGAAACAGACATGTTCCTAAGCTTGCGATGGCCAACAACGAGTTCTTCCGTAAAGACTTCACCATCACGCGTCGCTCGAGTCTACCTCCTTTATCGAAGACCCAGTACAACTCCGCCGAAAGGGAGCTGGGAGGCGAAACCTCAGGTTATGGTAGCGACAATCCTAACCAAAACCCAGAACTCCAACCTTCCAACAACTGGAACCAATCAGGGTACGAGTCATCTTCCAGTTTCAAAGACGATAGACCGAAATGGAAGGACAAGAACAAGTTCTGGGACGTCAACGAGAACGATCCGCCCAATTGGGTTAAAAGAGGTCTACAAACCGACGAGGAAATCGTAGTAACGAATACGTCCCCCGCGGAGTCTCCGCAACAAGACGAAGAAGCGGAACGGCCGTACACGAGCGGTGGCGGTTTCAATCGGTACGTAGCCCCTTAATTCTCCATCGTTGTTTCCATATCTTTTTCCAGAACTTTCATTCGAGGCCAAAACATTCCAGTCGACTCCACGGAACTCGCCGAACGCGAACGTCGTCGACAAATCGCTCTTGCTCACCAGGAAGCCATCAGGCAGCAGCTGGAGGAGCGGGAGCGGTGGCGCCAGGAGGAGAAGCAGAAGCGGATTAAAGAGGAGCAAGAGGAGGAGCTACGCATCGAACGCGAACAAGAAATAGAAAGAAGAAGAAAAGAAAATGAGTTGCGGCTTATTCGTGAAAAGCAAGAGCGCGAACGCAAGAGGAAGGAAGCTCTGCAGGAAGCGCTGGAAATAGCGGAGAAGGAAGCCAAGCTCGAGAAGATCAAGCAGAAGATGAAGAAGCAGAATAACGTTGTGGAGGAGCCTGAGATTGTCACTCATAATGTTATACACAACGACTTGGAGGCAGGAACTCGGGAAAAAGACAAAGTAAGCGAAGAAAGTGAAACGAAGAAGAGCAACATCGAGCAGCAGAATAACAACAGTGTAGTGATTTCACCGAGGCAAGAAGTATTAAATAATGAAATTAACCACAGCAGTAACAATAGCAATAACTTGGAAGTTACCGGCAGACGTTTACCTACCCCTAGAAACAACGAAAGGTCGCTGACTCCTAGACACAACGAACGACCAGAAACTCCTAGAAACACAAAATCGTCTTGTTCTTTCCAAGTTTTGGCGACTCCACGAGCAGAGATGGCGTTAGTACTGCAAACGCCTTTGGAAGTGCTGCAGAATATGCAGTACGCGGTGCTAATGCCCAGTTTAGGTGGTAACAACGCTATACCAATTGCCATTCCACTAGCCGTTTCACCCGAAAAAACCAACGAAAGTTACACCTCAAGAACGGAGAATCGCATTCTAACGCCAACACAGTACCGAAGCAAAAATAAAACACTTTGTGATAGTAGTACACAAACAGAACACGACCACAACAGCAAATCAGAAGGGATTGACACTTGCAGCAACAACCACAAGTACATAAGAGAAAAACTCACAAATCTGGAGCTGAACTACGACAATCGAACAAGAAAAGAAAGACGAAGCAGAAGCGATGATCGCAGCATGGAGGAAAAACCAAAATGGGGGGCCAACAGACCACCAACAAGATATATGAAACAAAGCGAAAAAGATCCGTTTTACCAAAGACGAAAACTTCGCCAAAAAGCACGAGAGTACAAGAATTCGAGCGACGAGAGCCAAACCGGAAGCCCGAGATCATACAGGAAGAAGAATTATGTCGAAAAACGACAAACTCGAGCTCTTTGGCGAAAAAACGACCACTTTTTCTCTAGAAACATTCGTATGTACCAAACAGAGATAGTTCCATTAGAGTCCGACAAAGAACAAATCTACTACCCACACAAATGCGAGTGTTGCTGTAGATGTCGCTGCGGTGAAACTAAAACCGAGATTCTCAAAATCGAGCACACCTCTCCACGCGACCGATTGCCCGACTGCAATGAAAACCTTGAAAATACCACTTACATCATAGACAAACTGACATCCCTGCACAACGGGCTAGTCATGAAGCAGGAGCAGTGGGAACATTCGCCCAGAACCCCCAGTCTTTCTTCCTCTACGCGAAACACCGAAAATAATTAAGTCCAAAAAGTGTAGACTTCACTTTTTCAGTTTTCTACACGGTCCTCGTAATATTGTTAACTTTTTAGAATGGCGAAACTCGACGATTTTTTGGGAAAAAAGAAGGAGACGGCACCGATTTTGGATTTGTCGAAGACGGTCGCCAACAGTCACGAGGAGTTCCGGAGGCTTCTGGAGAAGGTTCCGGATTTTAAAATCAAGGCGGAGAAGGTGCAAATGGAGAGTATTAAGATTAAGGACAAGAAGTTCAAGTTTAAGTCGGGCAAGAAGGACGTGAAAGCCATGAAGGAGCCGTACACGTTTCTGGATCCGCTACCGCGCGAGATGAAAAACTTGAAGATCAGCGAACTGGCAGCAGTGCCCATTGACTGGAAGATGCTGACGACGATCAGGCCGAAAAGCAAGGTGGAGGAAAGCTATTTTTCAAGGTACATAATTAATTGTTTCAAAGACACAACATGTCGGTCCTCTTTTCATTCACCGTCCTAATTCATGTCGTAATTACTAATTAAAAAGAACATACATATCTAAAACTGAGCTCGGTTTAATTATTATGTTATTAGTTTCTCTATGCAAACTAATTTAAAAAAATCGTGCTCGTACAATAAGTTTAAGAAACTTCGTGACTATAGCTGTTGCGATGATTTATGATTACTCCTATAAAGTGGTATTAATTTTTAGTGTATGAGGTCCCACATGTAAATATTTTCAGATTGGTGGAACTTAAGAAACTGGAAAATAAAACAAGAACATTCGAAAAACGCCAGTATGCTCTGGATCCGCAAATCAGAAAATTGAAGAATAAGTCTGGAGTGATTGAATTAAGAGTTGCATCGTGCGTAGATTGTGGCGAAGATTTTTGTAATGGTATTCAGGAAGAATACAGAAACTCTTAATTCTGCACTACTTTGTTTCAGGTAAAGAATGCAGTAAATTCACCTACGACAGCTCGGCTCGAACTCCCGAAGTGTCCAAAGTTTCCCAAAAACTTTTATCGCCAGAATCGTCGAAAGTCGATAAACCTAAACGAAAAATTAAACGCAAACCACGCTCTAAAAGCAAAGGCAAACGCAAGAGCAAGTCGAAATCGCCAAAGAAAAAAGTGTAATCTTCAATATTTATCGTTCGAAATGTACAATTTAATATGTGTACAAATCATTTTTAATAAAAAAATACAGTCAGAAAGAATGGAGTCGTTTGTGTCCGTTCCTAAACTTTGGAAAACTATAAAATAAAGTTATTTTGAGAAAAACACACCAATGAAACATCACAGTCGACTTAAGGCGTGTGGGTTCACTGCCGTATTTGAGAGGCCCAAACTTCACTGGTTGTTGGATGTGGAAACTGAAGTGAACAACGGTTTCGTCTTTTTGTAGTGGATGAGCGTTTTTTTAAATCAGTTCTTTTCAGAACTACAGTTTTGCCATCTTCCATCTTTTTAAAAATGTGTCCATGATACGCTACTGGTCAAAGCCTAGTCATCTACTTGCATTATGAGACTATTATTTAGTTCTTTGTAGTGTTGTCACTATACCACCACTATATTTGGCCGCCCCCTGCACTTTAATGTCCCTGACGACTTCATATTATGCCTCATTAGATAAAATATAGGTACAAGAAAATTAAATTCTCATTAATTTATTGTTTGAAATATACAACTCATGTACAAGTCATCTGTAATAAATATGACCGAAATTAAAACATAAAAAAAGAAACTAAAACGATGACATACCAGCACGTGGTGTCTCTTACCCTAACTTTACAGAAAATATTTAAAATCAACAGGAAATATCAACTGGAAGTAAAGTTTCTATCTACTCTGGCACAATTTTGATCCACGCTTCCTCCTCCTCCCCGTTTTCGTTCGGTATCCTCACCCGCACCAGCTGCACCGGCCCGTCTGGAGTCTCTATGATCTGCGTCTCACTTTCCGCCAGCGTTTCGCCTGTGATCGTGTCCATCTCTTCGTCCTCGTTCTCGAACCGGATGTGTTGTCCATCTATGATGATGTGCTCCACCGTCTCCAGCCCCTCCGCCTCTCCGCTCTCTTGCTCTGCTGGTGACTGTAAAATGTGCTCTGAGATGTATAGCTTTGAGTCCTCCGGTACACCCGAATCCCCCTCCACCGCCTCTGCCAGCGACATCGGATCCACGATCTCCATCTCGCCCCTCGAGTTCACAGTCACTAGCTGGTCGTCGTCCGTCGTCAACCGCGGCTGATTCACCACGATCGTGTCGTTCAAGTGGCCCTGCGTCTGCATGTGCTGGTATAGCAGCGGCTTCCGCATGAAACCAGCGCCGCACACCAAACACTCGTAAGGTTTCTTGTCGGAGTGCACGAACCTGTGCGCATTGCGGTTGTCCCTGCTGTTGAACGCTTTACCGCACACTTCGCACAGGAACGGCTTTTCGCCGGTGTGGATCCGCCGGTGTTTCTTGAAGTGCTCGGGGTACACGAAGGTGGCGTCGCAGACGTTGCACTTGAACGGGCGCTCGCCGGTGTGCGCCGCCTTCATGTGATAGTCAAGGAGGCGCCGCCGCTTAAAGCCCTTGCCGCAATCCATGCATACGTATCGCTTGTCGTCGAGGTGGGTGGCGCGCTTGTGGGACTGCAAGTTAGAGCGCTGCGAGAACGTCGCCCCGCACATCTCGCACTGGTAGGGCCGCTCGCCGGTGTGAGTGCGCTCGTGATCGCGGATCTCGGCCTTGCGGGCGAACGCCTTGTGGCAGATCTCGCACACGAAAGGCCGGTAGCCGGTGTGCACGATGGAGTGGACCTCCAGGTTGTGGGCAGAGCCGAATCTGTCGAAGACGCTGTAGATTACCGAAATCTAAATACACATACCCCACTTACCGCTTCCCACACAAATGGCAGCTATATTCTTTGATTCCCGAATGCGTCCTCTCGTGCTGCACCAGGTTCTGCTGACTCAAGAACGTCTTGGGACATTGCTGGCAAGCGAACGGCCGCGGCCTCACCTCGTGCGTCTTCTCGTGAGCCCTGAACGTGTACTTGGACGCGAAGTCCTTCCCGCACTGCTGGCACACGTACGGCCGCACCCCCGTGTGCGTGTTGATGTGTTCCTCCAGCAAATTCCTACTGCTGTACTTCTTGCCGCAGGTCTCGCACGGCCACGCCTTGTTCTGAGGGTAATGCATCCGCCTGTGAATCCGGAAGAGACGTAGGTTGCTGAAGATCCTGTTGCATACCTACAGCAACGTTCATAAGTTAATTCAATTTCGTTTTCTTGTAAAAAACCCGTTTACCTCGCACTGGAAGTCGCCCTCTTCTGCAGCGACGTGCTCGTCGAGGTGGGCAGAGAGCTCGTTGCGCTTGCGGAAGTCCTGGCCGCAGACGTCGCAAATGTACAGTCGGATGTCGTGGCAGGACTTCATGTGGGCGGTGATGGCGCGCACGTCTCCGGCGACGGTTTCTTCGCCTTGGCAGACCAGGCAGGTGAAGAGGGAGTCCTGGCGAGCCACCATCGGCTGCAGATGGACGGGCTCTTCCTTGACTTTCAAAGATTCGACGGTCGAGGGCTTCTTGCGGAGGATGTTAGGGCGGTCACTGCCGCCTCCGTCGAGGGGCGGCTCCGTTTTCACTTTGATGTCTGCGGGAAGACGAGAATCTTTAATTTTTATAACATGAAACAGTGAATTGAGAAGCAACAACTTTAAAAACAATTTGGATTAATTAGTAAAAACAATAGTGCAATTTTATTTCCAAAAGGAACTCACCATCTTTTAAGAAAAAAAATAATAAATAAATAAATAAAAAATGCGAGTTGATGCAGTGTTAATTTGTATTAAAAATGGCAATGATCTATATAGTGTCATACTTGTCAGGTTGTTTAAAAATAAGTCTATGTACTTATTTAGCTTGCATATAATGTTCATTTATCATTTCTTCCAGTGAGTATCGGCTATTGTTATTTATATGTATGAGTTACTTAACCTCGATTTTTTTCGCAAAGCCCTTTGTGACGCCATACTATGAATAAAATCGAAAAAAGTCTATATATTTTACTTGTAACAATTTTGAAACAACTTCACTTTAGCTACCAACATTTCTTAAAATTATCAGTGTCCCCCTGTAGTTTCTTCATTAACAAAAAAGTGAAACAAACAATAAATGACGTGAAAGTTATAAATTACCTGAATTATTCTTACTGCTGATGGAGTTTTCAACACTGACAGGTGGCTCATAATCTGAATCTGACGAATGATCAACAGCCCCCGAATCTATAATATCCCCAGTCAGCTCCTGGAAACCCTCATTTGCAACACCATCATCAACCTTTTGCCTCACTTTCACAGTTTCTATGTTCTCAATACCACCATGCATTTTCACCAACTCCATCTCAATGTCTTCAATAGTCTGTAACTGACTCTTTTCCATCACCACCTGCTATAACACAAAACCACCATTACTAAAGAACAAACTGTCATAAACACACTCACTTGTGTAGTATCATCATCTGAAGACGGTATATCCAATATCTTCCTGGGCAACTCATTTTCTTTGTTCGCTTCAGCACTTTTGATCCCATTCTCCATAGTCTCACTCTCGTCGATTTGAACGTCCCCGTTTTTGTGCCTTGTCGTCGTGTTTGTGTAGCTATTGACGACTTCACCTTTGATTTCCGCCAATCTGTTTTCCAGTTCGTCGATTTCATCAAACATTTTGAAGCATTTCTTGCACATCACCTGGGAATGCGCCGATTCTTCAGTCAGGTCTTTGAGTACTTTGGTCACCGTGTCCATCAGAGGGGTGTCAAGGCTGGTTTTTGTCTAAAATTTGCGCGGTTTCAGCAAGCGTCGGCAGATTAGAATGTACACTCTTACCTCTTTGTTGAATATTGGGATCGAGTTCCGACTGGACACGCAGCTTCCATTGCAAATTAGACACAGGATATTGGCCGCAGACATGCTGAAAATGAGAAAATTGCGTTAGTCCTGGGGGCCGCTGCATCTTTTTCGCCGATCGCGTGGTCTCCGCTGGTTCCATTTAAAAGGTTTTGGATATTGCCAATATAAAATAATCTGGGTTTGACAATGACAAAAAGGTCCCTAGGAATGGGCGAAATTTGCGGATTTAGAACGTTGGAACGAGCCATGGAAAAAAATTCGGGCGTAAAAATGGTCGAAACGGCCGTCTAAACTGACAGAGAAGGCGCGTCCGATTGACATTATTTATTTTTAATTTACCTTTTCAAATCAATGGAGTAATTTATGGAAACTTTTTATTTTCGGAGAAAACAGGGCTGACTAACAAATGCTGCCAAGTTAGAGAATTTGACACAGCAAAAATGCCTGACAACTTGAGCAGCGTTCGGCTGCCAACCCAACGCGCAAATGCCGCCAAAATGGCGCCCGCTCGACCCAGAAACAAAACCAGTGGGTCAATCGTGGTTGAAACAGCCCTCCAGTCCTCGAAAATTAAAATTTATCGGTGAAAATGCTATTTTTATTAACTTGGGTTGGCATTTCTCCAGTGACAGGCGTGGCTTTTTAGTTGTTGGGACGTGGATGACGTCAGAGCAACTTCCGCCGGAAAGAAAATGGCGCCTACGAGAAAAATCGAGGAATGATAATAATGATAACTTTAAATAGCCACACACAAACTTTCAATTTTTGAGTTTTAGCTTGAGTATGAGTAGAAGGCAATTCGAACTTTTTTTTTGACGTGAGAGAATTTAAAAATTTAAAGCGAACAATTTCACAGTGGCGGATTGAGTAAATTTGGGCCGCCAAAAAATAGCGTTACGTAACCAATCACGACATATTTGTCTGAAATAGGTCCCTTCACGGTTTTTTAAAATTAATTTCTCTTGTCTTGGGATTAGTAAAATAATTTAGCGTGATAATTATCTTTGCGATTCGTGATTTTCCACTGCCCTGGAGATCCAATACAAATTGATATACATATATGTAACTGTAAAAATTTTCTCAACTTGTTATATACCCATGAGTTGGCGGGAAATCATTAGAGTTTGTCATGGTCAGTAGCGACTCGTGATCTGGGAGATAAAATAAAATCTTTCTTATATGTATTACCCAGTTTGGGTTTGATTAACAAATTTGTATTAATTTCGGTACAAGTCTCTGCTTTGTACATACCTATATATTACGAAAGTGTATATATATGTGTTTGAAATTGCAAGTTGTCTAACAGATGTTTATTTGCGTGGCTATTTTCATCTGTCAAAGGAGCATAATCAAACATACAAGTATAAACACATCCTTTATCTAGAATTTCTACATTCACATACTTTTACGGAATAATTTTATCTATAATTAAAAAAAATACTGTCCCAGACTATATAGTGATATTTTTTGAAAATTAATTATAGCGTAATTTTATGACACTGTGTTCATGTGACTTTCATCTTTCATGTAATGAAATAAAACTGTGTCAACAATAATTATGTAACATCAACGAAGTGACTAAAACGTAGTCACACCAAAAAATTGCTTAAAATTCTCGCTTCTTGTTACACAAAAACCCAATTCAAAACACAATAGTTACGGAAGTTACCAAATTTAGTTACTCCAGTCACAATGAAACAGCGCAGAAATTTGTATAATGACCCCTTAAACTTTATTTTAGACATACAATTTCGCTCCTTATATTAATTCAGTACTTTTATATTTATTTCTTATGTACAAACTACATATCTTCCGTTGACCATTTATAAACATCCTCCTCTTGCGCCTTCTTCTGATTCTGCACTTCAAACCATTTCTTCTCGTACCCATTGGATCGATCAACCCCATCCCACCGATGGCCGGGTCTTATCCCGTAGCGATTGGGCATGAACTCTCCCTCAAACAGCGGCTTCGTCACTTCCCCGGCATCGGCGGCCTTTTTTCGCTTCTTCTTGCGAATATAGGCCAACATCGGGTCGCCTTCGCGCTCTTGCTCTTTGAGGAACCTCTCCAGATCCTCGTCGTCTGCGTATCTCGCTAGCGGTTTGCTCATTTCATGCAACTGTTCTTTCAGTTGCTGCTCTCGACTTTCCACCTGTGCCAAACCGCGCCCCCACTTTTCGTATTTTTCTTTGTTTTTCTCTTCTTCTTCGCGTTTTTTGCGTTGCCGTTCCTCCTCTTCTTCCAGGTTGCGGATTTTGCCAGTTTGGCGATCGCGATGTACGGTTGTGGCGCTTTCTCCAGATACGTCTTTGGAGAGAGATTTGAAGAATTTGTCTTCGCGTAGGTGGTGGTTTCTGGTTTCTTCGATCAGTTCGCGGGCGTTCTGAAGGCCTGCGGTTTTGTTATCAAGGGTTTTCTCCATTTTCTTCGGTCTGGAAATACGAAAATTAAGTAACCACTAAACTTATGAATCAATTACTGTAAAAGTTGTACTTCACTTTAAAGGAACCGTCAAGATGGTAAAACTAACCATTCTCTTCAAAAAACTTATCATGTCAGTTTAAAATAGTGATTAGTAAATCTACGATTTAGATTAACATGTAAGATTGGATCGGATTTTTCGGTTTATTTTAGAGTTTACCAGCCAGTCAGTATGTTCGTTGATATTTGGCCACACGATTATCGCACTGGTGTAAAAGAAAAGTTATTTACATTCAAGTAGTAAATAAGGACACTATTGTGTAATTAAGTTGGGTTTTACATCAAAAGGAGTTTAAATTCGCAACAATAATTACCTCTTTTCGTCGTTTCTGCTGCTTCCTGCCACTCTACTTTTATCTTCTTTTTTACTTTTCCTTGGTGGAGAATGATCAGGTGTTCTATTTTTGAGACTTTTTCTATCATCTTTTTTGCGTGGAGGAGTTTCACTAGGTCTGCTTCCCCTTGGAGAAGAATTATCACGTCTTCGTCTCCTAGGAGAAGAAAAATCATCCTTTTTGATTCTTCTGGGTGAATCATCATGTCTTCGTCTAGAAATTGAAGAATCTCCTTCTGGTCGACGTTTCCGTGGAGGCGAAATATCGTCTTGTGGCTGAGATTTATTTCTGTCTATACTAGATTTTCTGCCTCTTCTAGGGGGCGAATTATCGTCGTCCATCCTACTTCTTCTAGGTGGTGAATTATCATTCGCCCAATTTCTTCCAGGAGCGGAATTATTATCATTTGTCCTATTTCGTCTTGGAGGCGAATTATCATCCGTGGTTCGACTTCTTCTAGGAGGTGAATGATCATCGCCCCGAAATCTCCTAGGTGGCGACGAATCTTCCCGTTTAATTCTTCTGGGGGGCGAATTATTATCGCCAGTTCTACTTCTTCTAGGGGATAAAATTTCATTTTCTTCATCAACACTCTTAGGTGAATTTTCTACACTTCTGGGTACAGACTGTCTTTCCTCCTTAACCACGATATCTCTAACCGGCGATTTCTCGCGTCTAGACTTTGGTGGTGGAGAATGGTCACTTTTTCGCTTTCGTCTAGGCGGTGACTTATCAGGACGCAACAACGACTTATCGTTAATTTTTGGTTCAATTTTGAACCCTTTAATCACTTGTTTTTGTTCACCAGGATTGGTATTTTCCACAGGTCCAATTGGTCGCCACAAAGGATTTTTTGTTTTCTCGTCAAATCTTAATGATGGGGGTCTCTCATCGATGATGGCAACAATCTGAGGAGCATCTTCATCTATGACAATGGGGTCATTTTCAATTGTGTTATTCGTGACAATTGTAACGGCGTCGTCGTCTATTATCTGAACTCTGGAATAAAATACAGAATATAATTGAGCTAAACTGTGAGATCTACACAGTTTACCTGGTAGAAATGTGTTTTTTCTTTCTCTTTTTCTTTTCACCTGGGGCTTTGCCGATTGCAAGATATTTCTTCAAATATTCTTTCTGGTTGATGGGGAGCTCAGTCATCTTCCTCCTTTTTAAATAAATTCGTCGAAAAACGAATTAAACTGGATTAAAGGTTATGTTTGGTGGTTATACGTCATATCTTTTGACATTTAAACTCGCATGTAAACTAGCTTCTCCTGACGTAACCGTAACGCAGTATTCCTAAGGAAGGAAGAATACTAGGAAATTAGTAGGAATACTAGGATACTGACACATATAGCACAAAAAAAAAATAAATAAAAAGCATCACATTTCTAAAATATATCAAAAACTACTATATTAATAGATTGCCTTAATTGTAGTCACCTTTTACGTTAAAGTTAAGTTACGTTACGTAAATACGTTTTTAGGTTTCACCCTCGCATAACTGGGCCCACACATGTGCAATTAACAAGAATTCAAGGGGGTTGTTACCCTGCATATATCACGTCTTCTATTTTTACGAAAATTAATATAAGAAAAATACAGACTTGTCGTGAGTACGAATTTTTATTTTACATGCAACAAAAACTATATTTTAAGCATTCTCAGTTTTCAATTTTTCATCAAACTTTTTTTACACTTTCCAGACCATGTGAAGCTCCCTCATTCCAAATCAGGTTCTACGTATTCCCAAACAACAAAATGTGAGGTTATGTTAAGACATGGGGGCTGCCTGTTTTTCATCTTGAAATGGTTGCGTCGAAAGGAAGTAATGGCAGATGGCTACGCAAATACAAAGTCTTTTTTCTCATCGGTTTAGTCATACTCTTGTTCCAAGTGCTCTTGGCTGCACATTTCCTTGAATTGAATAGAACCAATTCTGTCGATGACTGGCAACCGCAGAGTCCGAAACCGGCGCCACAACATGCGGAAAATGGAGTCCGGAAAAAAACGCAACCCACAAATAACACCGTTCTGAAATTGGAAGAACTGAATTTCAAGCCTGAATGTGAAATCACGGGGAAAGAAGCGGTGTCGGCAATCCATAGAGCACGAACCCAGTATTGCAAACAACTTATCGCTAATGTAACGTGTCGCTCGTTGGCGGGCGTGTTATACTCCGAACATCTGTCTGGTGATTGTCCAAGTGATGGAAGAGTTACAGGAAAGTCGCTGGGGTGTTTTAAAGATGAAAGTAGCTATAGGTTGCTCAGTGGGTATTTTGGTGTCAGTAAGAAGGGCAATTCTCCGGAGTATTGTATACAAATGTGTCTTCAGTCAGGATTTGAGTATGCTGGTGTAGAGTATTCGTAAGTTTTTTTTTAATTATAGACTATGGTGATGTTTTTAATCCTCTTATTTTTAGATATGAATGTTTTTGTGGAAATGATGAACCCCCTTCCACTTTCAAGTTACCAGATTCTTCATGCAATATGAAATGCCCAGGGAATTCCCACGCGATTTGTGGGGGTTATTATACTATAAATGTGTATCAGACGGGGATAAAAAGTATGCGGTTAAATGGTTAATTTTAGTTTTAATTGTGATTGCTTTTTTAGAATTTGTGCCTCAAGTTGCCAATACCGAATCGCCACCATCAGATGAACACGTGAAGATTGTTTTTTTACTAACTCTGAACGGCAGGGCATTAAGACAAGTTAAAAGACTGCTCAAAATATTATATCATACAAACCATTATTATTACATTCACGTGGATGTGGTAAGTTTGTAGAATTTTTTTTGCTTAAATGTTTTCAAATATTTTTTCAGCGCGAGGATTACCTCTTCCGCGAGCTCCTCGCCCTCGAGCGCCGCTTCCCCAACATCCATCTCACCCGTCGCCGCTTCGCTACGATCTGGGGCGGCGCGTCCCTCCTCGAGATGCTCCTCAGTTGCATGACGGAGTTGCTCGAGACGCCCTGGCGCTGGGACTTTGTCCTCAACCTCAGCGAATCCGACTATCCCGTCAAGCTCATCTCCTCCCTCGAGCGCTTCCTCGCCGCCAACCGCGAGCGCAACTTCGTCAAATCGCACGGCCGCGACACGCAGCGCTTCCTGCAAAAGCAGGGCCTCGACAAGACCTTCGTCGAGTGCGACATGCGCATGTGGCGAGTTGCCGACCGCGTGCTGCCTGCCGGTCTGCAGATGGACGGCGGCAGCGACTGGGTGGCGCTCTCGCGCTCGTTTGTCGCCCACGTCGCCGCCAAACAGCCCGACACTCTGGTGGCGGGGCTGCGCCAGGTGTTCCGACACACGTTGCTGCCGGCGGAGACGTTCTTTCACACCGTGCTGAGGAACTCGCGCTTCTGCGGAAGTTACGTGGACAATAACCTGCACGTGACGAACTGGAAGCGGAAGCTGGGGTGCAAGTGCCAGTACAAGCACGTGGTGGACTGGTGCGGGTGCAGTCCCAACGACTTCCGCCTGGAGGACTGGGGGCGGATACAGAGCACGGGGAGCAGGCAGTTGTATTTTGCGAGGAAATTCGAGCCGATCGTCAACCAGGCGGTGCTGCTGAAGCTGGAGCTGTGGCTGTTCGGGCTGGAGAAGCCGTCGAGGAAGGTAAGAGCCTCCGGCGTCAGTTTTTAACGTGGCTTCATCATTGTATTTGTTTCTGCAGGTGGTGAACTTACACTCGTACTGGCAGAGTGTGTACCATCACGTGGACCTGTCGCCCTCCATCGACGACGGGCTCAAAACGACCATCACGTCAGTGGGGCGGACCTGGAGCAAAACCATCTCCAACAATACGTGCACCGTAGAGCCCAAGCGAACCATAACCGCCACCACGTACCACGTCATGGACACCTACAAATTCACGCTAGTGCATTTCAAGGTCATCGCGGACTCTCGCGAGGTTGACATCGAGGTGGCTTTCCGGCCCATCAACATGACATATCTAGTAGCACCTTCTGCTCTTACCAAACGTATCGAGGAACTCAGCGTTAGCAGCGACTTTGACCAAAAAGAACAAATCTCGAGGAACTTCCCGCGCATCCTCTCGCCGTATTCGGAACCGGTCCTCATCTACAAATTCGCCTCCAGCGAGACCACAATCGTCCACAACATCTCGTGCTTGTGGATAGACCCCACGGGGACTCTCTCGGAAATCACCGACATATCAGTCGACGAGAACGCCATCATCGGGCACTCGAAGCCCCTCATGAAGCAACCGCATCTGCCTGGGGCGTGGACCGTTAAACTCATTCAACACGACGCGCTCATCGCCGAGGCCAAGTTTCTCGTGACCCCGCTGGAATTCTACTCCGGGCTTCCGATCACCGCGAAGCAGGCAGCGTTGATTCACGGCGGGTCTCACTCACGCGTGATAACGGACAGTTTCGAGAAGTTTTTGAAGAGTCGCTACGACGAAACTATGCTCAAAGCCGTGAGTGTATCTAACGCGAAGCGAATAGGCCGGGAGCTGAGGGAGTGGATCGACGCCCTCTTCGCGAAGTTCTACGTGGTGGAGAGAATGTGTGCGGTCAAGAAAAACGTGGAGGTTTGTGGAGTGCAGATGGAGGAGTGCGAGAAGACGACTTGGAGCTCGTATGCGCCGGATCCGAAGAGCGTCATCGGAGAGGTCAATAAGACGACGGGGGCGTTCGATATATGGTGATCGATCACATGTGATACGCTGTTGGTGCTTATCAGTTGATGTAAGTTGGTATCTGGAGGTGCCTGAGGCTTTTAGAAGTTTGCGTCGTTGTGTCGAGAAGAAAACTGATGCACTGTTATTTTGAAGCTCTTCTTAAATTGATAATTTTGTAAGTGAAGCAAATAATGGTGAACAGGGTGACGCAACGAATTTATTTGGGGTTAGAAGTTTAATTGAGACACGATTTGCGAGTTTCGACGCTGCATAACCACCCCTAAGATAAATATATTTTTTAAAGATACAGGTTTTTCAGTTGAGTCAAATTAATATTTTACGATTTTTCCACATGCATCTTCCCGGTAAATTGCAGCAACAAATAATAATGTGACAAATCGAAAAGATTAAGTCATTCGTCCATGCATACAGTTATTTTTGTTATTTCTCGCTTTGCTAAGTCGTTAACTGTGTACAGGGTGTTTCACGAGAAGCTCCACGCCTAAAAAATTCAAGACGCAACCAGAAATACAATTTCAAAACCATCTTTGATATTTCATACATTTTTTTTTTTTAAGTAAAACGGTAGTTATCGGTTGTATTTAACAACATTGACGTATTATCAGATACTATCACGTTAAAACTGAAATTTCGTCAAAGTTGATGCAATGAGTGTTCAAACGACGGAAAGACTGACATGATTTTGATACATGGTGATTGATTGGTGAGTGCTTCACGGTTTTGTAGCGAACATTATCCGTACAGATTTCCTGACAAGCCCTTATTTTGAATTTGTTCGTTTTTAATTTTAACCTAAACGTTTACGTTCATTTCTAAATTATCAAAACCAAACAGCTGTGTTTAACTTAAAACAGAAATTATGGTGAATATCAAAGAGGTTTGTACTGTTGGTTGCGTTTTGAATTTTTCAGGCGTGGATTTTGGCCTGAATAACCTGTATAATGGTCAAATAGCTGAAGTGTTTTGTATTGAGATACTGTTTGGTTCGCATCCACGTACAATTTTACGAATCAACAGCGGAGTCAATAAAGGAGACCTTTGTGTCGTGAAATTGCGCATGCGTAATTCAGTAAAAATCGCCTGTCTCAAAGAAACGTAACAATGACTCTTGTCATTGAGAATTGTGTTGCGCGGTTCAAACCAAAAAGAACAGTGCCACACAAGGCTCAAATGACATCTAGCATTGTTCTGATAATATCTGGCCGTTTGTAATATGCTCATCGCATACCGTGGAATTGTCCTCTTTGGTTATGGTGATCATTTATGCAGTTTTTACAGTTTAATCAGTAGCAGTATCACCAAATCACTTTAAATAAGTGATCATTCTTTACCAACAACAAAATTTCATGTGGGTGCAGCTGCAACGTACACGATATGTCATTAATGCATCAACTGTTGTGACACAAACAAGTTTTTTTAAAGCCGTGGATGTAGTACTTTGGGGTTTTCGTTGCCATATTTTTTAATCATTGTCATTTATAGTCAGTTTATTTTTAATTTAATAAGTTATATTATTGTGATACAGTTTGTATTAATTTTATGTTTGACTAATAGATCTTATGTCCTGTATCGTGCAAAAGTGAACACATTTTTGTGAGTTCCTTTCGAAATTTCGGCACTTCGTTCGCGTTTCGCAAAATTTTGAGGACAAAACTCCCAAAACTGATATAATTTTGAAACCAGCATCGAATAAAGACAAAACAAATCCAATACAGTAATGCTGCAAAAGACGTTTATTTTTTCTAAACCATTGGTATGAAATCGTTTGTTTTATCTCGTCCATTCGTACAATTAAGTCTATGTTGGAACCAATATTTGCAACTTTTTAGTGTTCAAAGTATGACAAAGCACGCAAGGATAAGTTTTGCATGAAGTACGAATGTAAGTAATTAGGAAAAAAGGAAAATCAGGACTGACAAAATTGTTCTTGTTGTAATTACACATACGGTTATAATGTAAATAATCAAATAAATTTTATTTTATAAAATAATCACAGAATTATTTTGACAACGACAAACAAAAAAAGCGAGAATTCACTTCTACTTCGGCTTTGTTGCCGTACAGTTCTTTCCACATTTTAACCAAGCAATCTTTCTCTTTTTCACAGTTTTCGGGAAGACTTAATTTCAGAGTCTTACCTTTATTTTGGTCACATGACGACCCATCCAGATACTTGGAAAAGTCGAGGAAGTACTGGAATATGTTCTTACAACCATACAAGTACAGATTTTGGACGTCGCTTTCAAGCAACCTCCTTAAAGCAATGCTGGTTAAGTCGTCGTTGTAGGACACGTCTAGTGTTTCCAAACAATTCGCAACCCTAAAAAAGCGACTTTAAACAACATTCAAGACTTTAAAAATTATAACCTCAACAAGTCGAACATGTCCGAGTCACGCACACAACACCTCGACAGCTTGCAAATTTTCAACTTTTTTGCGTCGCTCCAGTTTTTGAAAACCTCGGCCAAAAACCCGTCCGTAACTGAATTCCTGGATACATTAACGTATCGCAGAATGGATGGTTTCAGCCACGATAGTAACTTGACTAAATTACCACCATTTAACCAATTATCGCTCACATCGAACTCCTCAACTTGATCCAAATTAAGTAACACTTGATTATTTGACGAATAATTAAAAATGTCTTTCGTGAACTTATTGCCGGACAGGTTCAGCTTCTTCAATTGGAAACGTCGCGTCAACACAGCCAAATTTTCCAAACATGAATCCCCTATTAGATTGTCGCTGAGATCTAAATCCGTTACATTGTAAGCGACATCTGGCGATAAAGTACTTGCTAAAGTTTGTAAGTGATCGGCGTGTAGGTTGGTGCAGTTTAAATTTAATCGACTCAAGTTTTCGAGAGAGGCCACACTGGCCGCCAATAACTGGAAACATTCGTTCGTGAGGAAATTCCCCGATAAGTTGAGCTCGTGCAGAGTGGTTTGTCTATTCAGGACTTTACAGAGAGGGGACAACGAGGGTCCTTTTAAACCGTTATCCGACAAGTTTAGAGCGACGGAGAACTCTTGCAGGACTCGATAGATTGCGTCATGCGGAGCTGGCAACAAACGAATTAAGTTAAATGCGATGTATACATATCACACTGAAAAAATAAAGAAGAAAACCCCTTTTTATACTTTTTTGTAGGGAGTGTTGTGGCGGTCTTACATGCTTTCATTTAGGTATTTGTCGTACTATTATTAAATACTGTACTTACCGATCCCCATATCCTGACAAGCCTCTTTAAACCTGTCAATAAGAGGAGGAACATTCCACTTCACAATCCGGGCTTCTACTTCTTCGGCTTGCGTCGCCCCCATCGGGAAAAGAACGCTAATGGGATCATCGTCGGCCAAAATGGCGCCGTTTTTAGTTTCTAACTCTAGAGTAGGAACCATGTACTCTTTTCGAGCATATCTCGCAGCAGCTTCGTCTGCTAACCATTTGATTGTCTTAATAGTTACTTGTGATAACAAAATTGGTACTCTGTACAATTTTTTGTCAATTCGAACATCTACCGATAGAGTAGGTTCCATCACTGGTTGCCCTTTATCAAAAGAGTGTGTCCTAGGCAACTGTTTTTTAGGGCTTGCATCAACACTACTTTTTCTGCTTAGACTAGGAGGGGACGTAGAATCTGCTTCCACGAACGTTCTAGTGTGACCGAAATTTGTTAACTTACTTTGTTTCTTTCTGACAACCTTTTTAGGACTTGTTTTGGGACCGGGAGACGACTGCCTGCTTTGGGTAGCGTGGGTATTTTGGAGCTCGTAATAACGAGATAGTTCATCGTCAAACATTTGGAAGTCTTCACTGGAATCATCCGCAGGTACAACTTCGTCGAAGGATTTTCGCGACGTGTACGACTTGGCAGGGGAATTTGACTTCCGAGGAGAGTTGGTCTTACGTTTCTTGAAGCTTTTACCGATATCGTCCTCAAGCCAGTCGTCAATGACGTCATCGGCGGATAATAGCGCTGGTCTTTTAGCAACCAGGGTTCTGCTAGAACTGATTTTATCACTATTTCTGTGCCTCAAGCTTTCCATGACATTCTTATAGTGTGTACTCTCACTACTCGCACTACTTTCATCCTCCAGTCCAAAACTGGCACACCTTCTCATGTCCCTACTTGTACTTGGAATTGCGATCACCTCCTGAGGTTCGTGGATCACGTGGCCAGCTTTTTCCAATATCCCCGAAACCTGCGAAACCAACAATAACAAACAACTGTATAATGAAATAATGAGGGTCAAAGATCCGTATTTAATCCGAGATTTATTTTAGATTTTTCTCAATGATTTTTCAGTATAATCACAAGTACCTGTTCGACTATATCTTCATAAAGACGTTGACTATCCTCATCCAACATCACCGGCAAGCGCCACTTTCGCAAAAAATCTAAAACGGTGTAGCCTTCATCGGTTTTGGCAACGGCGTTGGCACCCTTGTTCAACAATAATTGAACGATGGCGAGGTGTCCGTTGGAAGCGGCGTCATGCAAAGGGGTGATGCCTTCGCACTTAGTACCGCCCCTGTCGTTAATCGCTGCCCCTTTTTCTAATAGAAGCTTCACGACCTCAATGTGACCGTTAATGCAGGCTTCGTGCAGAGGCAACCAGCCGCAATTGTCTCTAACATTGACGGGATGGCCTTGTTCTAACAAATGACTAGCGACGTTTAGCTGGCCTTTGATACATGCCGTGTGAAGTTGGGTTTCCCCTTTCACGTTTCTTCTCACTTGGAAATTCTTGGTCCTTTTACGGGGTTTTGTTGGTTGGTCGAGGTCGCTGTCGTCGGAAACATCTAAACATACTTCAGTTAAGTAACATGTTTTTCAATTACAGTTATTTTAGTCCGCGGAGCGAGCAAAGCGTTATGTACCTGTGATGGCGTCCAAGTCGATTTCAGCACCCACAACAGATCCAGCTTGATTCTCTGAACTCTCGCCTTCACTATCAGAGCTATGAAAATTCAACTTCGCCAACTCTTGTTCGCACTGAAACGCTCTAGAATGTTGGTTTTGTCTCCGCAGGTATCTAATGAATCGCTTCAACATCAGTCCTTCCTCGTGAGCATTACTTTCCATCTGACTAAGCTTTATAGCTCTATCATACACTGCCTCCACTTCTGAAGCAGGTGCATCCGCTGCTTCTTTCGTGTCAGCGATTTTACTCAACGTATTTAAACTGTCTTTGAGCGATCGACACAATTCCAGTTCTTGCTCAAAATAAATAACTGCCTCTTCAAACTGGTTGTTGTCTTTGTACGTTTCTGCTAGGCTGTAATAACAAGTGCCTAAGTCTGATCCCGCTAAACCTGCTTTTTCCGCCGATTCTAGCATCTTTTTGTAGTAGTCTAGAGCTTTCTCAAACTGTCTTAACTCACAGGCGCCGTCGCCCATTTTTTCATACAAGGTTTTCAAGGTTTTATGGTCATTGCTATCAGTTATAAGGAGTTTATCTTCATTACGACACATTGACGCAACTGAGGAAGAGCGAAGTTGGTTATTAATTATTACTGTATGTTGTAATGAGAAAATGACCAACTACAAACTAATGTGGGTGAGTAGCCAATTATAACAATATTATCAATTACCAATTATAATGAAGCACTTGAGCACATGACTTAAAACTGCTTACTTACCTACTCTCAAGTTATTTTCTATTGTTTTGCGCTCCTTCACGTCAGGAATCTTTAATTTGTAGGCTTTCAAGAGGGCGTTCTTTGCTCCTTGGAGGTCCCCCAACTTGGTTAGGATTTCAGATTTGCTAAGAAGAACGCCAGATAATAAACTGGGTTTATTGCGTATTTTTTCTGTAAGGAAAGTTTCAAAAATAGCAACAAATTAACCTGACTGCTCAAAAACATTACTTGCTGCCTCTGCCGCTAAATTGTATTGCTGTACAGCTGATTTATAATCTTTTGCTTTCACTGAAATGGATGCTAAAGATAAATAACCCCTCTGGAGCTGTTCATACAGGTCATGTGCCTTGCACAGATTTATAGATTTGGTGATTAGTTCTGAAGCTTGTTCAAAATTTCCCATGCAGTCTTGAACTAAACCTAAATTTGAGAAAAGGCGTGCTGACATGTCTGCGAGTTCAAGTTTGCTTGCTTGTCCATTTAAGCTGAAAATAAACATTATACGAAGTCAAAATTTTCACAGTTTTACCTTTGCGAGACAACTAAACTCTTCTTCAAGAACTTATTAGCTAAATCTAGACTATTTTTATCAGCCTGGGGATTGTCTAAATGACTTGACAGGTAAGTGTGTCCAATTGTGGCAAGTGCTCTTTGTTCCTCTAACTTATTTTTAAGTTCTCTCGAGGTATCTGAAACGTTTAGTGAGATCAATTTTTTTAAAATTTGTTTCCATTACCCAAGTAGATTTTCTGGTGATGCAACGCTTTTTCAAACTTCTGCAGGCCTAAATAGGCTTCTCCAATGCCCCTATTCACAACAGCATATTCCAACTGTTTCTTCTGTCTCTTGTAAACGTTTGCCACTGTCGTGAATTCTTCAATTGCAAAATCATATCGGCCTTCGACCATGTACAAATTTGCAAGATCTGTGCAAACGCTTGTTAAGACTGCCTCGTTATTTTCATTCTGAGCTTTTGTACGCTTTTTTAAAAGCTCTAAAATTGTTTTATTAAATGTTTAAATTATGGACAATATAAGTAAACACTTACTTTGCTCCTCCATTTTCAGTTTTGTTTGGTTTAAAATTGAATATTTCACTAAAATCCCAATACTTAAGCAGTTTTAAAATATTACATGATGTATATTAAAGGTTTCATAGTGTAGTTTCAGTTTGTAAAATCTCATATTTTCTGTTGCCTTCATGCTTCTGCAAATTCATTTCGGATATTTCCCTCCAAATTTAGTGTCAACAAATGTCATATGTCAAACCAGTGTATTAAAAAAAAAACTTAAACCATAGAAAATCCTATAACTTGAACTGCTTATTAAACACCCTGATTAGTACGGAGCACTACGGAGTACCTACCGATTTATTATCCTTTGTCAAATTTAAGGACATTAAAGACAAGACATTCAAGTAGTTTAAATATCATGCAATTATTATAATAAAAGAGCAGGTTTTTACTGATAATTTTATTTCTCTTATATCGTTGTACCAGTGATAAATTGTACAGCAAAGTCACTTAATAGGTTCTATTCTCTATTAACTAACATCTCTGAACTAACCTTGTGTCATTGAAAATTTACTCCAGTGGCGTGCAGCGTGTTTTTCACAAAAAAAATAAAAAAAATATAAATTAAAGAGTAAGAATTGTGTACTAAAATAATGTTTTGCAATCATACGACAAAATCAAATCATTTGAAAATGAGAATATACATTTAATCATGTAACTCATTCTTATCGATTGTGAACTGTACACAAAGTGAGGTTAGGTTAATTTTTTTATATATCAAAGACTTTCTATATTTGTTTCAATATCTTTAGTATACATCAGAACCTGCTGTTTTTTCCTCGTGTAGTAGAAACATTCCACAAAAATGGCAAAGTACGTACATCCCAAGTGTTATTCCTGTAGTTATGAAAACATTTCAGAGAAATGATAATAATCTTGGTCTATGACACCCAGTTGTTACAAAGGGAAGAAGACGACCCCGCGACTGCGATTCTATATTTTCACCCAACGTGGGTGTCGGACCAACAAAAAACGGCATTATGTGGCCAACTAATGGGTACTGTTCACTGTGTCAAAAGTATTTTTTCAGCACCGAAGATAGTTTCGCTGCAAAGCGGAAAGTTTTTCGTCAAAGAATATGGGCGCTATTTAATGGTTAGCGGCGTTTAGTGTATCGGTTTTTTTTTCTTCTAATTTATAGTATTTAGGCTGTAGGAACTGACCGTAACATAGCTGATTGGTTGCTGGAACACAGGGCTAACACAATGTCTTCTCTTATAAGTTTCTTCCACCAGGACATTGAAGTCATGTCGAAATTGTATACAGAGAGTTCAAAACTTTCGGCAAAGTTATACCAACTGTTTGAAACGTACTTGAAGTATTTATTTTTAGGGGGCAATATTTTTGCTTATAGTCCTTCACTGAAGTTGCCAAAGGTGCAACCATTTTTGTTGTTATTGTGATGAAATATCAATTTTGCTGTTATAGAGTGCAAGTAATGTATTTTTGGAAGCTATACAGATTTTGCAGTGTTGCCAGGAGCTCAATTACGTGATGGGGGGCACTCTGTTGTACCATAATAAGTATGATTGATTTTGGTTATTTTTTGCGTTGTTTAAAACGTCGTTTATAGAGTTGTGGCGACACAGTTAAGTGCAGACATTACTAAAAGAATTATTTTGACTGACCCATATCGAATTAAGTGTCCAGCGGAAGTACCTGCAGTAAATTTTGATTTGCCATTAGGTGTTCAATTGCTTCAAGTATACATTTCTAGTAAGGAATATTATAGGTTGCATGAGGATGCAACCAAAAGCAGGAATATTTTTCAGTTCCTCAGCAATAAAAGTATTAAAAAGGTGAGAATCTGTGAAATAATATACAAGTTCTGACTGTTTATTTAGCTGCAGACCAAACCTATGTCCTCCAAAGAACCTGTAATGTCAGCCATGAAACGCGACCAATCGATCATTTTCACCGCAGTCCCAGAAGAGGACTCTGAGCATCAACTCATCATAAAGACTGAGAAACCCAGCGCTTCGCAAAATCGGCCGAAATTTCTCAATCTCAAGAGCAAAACTACCGACATTGAGAAAATCGAGAAAAAACAAACCACCCCCTTCCACGGTCAAACCAGCGTGTGCTCAACACCCATGACTGACTTAAGTAAAGTACTGCATTCTAAACCGATGTCGATTTGTACAAACGCGTTGGAAGAACCAACCCAAAAAGAAAACGAAGAAAGTACAACTGTAGACGTCGAACGTCCAAATCTAGATTTAATAACAAACGTGCCATATTTGAGAGTAACAAACAATTTATATGACTGCAAAAAATATTCGAGCGTTTTTGATGTTCGAGAGAAAAGTAAGGGTATTAGTAAAGGTATTACCACGAAATATTACAAGTCGAGTGTACGAGAAGAATACAGTGGCGACGTAACGCCAGACGAAAATCGCGCTTTCAAGACCATCGCTGACCCAAATTACCCCATTTTTCGCACAGACGGGACCATGGTGTCGCACCCATTTTACGAAGATTACTTAACCAATCAAATGGACCTAATCACTACTGAAATCGCCACACAGAAATCCGAATTAGAGACTTCTTTCGAAGACTTTGATTCAAATTTAGTGGATTTTGTTAAAAATGTAGCACCCGTGAAAAAAAATTCTGATAAAGTGGTCGAAAATATTGAAATTTCGGCCTTACCGCGACCCAAACCTTCCAAAGAACACCGCAAGTCTCTGACTCTTCCACTAAAGTCACTCAGTGTGGATGAAGCTCCGTCATCTCCAATCCGAAGACATTCTTCTGGAGTTCTTCTGACACCTCTGATGTCTAAACTGAGCTCTTTTACTTTCGATGAAAGATCTAGTGGCTTTTGCAGCCGCGACACCACACCTATTTTTACCCCCACCCAACAACCTTCGTTCCCGTTTCCGTTCAAAAAGCCGAAGAGTAGGTTCCTGCAAGAAGGAAATGATGAGGATCTTCATAAATGTGTTTTGTTTGTTTGTGGACAGCAGGATATGGTTGTGACGCTTCTGCTTCAGGATGAGGCTTGTTCGTCGTCGGAGATGATTACGAAGTTGGTAAGATTGCTGTGGTTGTTTTTGGCGATATTTGAGTGGTTGTTCTAGTGGGAGATCTGCACCGAGAATTTGGGGAAATTGGAGAAGCAGTTGCATCACTGTTTGGAGACCTATCCGGCGGGAGGTGTGCAGACCGACAGTGAACCCTACAGTTACCTATATTTAGATTCGGATTGGGATACGATTCATCGAGGGGGACCGTGGGGAAGTGCCGAGCTGGGGGCGCTGACTTACTTTCACAGAGATTTTCAGGAAACGAAGAATCTAGTCGAGATTTTGATGAGGCAAGTATTAGTACTGTGTAAGATCAGTAAAATTTAATTTAAAAGCGAGCTTATTTTGGTAAAAAACGTAATATACAATGCGAAATAATTTTTGTATTTGCATTTTAAAACATAGCATGGTCTTGCACTTTTTTATTTATTTATTTATGTTTTATTCGAAACTAACGGACAAAAAATCAATGAGTCATTAACTTTTTATTTTATTTACAAAACAAACGGTAATCAAGTAGCAACCCAGCAAAACCGTTTCACCTTTGTCACGAGTCTCGCGACAATGTTATCCAACAAAGTTCTAAAAATTCTGAACGTATTCTTCAGTGTAGTCTTCGTCTTGTGCACTATCGCGAATCTCGTGGTGACGACTTTGTTGCTCCAGCAAAAGCTGACGCGAATCGACCAGATCAACTGGGGCTTTCAGATAATATTCCTCATGCCCTTCGTGCCCTACGTGTTCGGCATAGCTTGCGAAACCCGCGAGCTCCTCTGTCCTTTCCTCGTCGTCAACATTTTCGCCTGCCTCGCGAACGGTGTCGGAGCCATAGTAGTTTTTTTCGTCGATGTGTCTCCGCATGACCCAGTTGAACTGGCCTTCGCGTTTGGGGTTTTGTCCGTTCTGTCCTTCATCTGCGCGGTTTTCATTATTCTGCTCTTCGTGAAGTTTACGCAGATCGCGCAGAAGAAGGTGCACGAGGAGTCGGATTTCACCATTGATAGTTATTCGATTCGACGATTCGGTATTTTTTGTGTGATGGTATTTGGGGGTATGTATATATATAAATTTGTTTCAGATGTTGTGACGGCGTGATTTATGGTTATCAGTGTGGAAAGTCTGAAGTATTTTACCACCAGGCGGCTAACCCGAATGCGGGTTTGCCGACTCCGGCGGATCCCATGAGCACTGTTCCCCTTAAGGCTAGGCGCAGGCTTGAGAGGGACCATTCCATAATCTTACTTTAAACAGTATTGCTTACATTCCAGTGTCGTGCCAAATATGTATCCATGTTTGTGATAGCGTGATAGTATTATGAATACTTGTTTAGTCAATGTAATGAACATGTTCCTTTTATTTTCTTTATTTACATTTATAAGTTTCATATTTATATCACAATTATTTGTACATATGTTTAGTTGAATAAATTTTTCAATTTCTCTTTATCTTCTGAATCTTTTTGTTTGATTTGTTCTTCTAAAGCAGCTGTTTCTTTTTTGACGGCGGCTGCTAGGGAGGGATCGAGTTCTATGACCTTCTTGAAGTCTTCAAAGGCTTCTCTGGTGTTCCAAGCGCCGACGTGGGCTCTGGCTCTTCTGTAGTAGGCTTTCACTTTGTCTGTAATTAGTCAAGTTTGAATCTGTACTATCTTTAAAAGTTTTGTATTATTGAAACGTAAATTCTGTATCTATTAAAATTCGATTTGTTGATTGTGTGAACAGAATGTAAGTGCACTAGCAGCACGTGGAATCTCGAGTCGCATCAAAAATTAAAAACTTGCAATCATCATGGGTTATTTTATAAACGTCATTAACCCTGCTATTGTTCCATGTAACCCCTCATCATCACGTCATGAAATTTTAATGGATACAAAAATAACGTTCTGACTATACCTGGATCGCTTTTAATAACGGTGGTACAGTGTTCTATCACTGCATAGTAGTCGCCTTCCATTAATTTACATTGCGCGAAATTGAGCAAAAGTGGTAATTTCATTTTGTCCAATTCATTCCATTCCTCTTCATGAGGTTTTTCTCTAAAATGTTACTACTTTTAGAAAATTTTGCTACTGGTTGTACATTGGGAAACAGTAAAAGAGAAAATAACGAAATTTCAATCTCAAGGTTATCGCTTCCATAGTTTACGGAATTATCTGTTTTTAGAAACGAAAACAAACATACAGACGGTAGCAGACCGCCATACGTTTTACATAAACTGTGAGAAGTAGATTAAAAGCCATTTAAAACATATCTGCCTTCATAGGCTGCTATGCTACCATATAATCAATGTTCAAAAAAAATGTTGGCAACACCAACCCATTCCTTGTTTCTTTTAATCAGTTTGACATAATTGTGACCATACTAGACAACCTAACAGTTTGATTAAATGACAACATTTATCAAAACTCTCTATGAAGTGTGATTTACAAGATTACTTGATCATTAGTTGTTCTATGATGCCTATAGCTTTGGCGTACTGATCTGCAGCAATTTGATAATTTTTCTCTTTATATTCTTTATTTCCCATTTCCTTCAACTGTGGTACCAAGTCTAACTTTTCACCTTCATTCATCTGCCAAGCATCCTTTTCATAATCTTCGGGATGTTCGACTTTTATAAGCTCTAATAAAACACAACTAACAACAACAACAACAACAACAACAAAACATTTCTCCATACCGATTGTGAATTCTAAATCTTGTGGATTTTTCAGTAAATCATTCAAGTCATTGTAACCAACTCCTTCAGTTTGCACTGTCATTGCACAACAGTGACTTCTACGTTCTGATCTTGGTACATGCACATCTCTCAAAGTTTTTGAAACAAAAGGATATTGCAACACCAACTGCAACAACCCAATTTTAAAATCTGAAATCGCCAAAAATGTAACAATTACATCTTTTTTCACTGTAAAAACTGCCACTTCATTTAAAGCCATTTTTTGTATAATCACTTCCCAGACCTCTAGCTTAAACTTTTTACCCAGAACTAACTCCATCGGTTTCCCGGGTCCCATCTTTCTGGAGTCGTCCAAAAGCGTTTTTTCTTTGTTGCATAGACGCGTTTGAAAGTGAAAATGTACCTAACGATTTACTGCTTTTAGAAAGTTTTTGTGGACTGAAACATACCTTTGTTCCTTCTTTAAATGTAACCGTCTTCACACCAGCGTAGAGAGTTCGTTTCTCGATTGGATGATCGTCGGAGTTTTTTTTGGGCATGATTTTTCGAAAAATATACTTTTTAACGCTTTGCTTCTATAATCACAGATTAGTACACAATTTTGATATGAGATTATTTGCCGTGCTGACAAAGTTGACATTTGTTTTGTTTATAACCTACAAATTTCTCATCAAGATGGAAATAACAAAAACATTTATTGAATTTAACTCCTGTGACGCTATGGTTGAAATATAAGCGGTGCTTAATGTGTTGGTAGTATTTTGACTCGATTTTTCAAAGCAAATGACAATTTTTGCCGACTTATTTGAATTTCGCGCCTCTGGCCAGCACGGCCATGTCAATAAAACAGGTTCCTTAAAAACAGTGATGTAAACTGCGGGGGTAAATACTCCGAATACAAAAAATCGCAAAAACTTTGGCGCAAAACACGAACTTTGTGGTAAATCATCCCCTCCACCCTGCCCCGAAGGGCACAAGCGCGCCAGCGCCGCAGTTCGTGCCGTTTGTGCCCTTCCGCCTCTAGGTTATGTTATTTTGTGTTCGTTGTTTTTCAGGTTTGAAAGCGTAAACATGCCTTCGTCAGTTCGACCAAAGGGCTCTGGTGGCGGCAACCGCGCTCCCCCAGTTACCCCCATGTCAGAGCGTCAGCAGATGGCCCTGCTGATGCAAATGACCTCCTCGACGAACGACGTTGGCTCTCGAAGCCCCAGCGGTCCCAACTCGTCGCGATCAAGAGACCGAAACGAAAGAGGTGAAACACCATTGCATTTAGCTGCAATTAAAGGCGATGTCGAACAAGTTTGTAAATTATTGGCACATCGGGCTGATCCTAACGCTACTGATTTTGCTGGTAATTTATCGTATCTAACAAAATTATGAAGCGCGTGTAGATTTTGCGTTGCCGTTGCGGGAGTTATTGTGAACTTTGTCATTTTGGAGCAGGGTGGACGCCTCTGCATGAAGCGTGCAACCACGGCTGGTACGAGGTTGCTTTCCGGTTGGTGCAGGCGGGGGCCAACGTCAACGCGAAGGGCCACGAGAACGACACGCCGCTTCACGACGCCGCCATGAATGGACACATCAAGCTGGTCAAGCTTTTGGTCGAACGGGGCGCCGACATACATGCTAAGAATTCCAAGGGGAAAACGCCTTTAGATGTTGCCACAAGTGCTGTTACACCGTATTTGCTCAATCCAAGTTTGCCTTTACCAGGTGGGTGGTCTGAGTTTGTTTCAGTTGCAATATCAGTACATATTTATTAGCTACGGTACTGTGGGCTGCATTTTTGTTACTTTCTTTTTAGGTTTGATAAAAAGTGTTTACAAAGTCGTAATGATTTGTGTTGTGACCTTAAGTTCGACGAGATTCCAGTTTTGCAATTTTTTACCCTTGAATCGAATATTATGGGAATTGGAATGTCGGTTGTACCGCGTCGTTAAAGTTGTGCGCAAGTCGCCACAAGTTTACATAGTGGGTTGAAAATTTGCTGTTCAAGAAACTATGGCCCCACCAGCGGTTTTTATTCGAACTGTTATTCCTTACTAGCTTGTAACGTGTTTGACTGCTTTAACATCAAGTTGAACATATACTCTTATTAACAATATTACCATTTTGGAGATTTTCAGTTGTTAATCTGAAAGCTTAAAACATTAGCAGTGGACGTAACCACACCGGTAGTAGTCTCCCGTTTTCGTCCGTCCGTCTGTTTGGTGTCTGTGTCCATTTTTTTAGACACGTAATCTCCGAAACTGCTGGACCGATTGTTGTCAAATTTTGTATGTATATTAGAAATATCATGTAGATAGTTAAACGCGATCCCAAATTTGGCTAATCATCCTCACCAACAATTTGATGATGTCGTTTCAATGAATGGTATTTTAAAATGATTTTAAATTTACAGTAGAAATATTTTTCACATACAAACTTCGACACCACTTTTCACCCCATTGGGAGTTGAATCTCGGAAAATGCTTAAATACGTCTATCATTATTTATTAAAGAACGTTAATACCAAGTTTCACGTAAAAATTTAAATTTACAATAGAAATATTTTTCCCATACAAACTTAGCCTCCACATTTCACTCCTTTAGGGGTTGGATCTTGGAAAATGCTTAAATGCGGGTTTCATTCTTTGTATTGAAGAACATTAATTTAATATCAAGTTTCACGTAAAAATTTAAATTTACAATAGAAATACTTTTTCCATACAAACTTAACCAGTACTTTTCATCCCCCCAGGGGTTGAATCTCGGAAAATGCTTAAATCCGTGTTTCATTGAAACTGCATTTCCAGGACGACAGCCTGGCCAGTTTTAATTGGTCATATTCTTCTTTATAACATTAGCACATTCTGAATGAAAATAAGATTTACATGCTTTACAAGACAAGTAATTGTCAGTACGTCCAATTGTGCATCTAGAACACTTGATCGCCATCTTTTAAAATAACTCCTATTCAGTTGTATAGGGTCAGATAACGTTCAAGAATAAAAACCCAATAACGATAAGACGTTATCAGACGAAGCAAAAGCCAAAGAAATGAACCGAAAAAGTTCGGCCAATCTATTAAGATCGGCCAAAAAAAGAAAATAAATGCCAAAGGCACTATATTAAATGATGTTATTATGATTAGGTGTAGAAGCCACCCAAATCATGCACAATTGCAAAAAATCCTTCAAAAGAACACTCCAAAACGAAAGTGTTTACAGATGCTACGTTAATAATGGCTACATCGTAGCCGACGATGCTACGAAATTTTGCATTTCTGTAACAAACTGTCATCAGAAATCTTGTTTGTTGTGTCTAGTACCAATTTCAACTAATTTTTGTTTTAATAAATCGTTTTTTAAGTTTGTTAGTGTGAAATCAGTGAGTAGTTGGTTGTATTTGGCACGGGCCGCATCATTACGAGTTTGTTATGAGTGCATCCAAATAAAAGCTGAAAAATGAGTGATGACAGTGATTCCGGCCCGAGAAACAAACGGAGAAGGAATATTTGTTTAGACGACAGCCCAAGTAGTGGAAGTAGTTCCACCGTTAGTTCAGTAGTAACTAGTACCAGACGACGAGTCCGCAGAAGATACATTGAAGATGACTCTGATTCAGATAGTGGAAGTTCTATTGAAGTTAAACGCAAACGAAAACCCGTTCCTATAGTGACAAGTGATGCAGAGTCGGACAGTTCAGGTTCGGTGATAATCAAACGCTCTAAGCGTCCCGCTAGAGTTGTCAGGAATAATAATAACAATATTCAAAACATTTTGTTCCAAAACATATAATTAATAATTTTACTCTTCTGTTTTGAGGATACAACTCATTCCAATGAAACAAATTTCGATGTGACATTCTTTCGATGCATAAACATAAACAAATGAAGTTAAGCATGAACACTGATAATAATACATTCTTTTCTGTTGGTTATTTGCTTTGAATACATTTCATATTATCTGGGGACGGCACCTCTTTCGAATTTGCACCCCTGCGGCACAGGGGGTTCGAGGTGTCATTTACACTACCTGTTTTTCCGATATAAAGGTTATCAGAACGCACAAATTTTCTATAATTTTTCAAAGAAGCGGAATTTATTGAATTGTACTTTAAGGGCGAGGGAAATTCTGTCGAAGTAATCTGGGATCAATTTTTTTTGTTTCATTTCTATGACGGAAATATTTTTTTTAAGTTTTGAAAAAAGGATATAATTTGAAAATAATCGAAGGTGAGTTTTCTGCAAGCTTGGGAAGTATTGTAATAGGGTCTATTTGGTGAATGACTAATTTCATGTTTTCTCGACGTTTCATAACCCCTAGATCCCTAGAGTATGAAAAAGTAAGTTTCCCGTTTTCGTCTGTTCGTTTATCGCGTGTTTGTGGTCTGTTGGCGGTTTTAGGAGACAAATAATTTACGAAACGACTGGACTGATTGTTGTGAAATTTTAAATGTGTTTTTGAATATGTAGATGTTATTGTATGTAGATTGTTAACGTCATTTTAAATTTTTTCAATTTTACAATTTTTTAATATCACGAATTTTTATGTTTTATCAAAAAAGCGGGATTTGTTGGGCTGCAATTCAGGGGCGAAGGAAGTTCTGCCGAAATGACGTTCGACCAATTCTTTTTAACTACAATTGCTGTCGTAACTTGTTTAAAAATTCATCATCATACAGAAAATAAAATTTCATTTGACCGTCACCACTACAATTTTTCGAATTTACTCTAACCGCTAGATTTAAGCTGATAAACACAACAAATTATTAAAATTCGGAGGAAAAAAAAATCGGTTCTTTAGTTTATTTCTAAATCGCCAACATGCCCGACCTGTATTTTCACCCTTGCAGACGTCCGCTCGTCGTATATTGTAAATAAAAAATCCATCATCGCACCGGCCTCGTCCGTCGTCTCTCGTGCGTATACGTTCATCGGCGCGGTAGGTCTATCTATCAGTGACGGCGGAGGTTCCTCCTCGACCCGTTCCGATCCGGCAATCCAACTCGACTCTCCACCTCTGTCTCCTCGGAGAATCGCACCGGGCCGGGCTGTCCCCGTCACGGTCCTTCATATCGGATTCTCCAATCTTTCGCAACACACGCAAGTGGTCGCTCTCGCAAGCCGAAGCCGCCGCCAGATCCGGCTCCCTCCCCACGGTGAGATGCGTCGTGCATCGCAGGCCCACAAAGGTACGTTGCCGTCGTCAAAAAGCCGCGTGTGTCGCCGTTCCCCTGCATGCGGAGCCATCTTGTGCGAGCTGGCCGCGAGGCGGCCGTCGAACGCGTGCCGGGCGCGGAGCGGACGGACGGACGGACGTTGCCCTTTGAGTGGGCAGCGGCATGGCAGGATTGGCAGGGCCGATTTTGACTGTTGTTTGTATCTAGATGCGTCCCGTCGCGCTGGCTGCGATTGTTTTGGGTTCCGAGTTACGGGAATGATGGTCGCGAATGCAATTAGCTTGGTATCTTGTCGGACCGGGAGGTGGTGAGCTACGGTAGTAATAGTAATTGCCGGTTGTTTGTTGGGTGTTAAGAGCTGCGCTAGGTGGTTGGTAATTAATTGACACGGAGGCTTGGCCGGGGTGGGTTTTAAATTCGCCGAGTTTTGAGAGGTTTGTCGTTTGCGAACTGAGTGAGTAGGGTGATTTCGATGATGATAGGACTATATGGTGTGTGTTGCTGTTTCTTTTTTATGATTGTTGATATTGTCCATTCGATGGAACAGGGCTTACAGATGCGAGTCCAGGCGGATTCGGTGTCGGTTGTAAAATAACTGCATTCGTTGTATGATGTAAAGTGGGTCAATGGCGATAGAAAAATTTAGGTTTGTGGGAAATGTGTTTGTTCTGTTTCCTTTGTTGCACAGTAACGTAGTTGTTGTCGTCATTATCGGGCAAGTTTTTATCAACGATAGTGTGCATACGTAAATAGCATGCTGATTACTAAGAATATGAATAAGGCATTATTCCACTTTAATTATACCACAATGAGAGTATAAATGCATTACAGTGCGGCACAAAAACATTCGAAGACTTTGTAAAAATTTTGCTAGATGAATATATTTTTATAAATTGTTTAGTTGCCAACATTTTTACATCCCGAACGTAGTAAGGAAGTATTGTTATCGAGTCCATCGGCCGGCGCCCTACTCTTGTTTTTTCTCGACGTGTCATGAGCCCTAGAGTAAAAAGAAGTAGGTCTCTCTGTTTCCGTCTGTCTGTCAAATTTTGTAGCTATATTGGGACTATCATGTAGACGGTAAAACGCCAACCAAAAATTGGCTACTCATCCCCACCAACAATTTGATGAGGTATACTTGTGCATTTGTAGTGTATGACTGAGTCCATGTTGAGTTTTTACACTACACTTTCAGATTTTTGGAAAAAAAAATTAAAATTGTATAACAACATTTTGCAATGTAACTTTGAAATTGCACAAGAATGGTAACTGCCGAATAAATTCTCTCCGATATATGCAAAATATTTTGACTCTATACTTGTGGTTTATCAATGTGCTCATAGTTTTTAAAATTACTTGTACAGGGTGGCTCAAAAAAATTAATGGACGGGGCATTTTATTGTATTGATTAAATCAAGAATGACCCACTCCATTTTCCCAAAAATTTGGGATTACAGTACTGTTATTATTAGTATTGCATTGCATCTGTACAAACTGATACGTCTCCTTGCACAAAATTTTGTAACAGAAACGCACTTCAGACAAATGCGTAGCACGCTTCTTTCCATTTTCTTAAACATTACATACATATATTTAATTTAATTTATAAAGGTTATCATCAAAAAAATAAAATTCGCAAAATCAAACTTTATAATTTCTCGAAAAATCTGGATTTGTTTACCTTTTGATATCACAATTTTTTGTTTTCTTTAATTTTTCGATTTTTCGTTTCCTCTATTTTTCAAGTTCTTCACTTTTTTTCATTTTTTTGATTTTTAATTTTTCATTTTCTCAATTTTATATCATAATTTTTCGTTTATTCAGTTCTTCAAATTTCCAATCTTTGATTTTTCAATTCCTGGATTTTTTAATTTTTCAATTTTGCAATCTTTATATTTCCTTATTATCCCATTTTTCGATTTTTAAGTTTCTCAATGGTTAATGTTTCGACTTTTCAAGTTTTTGTTTCTTCAATTTTCAAGTTCTTGATTTCAAATTTTTAGATTTTTCAAAGATTTCATTTGATACTTTTTCGTTTTTTCATCAATCAAAATCAAAATTGTAAAGTAGAAAAACTGTAACATAGAATGATCGAAAAATTGAAAATCAAGTAAAGAAAAAGTGAGAAATTTAAAAAAATTAAAATTTTTATTAGATACTAGCTGACCCAGCCACGCGTTGCTGTGGCTCAGTAGTTATATACGTCCTCTACCGGATGTCTACGCAACCTAGATGGCAAACGATGTTAGAGAGTTGTATCGATAAATACGATAACCTAGGGTTCCAACTTACACCGCCATGTATTAGGAATTCATAGAATTAACCAATAAATTACACACTATTTTGGTATAATAAACATTTAATTTGCAATAAAATGAAAATAAAAACTATACTATCTTTTAAGGTGGATCAAAGTACAGATAGTTACAAAATTTGATCAAAATCGGTTCAGTAGTTTCGGAGTTTATCCCGAACATACAACGTGACACCAGATTTATATAGATATTTAAAATGAAAACTAGAAAAAATGCAAATCAAAAATTGAAGAAACGAAAAATTGAAAAATCGACTTACCGAAAAACTTAAAATTGAAAAAACGAAAAATTAAAAATTCTAAAATTTGAAAAACCGAAGAATGAAAAACCGAAAAATTTAAAAAATAAAGAAAATAAAAAACCGAAACGAAAATACAATTGAAAAAAACTGAAATATAAATATTTGAAGAGATGTTGAACATAAATATATTAAAATCCAGTTTTATTTATAACACATTAAAGCTGGTATCTTTATTTATATCTCTACAAAACATTGTGATACAGATTTTAAAAATAACCCTACTGCGTTTTTTTTTGTGAACCCCATTCATTGCTAAAAAATTTCAAGATAATTGGAATGATTTGCACCGTGGCATCGGAATTTCAACAATAAATCGTTATAAAGCCTAAGAAGAGGTCCATCAGAATACATATGTATATAAAAATACATAGGGGATTCTATTTGCAAAACGAAGTTTCCATTAAAAAAAATTGGATTTCCATCTATAATCTTTAAATGAAATATCGGTTTTCATAATATTAAACTGAGTTCAATTCGATACCGCCAAAGAATTTTTCTCAAAGTCCATAATAGACAGAGACTTTAATATGTACATATTAAAGTCTCTGATAATAGATGCGTAATCTTTTACCGCCAGATCTGTGAGCCACCTTGTATCAGTTGAACTGAAAAAAAAAAAAAACCGCAATGAATTGATGAACATTTTAATTAATAGTCCGTAACGTTTTGATGTGATCCCTTGACAGTTGAGTCAAGATCTTAAAGCGGTTTTAGGATTCCAATAAAAAATTTAAATAAAACTGATTAAGAAACGACTTAACACAATAAGGTAATTAAGATCATGAGAACATGTATTACTGAAGCAAATTATAGGTTGGTCACTGTAAATAAAGTGATGTAGATAATTGTTGACACGAATTGTTTTCTTTCGATTCCGAAATGTGCACAAAAATTGATAACATTTCAAAAATAAGTGCACATTATAAACATGCTACTTTTCGCGTATGCTTTCATAATCCTTTCTTATTCTATGTTGCATATTACTATAAAAATTAATTTTTAAGATTGAAAGCATATTATATAATTTATAAATAAAATTATGTAACAAACTTCGAAATTTTGTCAAGTCGATATTGGTTCATTCTGTTCATTACTTTGGTGATATCATCACAAAAAGTGTATCAATCGAGTTATTTTATTAATATTTCAGAGAGGGATTATCCCGTTTTTCCTAAATTCTAAGAACACAGTAACGTAGCGATAATAATAATTATACGAATTTCTCAAACGCAATGTGCATATTTATGTCGAGGATATTTTTTTCAGCTTTCTTCGACTTGAAATAGATTATTAAAATGGTCCATTACGTACATTGGCTTTTGAATTTATTGCATACAGTTCCGTACAGCTCAAGGTTACATAGAAAATTTAAAAGTACTGCAGTGTGATTCACCTACATTTAAAAGCCACAACAATACGTAAATATTGTTTTTTTAAGATCTGACTTCCGGCATTACCAATTTTTTGAAATTCTTTTGCGACTTTGAGATAAAAATATCTCGCTGCAACCGATGTTGGTAACTATAATTGACTGTGATTTTCTATTTTTGTCTGGAATCGACATTATCGGACCAGAAATTGATTATTAAAATTGGGGTGGTAAATAAATGGCGATTGTTGGGTGTCGAACAAATATTGATAATCTAAATAATAAAATAACTGGCCCGGGCGGAGATAGTGAATCCTAGGGTTTTACCTGGGATTATGTGCTTGATATAGACGATGTGGGTTAATGAGGATGAAAAAATGGAGCGAGGAAATGAATCGCATTTGGTGTTGGTCGTAAATAATTGCAGTTGTATAGTGTGAAGTGGGTCAACTGGCGAAAGAAAACTTATTAGGTTTGTGTGAAAAATGTGTTCTGTTTCGTTTGCCACACAGTAGAATGGTTTTTGTGTTGTTATCGGCCAAGTTTTATCAACGATACTGATTAATAGGAATAATAAATGAGGAATGTTTAATATTTTGATTTTACAGGTATCATAATCATGAAAAAAATCAGTACACTGCAAAATGCTGACTAAAATGTGTTTCCTCGTATTCCTTAAAAATAATGGCGCACGGACTTTCACAATCAGATGATAATGACCGAAGTATCTATGTACTAATTTTTTTTTGCCTAGTGACGTCATCTCAATTGTTTTTTTTCAAATGTTTTGTATGTATTAGTTAACTGAGAGTATTTGAACACAATTCTATTAAAATCTGTAGTACATTTACCCAAGATCTAGGGTGGGATTTGAAGTTTCGCGTGTTGTCCATTTTTTATGGATCTATTTTTAGAGAATCGCGATTTGCGAGTAAACAAGCTGCGGTTTAATTTGCGCACACTTCAGATCAAGCGGTATTGTGTGTAGCGATGTTTTTTGTTCTGATACGAGTGGAGAAAGATTATCGGCAGATGAGTTAAATCCTGTGTTGCTTGTAAATAATCGGCATTTGTTTTGTTTAACATACAGTAAGATAACTTTTTTGTTATGGTTATCGAGCCAGCTTTTATCAGAGATAGTGTGAATGTGGAAACAGCATACCGACTAGTGGAAATAGTCAGAAATTTATTTAACTTTAAGGTATATTGGAGACATTTTAAACTTGTTGGCAGCATTACAATGAATTCGTATATGTAAAAACGCGTAGTTTTTGAAAAATTGCACAGTGGTAGGCTTCTTTTTATTAAATACAGATCCTGTGAGTTTTTTTATTTATTTTTCAGTTTCGGTATGTATTTATTATTATTATTTTTTTTATGTAAAATCGTTAAACCAACTTAACTTTCCTAAACCATATTTTAATCTTTTCACTTTTCACTCGATTAAATTAAATAAAAGTTTATATTACTTGCGTAAATAAATGTAACAGTTACTGAATAGCGTAATGTAATTTTAATTTAAAGTCAGTAACTGTGTAATATTTCTGCTGTGGACTAATGTGACAAAAATAATTGCTAGCAGTGACAATCTTATCTAAACACAAAAAAAAAAATATTTGTGAACTTATAAATTATCGCTACTTGTAGGAAAATTTTCCTCTTTAACATTGATGTTATCTTTGGCAAATAATAATTACTTTAAAAATCTTGTTTTGCGACTCGTACGTATTGTGTAGAAGCGATAATATTTATGAGTAATGTAGTTAAAATAAGTAACATTTATTATCATTACATTTACGAGAAAACCCCTGAATAGAAACCAGTCTAAAAAATAAAAAACAAAGCAAATGACACTTTAATGGGTCCAGGAGTCGTCGGTCGTTGTTAATTGCGTTTACAATTGTTTTTCTTATCTCGTACATTACTCAAATTTCTGAAATGTTGAAACATAAAATCTTTCACGAAAAGAAAAAGCGACAACTGTATCAACATTTTTTATGTGTGTAATTATAGCGCTTGCCGATGAAAGTGATGCGTTGTCCAAGGCTATAGCAACGTGGCAGTATTTCGTTAACAACATTGGAATGTTTTTATGCAAATATGTGCATGATTAAGAAAATTTAGACCAATTGGGAGCGCTGCAAAAAATGCGATAAAATTATGAAAGGAGTGTGATGCTGCGCGTTTTATACCGAAAACAGAAACAAATAGTGTATCAATTGCGTGGCATTTTCACAATCGCCAGAAACAAAAATTCAGTCATTCCACGAACTTGTAACCCGTAACGCAATTATTTTTTCAATGATCAAAATTTCGATTTGACAGTCCAATGAACTGCTCCCTTCAATCCACTGACTGCCGCCTGTTTGTTTTTCAGAATCGACTGTATCCACTCGAGTACAACCACGCGTAAGGGATGACAAAAAACTCTCATCCGAACCCACCAAGTCAAAACTACCTGACGAACCAATGGACACGGCTAAGATGTCTGCCGCCGAAGACGTCTACGAATTCAAGTCGATAAAAGAATCCGAGCAGACGCAGGAACAGAAGAGCGTCTCCCAGGAGGCGAACAGCGATGCCGGCGACCAGCCGAGCGCCGCCGCCGCGCAGTCGGAAGAAACTTCCAAGCGGAACTTCGCGGAGATAGCCGACCCGAGCGAAGACGGCGGCAACGACGACGAGAACAGGCGGAAGAAGCGCAAAGAGGAGGGCAACAAAGACGGGAAGACGCCCACGCAAAGAAACGCGAACCAGAGCAAGGGGCAGAGCGGCAAGCAGGGGGTTGCGGCGCAAGGGAAGCAGGGACTCACCGGAGGCGGAAAGGCCGCCTCAGAAAAAAAGAGTCCGTGTTCGAGCCCGAAGCCGTCAAGCAACAGCGACGCGGAGCTGGAGGACGGAAAGTCGGACTTGAAAGTACCGCCGCTGAAGATCGTGATACCTCAGGGTGGCAGCGGGGAGCAGGAGGGGGGCACGAGTAGGAACGGGAAGAGCAGCTCACAAAGGGCGCATCCGCTGCCGTACGTCGTAGCGAGCTCGAATAGCAGCAGCGACTCGAACGACAAAGAGATGGCGGCGGGGAGCGTTAGTCCGGAAGGGGCGAGCAAGGGGGATGACAAGAAGGAGGGCAATGCGGGGGGGCAGGCGGATGAACAGGTGAGGGGGAGTGGTTTTTAGTTTGGTCGGTTTGTAAAATAAAATTGAAGTTGAAGATGTTTTGTATAAAGTTTCAAATTTTACATAAATCACTCGCTCTGTAACTTCTTTCGCACTAGGGATTTAAAAGTTCTCACTTCTTCAACATTTCACATGACCAGATTCAGTATCCAGTAAGTAGCTGCGGCGTAAATTAAATTCAAGATACTCATAAACATTTCAGAGAGGTTCTAGTCACCAGAGAGTACTGAGGAGTTCGCATAGAACAGGTCCATCTCAAGGAACTGATCGTGGTAGTAACAATTCGTCTCCTCAGCTACAGAGGTCGCATTCGCCGTCGCCCTCGGCGTCACCAGTTACGCCTTCTAATCAGAACGAAATTGTTGCGTCGAGTGCTACTGCTACAAGTACATTGTCGAAAACGTCGGATTCACAGGTAGAATATTTATACTAACAAGATGTAGTTCCGAATTACCGAACATATTTAAAAATTGTATACTTACTTTTGATACTAATACCTACAAATTTATGAGAAAGGCAAAAGGGCGTAAGTCCGAAATGTAATCTTTTTCAAAAAACTTAAACAAAGCAAAACTTTTGAACTTTTACTAAACGATCAATTTGCAGCTAAAATTATTTAGATTTTAATGCAATATTAAATTTGTGATAATCACAAATTGATTTTTTTATTTTGTTTTAAAACTAAGCTTGCTGTTGCATAATGTTACGGCTAAAAAATACATCTTCAGTTATACCGTTATAGTAGATCAAGTTTACGAAAATCAAACACACTTTTTTTGTAATAACTGAAGATATTTTTTTCCAATCTTTTTAGGCAAATGATTTATTACAACCTAAAAGTATTACTCTTAGTAAAAACAAACAAAAATTATTATACTCCTCAAATGCGCATTAACAACAATAAAACTAACATCAAAGAAACAAAGAATTTCATTAGACGTGGACATTAAAATTCTTCTCTTGACGATGTCGTTGATGACTGCAAATTCCTGTAAAAATCTTTAACGCTATAATCAATAAAGCCTCTAATAAATTCTTTTTTTTTAATCAAAGTATTTTTCTTGCAGTTAAATATAAAAAATTTAAGGCAGTATCGGTTGGAGCTAATGTATAGTTTTTCGCGTGAAATTAAAAATTTTAAATTCCAGATTCCTTCTCGTATCTTAACCATTTCGTAGTTCTCCATGAGCATTTTTTTTTATTTTGTTATATTTTTCGATTAGGCCCTTTGTATAAATTTGCAAAGTAAAAAAAATCATTTTGTATCATTTCTGTGCCGGTGAATTTCCGTTTTTTCGTATTTACTGCTGTTATGACTAATTGATACCAGTCTCATGACAGATGAATGTTAAAACTTCTCTAGCTATACTTAGAATATATCGAAACGTAATAATTTAAAGCAATTTTTAAAAAGTGTGTATTTACATACCAACATTATCTAAATTTTGGGAATCGAGTTATTCCCTTTTGCTTTTCTGCCGCAGAAATAGAATGCATTTGTATTTTCGCTTATTGAAACACATAATATATTAAAACACCAAAAATCATCATTTTAGGCCACTTTGAATAATGACACCGAACCCACATCTGCCTCGTCCACTTCTAGCACGACGACAACAACCACAGCACCGGTGGAACTGCATCCACGCAAGCGCAAAATGAAACCAAACAAAGAACTGTCGGCTCCGCCCCCAGAAGCGCAAGAAGCACCAGCAGAAACACAGATTCATCCGCACGATCAACCAATCACGAATTGTTACCAACTCTTCTTGAACATACGAAAGCAGGTAGGATCATATTCAAAACGAATTTGGACAAATAAAAGTACACCTAAAAAAATCATCGCAGATCGATAAAAGAAGAAGGGGGCTATTTCCAGTCCAACCAAAGCCTCCGCAAGGCTTTAAAGACTATCTGATGAACAGATGTACGTACGTCTTGGCAAGCACAGCTCCAACAACCCCAAACATATCCTACCCTCCCACACTGCCAGCGCAGATGAAAGATTTGTTCACGGAGCAGGAAAAGGAGCGGTACAGGCTTCGAATGCAGGTAAATTCATTACTAGGTGCTCGATTAACGTTGTTGAATTATTTATGACTATAAACGAGCCCAGATTTAACTAATGCACTGCTTCTAGCATGTAATTGAGAAAGAGAAGCTCGTGTTGTCTGTGGAACAAGAAATTCTACGGGTGCATGGGAGGGCTGCACGCGCTCTGGCCAATCAGTCGCTTCCATTTTCTGTGTGTACGATTTTGAGAGATGAAGAGGTCTATAATCTCATCACGCCAGAACAAGAAGAGAAGGATCGAAATGCTCGTTCTAGATATAATGGTAGTTTCCATGCTCAATATTTGAAATTTACTTAGTTTTTTTCTTCAGGTCGACTTTTCTTAAGCTGGTTACAAGATGTCGATGATAAATGGGAAAAAATCAAAGAGCACATGTTGTTGCGACATCATAATGAAGCAGAATCTTTGCACGCTGTGCAAAAAATGGACTGGGAATGGAAAATGAAAGAACTGAGTTTGTGTGATAAGAAAACGACTCCTTCAATTGATGAGCATCATGTACCGATGGTACATGTCAGTGATGACTTTGATCTCTTACCTGCGTAATATGTGATTTAATTTTTATAACTGACGGTATTTTTTGTTAGTTTTAAGAACAGAGTAAATAAAGTTAAGACTAAATGAGAAAAAATATTGTTTAATCCTTCAGTCTATGTTAGTTTAAGCAAGATACGCTTGCGATTCAGAATTAGTTAGAGGATCATTTAGGCTTTGATCTGTGGCGTAGACGACGTATCAATTGTTGTCTTCTGATGAGGCAGTATTTTAAAAAATGGAGATCTCAAGTTGAAGGATAATCGAGTTTCAAGATTATTATAATACACACCAGTGAATGCTCATCGCTAGATCTAATAATGGGTATTGTATTTAGAACAGAAAAACAGCTTCGTTGGTGTGTAACTTAAATATGGATAGTTAAAAACGAATTCTATTGAACTAATTGATGTTGCAACTCAACTAAAAAACACTAGATTGACGAAGTAATTTCATTTTCCCGCACAGTTCCACCAATCAGCGCACGCATTGCGCAAATGCCACAAATGTCAGTGACCAGTGACAGCTTTGACATTTATTTAGGTTATATCACTTTTATTCCATTTCATCCATTTCAGCCTCCACCAGTTCAAAAATAGCAACTTTTCTTCATGCAAACCCCAAAATGAGCCCTCTCGCACTCGCCAGCTACCAAAAGTCGACCAACAAACCCGCAACAAGTAACAGATGAAGGTTGCATATTGTCCTTCTATCACCAGAACCACTCCTAAATAATATGAATTTCAGCCCAACTAATCCATAAGCTGGATGCGCACCAGCATGAACCAGCAGCTAATGGAGCGCCTTTCTCCACAACCGGGCGGCTGCCCCTTGGTGCACCTTGGCCACACTTCTAAGGAAGCAGACCCATCAGCTGACCGTTTCTACCCTTCAGATGACCATAACTGCAACTATCACCATCAGCAAAATAATAGTTTCGACAGTAGCCAGTACTATAACCAGCCACATTTGTATTTGCCAGAGGGGCAGAAAAAGAGCAACGCTTTTGACTTGTCCAGTTTATCATTAGGGAGTGGGTACTGGGGGTACGGGGAGCCGGCGAAGCAGTATTACAGGGCCCCCTCGAATTACTTACTTGATAATTTTACGAAGCTGGGAAAGTCGAGTCCGAGTTTGGATCAGGGGTACCACACTTTAGGGTTTGGAGCGTCAGAGGGGAATGTTTTCAAGGGGAAAAAGTACCACAACAAGAATAACTCGTTTGATCGTTTGACCGACGATATTATAGTTAAGATCTTCTCGTTTCTCGCTAGCGTGGATCTGAGTGTTTGTGCCACTGTATGTCGTAGATTTAACGTTCTAGCGTGGGCCCCCTCACTGTGGCGCATTATAAGGCTCGAAGGTGATAACGTGAGGGGTGATAGAGCCATCAGGAGTATCCTGCGCCAATTGTGCGGGCAAACTGACACCTGTCCAAACATCGAGCGCATTTACATCACTTATGGCACAAAAATCACTGATAAGAGTCTCCTCACTTTGGCGAGACGCTGCCCCGAGTTGACTCATCTGCAAATTCAAGGTTGCACCGCCATCACCAACAACGCCCTCTTCGAGGTGGCTTCTCGCTGCAACAACCTGCAGCACCTGGACGTGACAGGTTGCGTGAAAATTTCGTGTATTAGTATAAACCCGGGCCTCGATCCGTCGCGCCGCCTCCAGCTGCAGTACTTGGACTTGACCGACTGCTCGGCTCTTCAGGATAGCGGCTTGCGCGTTATCGTACACAACTGCCCCCAGATCACCCACCTCTACCTGCGCCGCTGCGTGCAGATCACCGACGCCGGCCTCAAGTTCGTGCCCAGCTTCTGCACCGACCTGAAGGAGCTGAGCGTCAGCGACTGCGTGGACATCACGGACTTCGGTCTGTACGAGCTGGGCAAGCTGGGACCGGTCTTGCGCTACCTGTCGGTAGCCAAGTGCCATCGGGTGAGTGACGCGGGGCTCAAGGTGATCGCCAGAAGGTGCTATAAGTTGCGGTATTTGAACGCGCGCGGCTGCGAAGCGGTCTCCGACGACGCCATCATCTTCTTAGCGCGCTCGTGCACGAGGCTGTGCGCCCTGGATATAGGGAAGTGCGACGTGAGCGACGCGGGGCTGAGGGCGCTGGCAGAGAGTTGTCCGAATCTGAAGAAGCTGAGTTTGAGGAGCTGCGATCTGGTTACGGATAGGGGGGTGCAGTGCGTGGCGTATTACTGCAGGGGGCTGCAGCAGCTTAATATTCAGGATTGTCAGATTACGTTGGAGGGGTACAGAGCTGTGAAGAAGTATTGCAAGAGGTGCGTGATCGAGCACACGAATCCGGGATTTTTTTAAGCAGCCATTTTTATTATAGCGTTTACAAGTACTATTTTTGTATTTTTATATCGAGAAATTGTTAACTATTTATTTTTTGTATATTTGTATATCTAAGAGTATTTTTATTAAAATTTTTCTCTACTAAGGTGCATTTGTTTCTATTTTTTCCCTCTCAATGGTAGATGTGGGAAGTCTGTTGGTCAAAGACTTCTTTATTTCCGTGTTTTTTGCAGACTTTATACTTTCGTATTACCTGTCATTCGAAGCAAATTTTATTGGACAAATCTGTTTATTCAAAAAGTTGATGGCGTCATTAATTAGGTACAGTTAATTCTTTCTATTTTATAATTTTTGACAGATTTTATTTCTTATTTAGAACATTTTTTGCAGTTTGTAAAAGATATTTTTTATCTTTTGAATTAGAGTTAATAAAAACAAAACACATGGAGAATTGTACCTATGTGTTATCTAGATAAATAAAATTACGTCTAATTAGACAATTATAGCAAATAATTATACAATTTAAACAACGATGTATATCTCTCATGATATCTAAGTACATACATATTATTAATGATGAATGATATTTATGCAATAGTTTTACTTTTATTAAGATTTACAGCGTCTATTCAGAACCACATCTGATTTATTTTTAAGTAGACAAACAATAAAGACAAAACAGGATCAAGGTCCAGCCAATTTTATCTAAGCCGATGACTCGACACTTTAAAAATGATACATAATATATTATATAACTGAGAAATCATTTTTGTTACATTATTACCACAGTAATTAGCCTGTTGAGGTGAGTATGTACATCGAGCACATTTAACAAATCCTCTGCTATTAAAACTCACTTTCAAAATTTTACGCCGATCGATTATTCACATAAAGACCTTCTAGTAAAGGCAAACAAAAATGGGCCATAAAACAAACTATTTTGGATTTTGAATACGGTGCTCATCAATTCCACACGATGACTAAACCTCAAAAAAAGCCATCGTGCACTGTAAAACTGTCTCATGATCATGATGATATATCTCAACCTACTTTAGTTGAACACAAATAACGCTGTGAAGATGGCCGCAAGGGTACTGCAAGGACCGGAATTCAGACATCCAGTGGACAAAGATACTTTAGGTCAGTTCTTCTTCAACAATGCGCAAAAATATTCAGATAGGGTTTGTCAAGTAAGTAAATGAATAAATAGTCTGTTTAAAAATACATAATTACACATAACTTGTAGGTCGACGGTAGTACCGACCAAAGCGAAACCTACGCTAGCGTGAAGGTCAGAAGTATCAGAGTAGCACTCGCTTTACAAAAAAAAAGGATCACTTCCGCCGATGTTGTGATTCTTTGCTCAGCAAACACATTAGATAACACGATTCCGCTGTTGGCTGCTAGTTATTTAGGTGCCAAAGTAGCAAATTTGGAACCTTCGCTGTCAGTCAGACACACCCAACATCTGCTGGCTTTGGTTACTCCAAAACTAATTTTTGTAGAAGAGGCGGCGGTTGGGTTGATCGAAGAGAGTCTAATTAGTTCTAGTTTTGATACAGAAATTGTAGTTTTTGGTCAATCTGAAAAGTATGTGAGATTTTCTGATTTGGTAGTACCGCAAGAAGGCGAAGAGGAGTTCCGTCCGGTGGAAGTTGATGTTGAAGATGTGGCGCTTATGCTTTTCAGTAGTGGTACCACAGGTTTACCCAAGGCTATATGTCACTCACATAGGTCGTTTTTGTGGGCCACCCTACAAACCTAGTAGGTACTAATTGTAAAATATTTTTTTTACTATAACGTTCATACTTGTAGCCAAGGGGGAGTTCGAAATTCTGTTTTTCACTTCACTTCTTTCTACTGGATGACGGCATGGATGATGATCACCTGCTGCTTCAAATCTGGAAGCTGTAGAGTCTTTACACGAGGTTTCGATACCGAAAATGTTTTCCGAATAATCGAAAAGTACAAGGTAATTTTTATTTTTCTTTCGGTTTAATTTTGACACGTAACTTCTAGATTCCATACCTATTTACGGCACCTGTTTTAACTTATAAACTCACAAGTTTTAAAGATGCCAGTAAGTACGACACCTCATCACTCGAAGTAGTCATGTGTGCCGGTACTCCAATGGCTCCTTCCCAAATCCAAAAAATGAACGAATTTTTCCCGACAGCTGTGACCATCTTGTGTTGTGGTATGTCTGAAATAGGCGTCGTTTCAAGTTTTGACCTGGAACACGATCGGGAACTCATAAAACGAAAATACTCATCTTGCGGACATCCCGCCGCTGGGGTACAACTGAAGGTACTTCTGCAAAAATTAACAACTGCATTACTTACATTTTTTCTCTCAAGATCGTCGACCCAGGCAGCGAAGAACTGCTACCTCCCAACCAAAAGGGTGAAATTCGCCTTAAAGCTCCATCAATGATGAAAGGGTACTACCGCGGCGACGCTTCTCACGCTTTCGATAAAGAAGGCTTTCTGAAAACTGGCGATATAGGGTACTACGATGAGGAAGAATGTGTTTATGTGATCGAAAGGATTAAAGAAATGTTCAAGTACCAGTCGTGGCATATTATTCCGTCTTCAATCGAGGTCGTACTGCTGGAGCATCCGGGGATTAAAGAGGCGGTTGTGTTCGGGCTTCCGGAAGGCGAAAATGGGGAAGTACCAGCGGCATGTGTGGTATTGAAGGAGGGGTTTACGCTCAGTGGGGAGGAGATTGATGTGTTTTTGAAGGAGAGGGTGGTGGATAGGGAAAGGCTGAGGGGTGGCGTTACTTTCGTGCAGGTTTTGCCGAGGACGCCGACTGGGAAGGTTGTGAGGAAAGAAATTAGAGATTTTGTTATTAATTCAAAAACTGCTTAAGTTAATAATATACAATGGTAGCTTGTAACACACATGTTAAATAAAAATACTGTTATTATTGTTATTAGATTGTTTATGAATACTGACAGTTCTAACTCCCAGGGAAGCAAAACAAGAAGAAATAAATGACAATATTATAATGCGTCCCCGACTCGCCGCTAGTACTAATCTCAAAACAGCCCCGTAGCTACGGGGGGGGGGAAGATGGGACTGAGCCGCCCCTAGCAGTGGTGGTTGCCCCCCCTGGAACACTTAGACATTATAAATTTCAAATTAGTAATAAAATTTCGATATAATGCCGATTGCTAAAGCATATTTAGTAGCCCCACCCGCCCACCCTTTATTTTCTTACAGGGTATGTTATTTGGCAATATATACGAATTTTTAGATGCAATACAGCTGTTTGTAAATCTATATTCTCTGAATCGATCGCAATGACGCATCAAAGATTGGCAAACTTGGTTTTTCTGGCTTTTGAAAAGTACTGTACCAATTCTTTGGACTTTTTTACGAAAATTTAATAGCGGAGAAAACGACGTTTACAATTATTTTAATGAAAAAATAAAGCAGTTATCTGAGTGTATTATTGAAATATATATATTTACATGAAGCCCCCTCTGTCGACAAACTTGCCCCCCCTAAATAAGTTTTCTAGCTACGGGGCTGTCTCAAAATATAAAGGCTCAAATGATAGAATATTGTCAAAGTTGAATCTAGTGCAGAAAATAAATTTACTCTTTATTTATTTTTACTATTTTTTATACATTTTTATTTCCGTCCGTCTGTATGTCTGTTGATGGTTTCATTAGTCAGATAATTTCCGAATAATAAAATTCAACTTTTCAAAATTTTATGTAAGTAAAATCGCTTGAAATTTATAAAGTACTACGTTCTTTATTCGTGGATTTATTTGTACGGTTTCTTGGTCGGTCATTGTAATGAAGGTGGTTACGTTGAAAGAGTCTAGTACCATATGTACCACCAAGGTAAAGGATAGTTTACCTTCTGCTGAATCGGTACCACAGGAACACAAAAGACTGAGGAAGGTTGAGGATAACCAAATAATAGCTGATATTTTGTGTGGTACCGAAGGAGAATGGAGAGCATTTGAATGTTGTTTTTGTGGAAACGATTAAAAAAAAAAACGCAACACCAACACAAATGTTATTGCGATATTTTTTTTTTATTTGTATTATAATCAAATGAGTTCAGAAACTGCGGCCAAGTTTTTTAAAAAGCATCGTTTAGATCCAATCATAGATAAGTTTTTTGAAGATAAGTGAGAAGTGTGATTAAGTTAAAATAAAAAATGCGGTAGTGGCAAAGAATGTTTACTTTCACATAATTCACACGTGTTTTTTTTTTATCTAAAAGTGATTTACGTTATCAACGTAGTTGTGTTCATATAACTAGTTTCACCAAAGTAGCAACTAAATTTAGTGCAAATTCTACGACACAAGATGAACAAGCAAATAATCGAAGGGCCAAAACTAACATACTTCATAAAGGAGAAGACCTTTGGTGAGTTTTGCTTCAACCGTTGTGAAAAATATGGAGATAACATTTGCCACGTAAGTACTGTGCTCTTTTGAAAACGCTTTCTACGAAAATTTAAATTCAGATCGACGCTACTGATAACAAAACAGAAACTTACTCCAGCGTCAAATTACGAAGTACTCGAGTAGCGATCGCTTTACAGAAGAAAGGAATTACTTCTAAAGACATTGTAACTTTTTGTTCTTCCAACACTCTCGATAATGCAATTTCCATAATAGCATCAGCGTTCTTAGGCGCAACAATATCAAACCTGGAATCGTCGTTATCAGTCAGACACACTACACATTTATTGCGTTTAGTAGAACCAAGTATGATTTTTGTGGAAGAAGCGGCAATAAGTTTAATTGAAGAAAGTTTGGACGGTGCAAATTTTAAACCCGAAATTATAGTTTTTGGTAAATCAGAGAAATACACTGTATTTTCGGATTTATTAAAACAGCAAGACTGCGAAGAGGAATTTCGACCTGTACAAGTCGATCCAAATGGTCTAGCCATCATGTACTTCAGCAGCGGGACTACCGGACTTCCTAAGGCTATTTCCCACACGCATAATTCTTTTATGTTTTTTATTTCTGTTTGTTGGTACGTTTGATCATAATTTTTGCTAGCAGTACTAATTTTTGATTTAGTGAAGCTACTCCATACCAAGCTGCTCTGCATTTTACCACTTTCTATTGGATGACAGCAATGATGCTCATGTTTTGTTGTTTTGAAAATGGCAGCTATAGAGTGTTTGGCCGCAATCCAAGTGCTGAGGATATTTTCAGATTTGTCGAAAAATACAAGGTAAGAATCTTGAAAATTATTAAAATAGTTTCTATTCGTGGCTTTTCAGGTCGCTACGATTTTTACAGCACCTATTATAACTTACAAACTAACAAGTTTTGAAAATTCCCACAAGTATGATACCTCTTCCCTCAAGTACGTCATGTGTGGTGGTACACCAATGGCTGCTTCTCAACTTGTAAATGTTAGAAATTTATTCAAGGGCGCCTACGTTGGTCTAGGATATGGAATGAGCGAAGTAGGAGTAGTGGCCGCAATGAATTCGAAAAATGACCCAAAATACAGCACCCAAAAATTAACTTCGTGCGGAACACCGGCCGCAGGTCTAAAACTAAAAGTAAGTACTACTCATCCATCAAAAACACCATTTCACCATTATTATTAATATTTGTTTCTAGATAGTCGATATAGACACCGAACAACTCTTAGGGCCCAACCAAAAGGGTGAAATCTGCATCTTCTCCCCCTCGTTAATGCAAGGGTACTACAAACTTGATTCTTCTGAAGTTTTTGATAAAGACGGTTTTTTGAAAACCGGGGACGTTGGTTACTATGATGAAGACGGTTACTTGTACGTCGTTGAAAGAATTAAAGAAATGTTTAAGTACCAGTCGTGGCACATAGTACCTTCAGCCATTGAAGCGGTACTGCTGGAGCACAAAGGGGTTAAAGAAGCGGCTGTGTTTGGGCTTCCAGGTGGTGAAGATGGAGAAGTACCGGCTGCTTGTGTGGTACTGAAAGACGGGTATTCACTTAGTGAGGAAGAAATTGACTCGTTTTTGAAAGAGCGGATTGCTGATAGGGAGAGATTGAGGGGTGGTATTACTTTTGTGAAAACGTTGCCGAAAACGCCAACTGGAAAGGTGGTTAGAAAAAAAGTTAGGGATTCTATTATCAATTCTAAAAAATGTCCTCTTTGAAAATAAAATGATGTGTATTCGTGAGTTTATTGTTTTGCTTTAAATAGGTACTTCTGAGAAAATTTGGTAGAACTGAAAACATCACAATTAGAGAGTACAAAGCAAACAGGTTTAAACTTGTTGTTGATAACATTGAATTAGTTGTCTCTGCTTAGAGAGAACCAGTAACCAGCACATATTGAAAAAAATTTGAATATCCTACGGAAAAAAAAACACAGCTTAGATCATTTGTTTTCTAGAAAATGCTCAAAAACATTATACATATAGAAATTACTAAAAATACTATGTATTTCTAGGGGCTATAATTATACATAGTTGCATCTGTCACATAAGGATTTTCTGGGATTTAGATTCCAGAATTAATAGACTTCTTTGCGATAGACACTTCCGAAACATATTCTACTTAGTGTTAACTTATGATTATGAAGTACTAGATTAGCACTGGAAATGCAAAAGAGTGTAATTTCAAAGAAAGACGTTATAGCTTTATGTTGTTCAAGTGTACTTGATACCATCATTCCGATTATAGCTGCACTTTTATCTTGGTACTACCGTATTAAACCTGGAATGTTTACTGTTTATGAGACATCAAAGCATTGTTAAATTTAATCATCCCAAAAACAATTTTTGTTGAAGAAAATGCAGTAAATTCAGTGAAGGAAAGTCTTGATGACAGTACTTTTCAACAGTGAAGTTATAGTTTTCCGAAATTCGAATAAGCATTCCCGTTTTGCGGAACTGATAAAACCTCGAGTAGGTGAAAAAGAATGTAGACCATTACATAGCAATACAGATGAAGTGGCCATGTTTTTCTGATGACTTCCTAAAGCAATTTGTCACATCCATTCCTTATTATTTTCCAAATCACAAATCAAATATTTAGTATAGTACGAAAACTTGTCACAATGCCCCACGTAATTATAGCCTTCATGAGGAGCGCTTATTATTGAAATGTAAAGATACGACTTTTTTTTTAGAAAAAGCTGTTACAGTTGTGTGATTTTGAGACTTGTTGTACGTTTATTGCCGGATGGATTAAAGAAATGTTCAAGCATCAATCGTTGCACATTGTACTACATTAAACAGAAGAGGCACTAAGAGAACACCTTCCTATTGGATAAAGTGTGGTTGTGGGCGTTCTTTACAGCGAAAAGGGAACAACATCGGCTGCAGTTATCGTGGTAAAGGAGGGTACTGCCGTCTATGAGAAAGAAATTGACAATTTTTTAAACGAGATGGTGTTAGACAGAGAAATACTGAGAGGAGATTTTTTTATGAACATTCCCTGAACATCAACCGGTAAAATTGTTCAAACAGGAATTAAAACTATTTTAACTGATTTGTTGAATAAATTATGACCTTGGACTAATAACAATAGATCATAAAACATTGTGTGATGCTTAATAATGTATCAATTATATTCCAGTGTCACGCAGTCATGCAATTTTTACAGTTTTATTAAAATTAATACTACACTTCATGCTTTCATTACGTGAGTTCTACTTTAAATACAAGTGACACTTATTGATTACCTGATAAAGTGAAAAGCATATAAGTACATCAAAGGTACTAGGTACCGATCTTTCTTTAAAACCTGTTAATTAAGTGTCAAGATACTTCAGTTATTAAATGCATATGTTTTAGTAGTTTTGAGTTAAGTTTCTCAGAATTTCAGAAGTACGATCTTCTTCAAAATCACTGAGATACCGAAAAAAATAGCACGACTGGTCTAGCAAACTAAATACCTACCACTACAAATTAGGCAGTCACCTATTAATAGATGTGGTTGTGTAATGTCAAACACTTTAACGAAACGCCATATTGTAAGCTACAATCTTTGAAAATCTCAAGTTTTTCTTATCAGCACAAAATTTTTATTTTGATGGTAAACCTAAACAGAAATTGCCATTAATATCAAGGCCACTGAATTGCAATAATTGTCTAAATCTCACTAATAGGTGTCTTATCTTGTTTCTAGTTGCTTGTAGCAACATAACGTCTAACTACAATAACATGAGTGCGCGAATTTTGCAGGGAGCTAAACAAAAGTACCTCACTGAGGAAAAAACACTAGGTCGTTTTATTTTCAACCGCTGTACAAAATACTACAATAACCTTTGCCAGGTAAGAACAAGCTTCATTTTGTTACAATCTGAAAATTTTACCAGAAAAAAAAATAGATTGATGGTACCACCGACAAATGTGAAACGTACGGTAGCCTGAAAATACGAGGTACTCGATTAGCCATCGAACTCCAGAAAAGAGGAGTGACATCCAAAGATGTAATTGTAGTGTGTTCCGAAAATACACTTGATGCTGTTATTCCAATAATAGCAGATACCTTCCTTGGTGCTAAAGTCTCAAACTTGGATCCTTCACTTTCTATAAGGCACATTAAACATTTGTTAAGTTTAGTGGAACAATGAGTGATTTTCGTCCAAGAATCGTCCATCAAATTAATCGAGGAGTATATTTTGAATAACGATTTTCAAACAGAAATCATCGTTTTTGGTATTTCGCAAAGGTACTCCCTCTTTTCAGATTTTATTAAAGAACAAGAAAACGAAGACGAGTTTGAGCCAGTCGATCTTGACCCCGAAGAGATAGCCTTGATGTTTTTCAGCAGCGGTACTACAGGGCTGCCTAAACCAATTTGTCACTCGAATAGAGGCTATATGGAGATTGTCGCACAAACATGGTGACTACACTTTTTTCTCTAATTGGCTGTTATATTTGTTTGTGTTCTAGTCAAATTGTTTGGGTTGATAACGTTTTACACTTTACCACATTCTACTGGATGACAGCGATGATGATCTTCCTTGGATGTTGTAATTTTGGTAATTACAGAGTGTTTTGTCAGAAATTCAGAATGCAAGTGGCGAAGACATTTTCAAAATTATTCAGAAGTATAAAGCATAAAGTAAGTTGAACGGCTAGCTAACAACGTGCTGAGGTACTGTCTGTCGTCTTTTAATGTTAATTTACTGTTACATAAAGTGTTGTTAATAGAATATGTAGTGATTCTTCATTTCAGGTCAAGAGTATGTTTATGGCTCCTTCTTTAACCTACAAACTTACTCGCGTCGAAAATTCGCAAAAATATGACACTTCTTCTCTCAAAGTAATTACTGTTGGTGGTACCCCTATATCAGCAGTTCAGATTGAGAAACTGAGTCAAACGTTTCCGAGTGCAATAAGCTGCCAGTTGTACGGTATGACCGAAATAGGACTGATTTCAGGGTTTGGACCAGACGTCGATCAAGAAACGGTTAACAAAAAAATTGCGTCCTGTGGAAAACTTAGCCCAAATACTAAACTAAAGGTACGACTTTATCAAACTTGAATGTAGACACATCCATCAATATTTCTTCTTTTCTAGGTAGTTGATCCTGCCACTGGAGAAATGCTCCCTCCAAACAAAAAAGGAGAAATATGTGTCTTTTCTCGCTCTCTCATGAAAGGGTACCTTAAAGAAAATCCCTCTACGGGTACTACGACGAAGAAGACTACATATACATAGTTGAAAGAATCAAAGAAATGTTTAAGTATCAATCGTGGCATATAATTCCGTCTTCAACCGAAGCAGTGTTGCTGGAACATTCAGTTGTTAAAGAAGCTGTGGTTTTTGGACTTCCGCACGATGAAGATGGTGAGGTTCCAGCTGCTTGTTTGGTGTTGAAACAGGGTGGTACCATTGGAGAACAAGAGATTGACAAATTTTTAAGAGAAAGGGTTGCCGATAGGAAGAGGTTGAGGGGAGGAGTTACTTTTGTGAAAACACTGCCTCAAACCCCCACCGGGAAAATCGAGCGGCGACAAATTCGAGATTTTGTTGTAAACTTGAAAAATTACAAGTGACAAAATATTGAACGTAAGCAGTGTTATAGTTTATTGTTTGAAAAAAAAAAAACGTGTATTTTATAATAGCTCTTTTCTCCTGTTCCTGTATTTCAATTTTTCCCAGTAAGTGTGCAATGTGAGTAGATTAATAAACTACTCGTAGTAGACCCGGTTTATATGTATGTAGAATGTGAATTAAAGTTAATTCGCGATTAACTTTTAATTGAGGTCCGTTGCTAAGCAACCAATCACGGGCTCATATATTCTACATAGATTTTAATCCTCTGTTAAATTAATGGAGGATTATTTATATTTAATTCGCGTTCTATAAACCGGCCCGTATACGTATAAATGCATATTATTTTCCACATTACATGCATATTCCTACCTCGTACATACATAATCCGTATCCAGTTTGCCCCCCTTAGCGTCTGGTGAGGTGACACCTTCGTACAGGCGAACGGACAATTTAAGTTTCATTGGTCATCCAACCAAGCAACTTTGCTTGGTTGGATGACCAATGAAACTTGAAAGACTTGGGTGTAAGGTATGTAGAAGTAAATCTCTACATACTTATGTAGAGATTTACTTCTACATACCTTACACCCAAGTCTTGACTCCGGATAGAATATGATGTCTACGCACTTATTTTCCATATTTTAAATACGATTTTCCTAGTATATTTTGAGGTAACGCCATCAAAATTTTGGTGGGGATGGATAGACAAATTTTAGTTAGCAATCTACCAGGCTGATGATAAGCATGTGTTAAACTTAGAGCAATGAGTTTAGTAGTTTCAATGATAACTTGCAAAGTTTTGTTGTACAAACGTTGCTTCGTTGCACTCTGCTGTTAATTCCCGTTCTCATTTACTTAGCCGTTTTACTAATTACGTTTTCGTTAATTGTATTTATGGAATAAGTGACGATTAATTTCACTGATTATCACCCGCCACCGAGTCCCGAAGATCCAGCGCATCATGATTACATTTGTTCAGACTGGTGTCGGTGTCGGTGTCGAACTCGACATCCTATTCCGGCGCGCGTCGTATACGTGTTCTATAATACGAAAAGATGGGAGTTAAAACTCCAAAAAATAATACTAATTAATAAGATGCTGCTATTTTATTTATACTTACAGCCAAAGTGCTTACAAGTTGTACCTAACAAATTTGCCTGCAAAATTTCCATCAAAATTAACGACTGAGCATAAATCGACAGTTTCAGCAATCTTCTTTTTTAACACACTTTCCTTGTGAGTTCCGGAGGTAATTATCTTTACACTGGCAACCTATTTTGCAAGAAGCTATACATATTTGGGGTCCTCTGTGCTCGCAAGTGGGAGGGCAGTGAGTACCACATGTAGTGTGAACTTCATTGTCGCCACATTTTTCATCTGTATTTAAAATAATAGTAATTTTAAAACACTTATTAAATGTATTTTTATAATAAAGCTTGCCCTACCAGCAAAAGTGGTAAAAATGAGGACACTTAAAACCAAAACACACCAAGTTATCTTCATGTTGACACGATGAAACATACAATACGATATTTTTTCTATTCCGTATTTATATATGATTCCATTTGTTTATTGATTTTTTTTGTTTAATACTTGGAACTCTTGCATGAATAAGGTTAACAAGATGTTGTGTAACTTTTAAAGATAAGAGCATCTCAGTTAGTATGCGATGAAAAACCGGTTTATGATAGCCCAGCTTTAATTTGTTGCTAATTGAAGGACACAATTGTCCAAATAAATATAGTTATTTATAGTGCACCAGCGTCGTTACCAACTGCTTGCTATTTTTCTGATCGCTAGTTGTTGTACAAAAGTTTATTTTGCAGAAAAATTAGGAAAGTGAATGTGGATATCATTCAAAATAATTTTTGAGTTGATCATTTCTCAGAAATTTCAGTATTATGATTTTATTTGCGAACGTGTCATATTATTACAGATATTTTTAGAATTTTTGATATATAAGTATGTATTTACAAAACAGATAACGCTTTTGTTTTAATTTATGTATAAAATTTTATCTCTCACTAGCCCCTACCATTTATCTCAACTCAAATACGTCAAACTTTATACTTAAAAACAAACTTTATGAATGGAAAAGTTAATTAGGCACATTCTAATGGCGAAATGCATTACATTGTTTAACTAAAAGAGAGACACTTTGGTTTGCGTATTTTTTATTACGCATTAGTTAAATATAAAAAAAATAACCTGTACATTTATTACTATCTATTTTTCTACTTGTAGTTTATCACTGTTGAACAACAAATCAGAGGGACCAGATGCTTGCCGAACGATAAATTTTGTACGACGTCAGTTAATATAAGAAACAAAAAGGAAACGATACAAAAATCAGGAAGAGAAAATATAAGGAGAAAATTGTTTGCTGTCGTGTCCATCCGTGTTATTATCGGTGGCCAAGCATGGACACTAACAAAATTATTTATTTGGGTGTAGGCCCATTTCCTTGGAAATGGATAGCTAAATTGCAATCAGGGAGAGGTAATAAGTAAAATGTAGTCTTCATTTAACAAGTATATTAAATCTAAATTCAAACAGAATTAATGGTAAAAATTGTAAGTCCCAGACAAAGATTAAATATAAATACATTCTTAAGGCTACGAATCCAAAAATCGTATTTTGACGCGTCCGCTAAATAATCCCTACCTACTTGATAAAACAAAACTAAAAGAGTTACTATTCACTTCAATTATTTAAATACATGACAATCAACTGTTACTACAAAGGGCCAAATATCAATGTCTCCTTAAAGTTAAATTAAACGAAAACGTTACTTGAAATATCCTTTAAATATCGTTTCCCTATCCCTGATTAATAAGATATTAGCATAACACTTAAATTAATTGGCAGTAAATATTACAAGTATGACGTTAAATTGATATGGACGTATGAGGTCCAATTTGCAAATGATACCTTTCACAAGGATCATTCCCTATTACCCTAAGTCGCAGTAATGAAATTTGGAATGATTAGCATTTCCATAAACAAATTAAAAAGAATAAAAGAAACTGTTCAAAAATCATGGAAGGAAGTTTCCGGACCTTAGAGCAAAAATAACAAATGACAATACTACATATTTTCATAAATGCGCGATTAATCGGGAAGTCTTAAAGCTTTTATTAAGGTACACGGGTTATCCGGAAATCCCCCCAAGATTCGTCAAAATTCCGAGATTCACATTAAAACAGGGACCGCAGAGAGCAGTGACCGCTTTCGTTATCTTCATCATTTTGTTAATGGCGTTTGCATTTGAGCGACAGACTAGTAACCCATCTCTCAGATAATTCCTCAGTTCTGAGTTGATAAACGTTCGCCCTTTCGATGACAGTAATGGACCATTCCCCAATTTAACAAGTTAAATTTTTCGTATAATGACGGAGGTCCAGGTTAATCACACATCAGTCGATTATCGAAGAAGGCACAGAAGCAAGATAACACATGCATGACGGTTTAAATTTAGATTCTTTCACTTACAAAAAACCATGGAACTTTTCTAAGTCTTCCTTCGCAATTTCGGGCAAGGAACTACCAGCTGGACAAGGCTTCAGCACGGCTCTACTTGGGTATCGATCGTTGTAGGTACTTCTCGTCTTCGTGGCACACTGGATTCGACTTCTTCGACTTCTTCGATTTCCTCTCGATTTTGCGCCCTTTTATACTGCGTTGTTCTCATTAATTATGTCTTTGGTGGCATCTTTATGAGTGCACGTGTTGCATCGTGGTATTCGTATTTGGGTCAGTTGATAAGAATGCAATCCTTTTGGGCTTTATTTAGAGGTTTTATAAGTCTTAGTTTCGTTGTTCCGAGAATTTCGTCAGACTGATAAGTCGCAAAATAGATTGATGGTAATGCGTGAGATTTGGTTTGTTTTATGCTTCTTTTATCTTGCGTTGCGTTATTGTGTAACGCCTTTGGTAGTTAATTTGATGTGATTTATTTGGTGTTGGTTCCTCTGTGCTTTTAATTGAATGTCGTTAGAATCACGTGCCAACGTTGTGGATTCTTCTTTGTCTTGTTATCATGTTAACGTCACATGCTGTCGCCATCTTGGCACTTTTGCTTGGGTGTGGTATTTAGCTAGGGTTGACTGAGTGAGTACTTCTCAATGGTGTGCGAATATAGGTTTGCAATTATCTGGTGGTTGGGTAATACATACGCGATTGGACATGCGCAATTTGCTTATTTTTTGCGAATATGCGAATTTAGTCTTTGAGTTAGAAAATTATGTTCTGAAGTTTCTTATTGCGGTTTTTTTGCGGTTTCCCTTCAAGGGTGGACCGTCACATTGCGTCACATATTAAATATAATTATTATATAGTTATAACAATTAAAATGTTTACCTTTAGAAAAAAATAATAAATTAATCTTCATTGAAGAATACCCTCTAATATGCGTACTCAATTCGTTGTGATTGAGAAGCGTAAATAACTTTACAACGCACAAAAAATATTTGATCGATTAGCACTGTGGATTCCTTTTTTATAAAAAAAAAGTTGAAAAAACTAAAACTGATCCAATGTCTCGGAGAAATCTTTGCAAGATATACAGTAATAGATATTCAATATTAAAAAAAAAGATGGCTGTATTTACTGGCTCACTTATCATTAAATTTAAAGAATAAATCATAACGAGTTTCAAACGTCCAAGGTTTTTTCTAAGACTGTACTTAAGAGAGTAAATATTGACAGATAAGCAACATTTCTTTTATCAGTGTTATACACAATTAATTTAAGAACGGTCCACTTTCGACCCAGTCACAAAATGCCTGGAAAAATTTTAACTCGGCCTAACCTAAGTTCCATCCCCCTTTCCACCATGGGTGAATTTTGCTTTCAAACGGCAAAACAATTTGAAAATCGAATATGCCATGTACGTAAGTACCCATAACGGTACTACTTTTCAAATTCGGATTTTTAGATTGACGCCATCACCAATCAACACGAAACCTACTTTGGATTCAATCAAAGAAGTATCAGAGTAGCTCTTGCGATGACGAAACTCGGAGTGGTACCTCAAGATGTGGTGGTAATCTGTAGTACCATAACTCTAGATACACCGGTACCACTGGTAGCGTCTTTTTATATCAGAGCTATAGTAGCCAATTTAGATCCAAGTTTGTCAGTGAGGCAGACATCTCACTTGCTATCTTTGGTTTCTCCAAAAATAATTTTCGTGGAAGAAGCGTCTGTCAATTTAATTGAAAAAAGTTTATTAGAGGCAAAACTTGAAACAGAAGTCGTAGTTTTTGGGGAGTCTGAGAAATATAAAACATTTTCGTCGTTGAATCAACCACAAACTAACGAACATGAATTTCGTCCTAAATCTGCAGATGTTGAAGAAACCTGTATTTTGATCTTCAGTAGTGGTAGCACAGGTCTTCCAAAAGCTATCTGTCATAGTCACCGTAGCTTTTTAACAGCGTCATACAACTTTTAGTAAGTGCACTAAAATTTTAATCATTTTGATTGATTAGTGATTAATATATAATTTAGTAAATCAGGAAGTAAATTCGACACTATTCTCTCCTTTTCTTCTTTCTACTGGGTTTCGGCAATGATTTTTCTGGTTACTTCTTTCATACATGGTGGCCGGCGAATCCTTTGCGGTAGTACTGTAAAACCTAAACAACTTTTCCACAACATTGAAAAATACAAGGTAGGTACCGTATTGTTCTGTTTGTCTCTTTGAAGATTTTTTTTTAGATAACTTTTATATTTTTGGCCCCTGTTTTAACCTACGGCGCCACAAATTTCCCCGATTACAAAAATTATGACACATCTTCGCTCTACACGGTTTTGTGCGGTGGTACCGCTATAAGTGCCACGCAACTGCGTAAAGTACACACCGTTTTTGAGCATTCCGATGTTATTTTCGCTTACGGTTTAACCGAAACCGGTTTACTCACTTTATTTGATCCCACAACAGACAAAGAGCTCATAACTCGGAAAATTGGTTGTTGTGGAAAAGTCACTTTCGGATGCACCCTCAAAGTAAGTATCCCAATATTGTCACTGTAAAAATTAAAAGAAGTGTCAGATTGTAGACGTGGAAACTAATGAAATACTAGGTACGAATCAAAAGGGCGAAATCCGCCTCAAGTCTTCGACGATGATGAAAGAGTACTATCGGGCAGACAGTTCGCAAGATTTTGACGAAGAAGGTTTTTTGAAAACTGGAGATATAGGATACTACGACGAAGACGAATGTCTGTATGTTGTGGACAGACTCAAAGAGATGTTCAAGTACTTGTCGTGGCATATAGTACCAACCGCCATTGAAAATGTTTTGTTTGAACATCCGGGAGTTAAAGAAGCTATAGTTTTCGGTTTACCAAAAAATGAAGAAGAAGGAGAAGTACCGACTGCTAGCGTTGTTTTAGAAGACGGTTGTCGAGTTACCGAGAAAGAAATTGAAGAGTTTGTAGCCGGAAAAGTCTCAGATAAAGAAAAGCTCAGAGGTGGAGTTTATTTTGTGAAATCAATCCCTCGAACGCCGACTGGAAAAGTGATGCGAAAGAAAATTCGAGATGATTTAATTCAGAGTTTGGAAATAAATAAATCGTAACGACAAAATTGTACTTCATTTAGTTCAGTTATCTGAAAATGGATGTTTTTAAAAATAAAATGATTATTATGTTATATTATTTATGATAATAAATAAGTTAAAAACAAGTCTTTTGATCCTTAATCAGAATTTAAAACAACAATTAAACACTTATTAATAGCAACTGTAATTAATATAAGTCTATTATCAACTTGTATTATGATTTTTCAGATCACACATTTTGATTAGATAGGTACTCTCGTTGTAAACAAGATGTGTTTAGAATTTTAACTTTTTTGATATATGTACTTTAAAAACAAGGTGGATCTATAAATTTTAGGTGAATTTTTTTTGGGCGAAATCGAATTTTATATTTCTTAAAAATAGGGCAGGATACTTAAAATTTGAAGTTTTTCAAAAAAGATGCCTTAAAAACAGGGTAAAATTGTTAAAAATGTTACTTTTTATATCCTTGAAATATTTGGTTTTTTAAATATACCTTTTAAATCAAGGTAAAATCCTTAAAAAATTGTTGTGTATTGAAGGGGCCCTACTAGTACCTACAAACTTAAAAACAAGCGGAAATGTTTTGAAATTTTAACTTTTTTAATATACTTTAAAAACAGGGAAGAATCTTTAAAAAAGTATTGTGTTCTCAAGGGGCTCTCCTAGTAGTCCTAGAATATAGAGTTAAATGAAATTGAGAACAATAGCTAAAAATATTGTAATGAAACGGTCTGGCTTCATTTTTATACAAAATTGTCATTAAGCACTGAAAAATAACTGATAATTTTATTACATCTTTCAAAGTACACTCCATCTGGTACCACTTTTCCCCTGTTGTGCATGTTGCAAGAAAGCAATTTAAATAAATCTTAGCTTAAGTGCCATTTATCTCTGTTAGCTATTATTTAACTACTGTACATGACGCGATTACTTAAGATAAAAATTCAATGCCAAACAGTGAACGAAAATAGAAGAAGACAAAGTAGCACTAGTTTTATCAGTTGAGTGTAAGCACAATGAGCGACAACATCTTGAAAGGTCCTATTCTAGATTACGTTCCATGTACCACCTTGGGGCAGTTTTTTTTCGAAGCTACTAAAAAGTACGAAAATCGTATTTGCCAGGTACTTAATATTTTTTGTGAACTTTCTTTGTAATACAATACAGATCGATGTACTTAGAGATCAACATGAAACTTATTCCTCCGTGAGAAAAAGGAGTACCAGAGTTGCTTTAGAAATGCAAAAGAGAGGTATTACTTTTGAAGATGTGGTAGTTACGTGCTCTTCAAGTACCATAGATACTGCTATACCAATATTGGCTACTTTTTATCTAGGAGCTAAAATTGCTAATTTGGATATTACTTTGTCCGTTAGACAAGTTACACATCTGCTGTCTCTTGTATCCCCAAAGATGATTTTTGTTGAAGAGTCTGCTGTTGGCTTAATCGAAAAGAGTGTAGAGAATGCCAGTTTGAAAGCAGAAATAGTAGTCTTTGGAGAATCGCCAAACTATAGTACTTTCACCGATTTTGTAAAACCTCAGGAAAATGAAGACCAGTTTAAACCCGTCGTTGTTGATTTAGAAGAGACCACAGTTATGTATTTTAGTAGTGGTACTACCGGCCTTCCCAAAGCTATCTGCCATAGCAATCGCAGTGTTCTACATTTTGCCTTCTCTTTTGAGTAAGTCGCAAAAAAGAGTATTCTCGTTCTAATGTTTTCTATTTCAGCAATTCCACCGAACACCTGGACGCAGTTCTTTCTTTCAGTTCTTTCTACTGGATAACGGCAATGATTTTCCTTACTTCCATATTTATAAGCGGTGGACATAGAATCATTTGCGGAAATAAAGTAGAAGCTGAAAGAACCTTCAACATCATCGAAAAATACAAAGTAACTTACATGTTTGTAGCACCAATACTATCTTATCAACTTACAAACTTTGACAATTATCAGTCCTACGATACTTCCTCGCTTCGTACTATTATGACGGCTGGTACTGCTTTGAGTACCACTCAGTTTATTAAACTGAGCACTATTTTCCCCGGAGTCGATATTATTGGTTGCTATGGGCAAACAGAAGTTTGCGTAATCTCAATGTTTGATACTAAATCCGACAAGAAGCTCATTCGTGTGAAAAATCAATCTTCTGGTAAAGTTATTACCGGAATTACGCTTAAGGTACTTTTGATTTTTTTCTAAATCAAGACTAAATTTGCAATTACAGATAGTTGACCCCGACACTAACAAAATCATGAGTCGTTATCAAAATGGCGAGATACGAGTGAAATCCTCTGCTATTATGAAAGGTTATTACAGAGCCGATAGTACCGAAGTCTTCGACGGTGAAGGTTTTCTGAAAACGGGAGACGTGGGATATTTCGATGAAGATGGTTGCGTATACATCGTTGAAAGGTTGAAAGAGATGTTTAAGTATTTGTCTTGGCATATAGTACCGACAGCTATAGAGTCAATACTTTTTGAGCATCCTGGTGTTAAGGAAGCTGTTGTTTTTGGTTTTCCCAAAAACGAAGAAGAAGGAGAACTCCCTGCAGCTTGTATTGTTGTTAATGAAGGTTTCTGTGTTACTGAAAAAGAAATTGAAGAATTTGTTGCGAATAGGGTTTCCGATAGGGAAAAATTGAGGGGAGGAGTGTACTTTGTAAAGGAAATCCCCAAAACGCCGAGCGGAAAAGCGATGAGAAAAGAAGTGCGCAAGTCTGTAATAAACTCCCCCAATAAGTAAATTCAAAACATATAAAACTGATTAGAAATAAATAAAGAATAGTTTTTCTCATTTTTATAGATTTATAAATATAGGTGATATAAAACACAAACGGTCTCCATCCCTTCAACAATTTTTATCTTAATTGTGTGTAATAAACCACAAACTAAATCTTTCGTGATTAAAGGGTACATACAAACTACTCTATTCGAGATTGGTGCATTTGCTCAAACCAAACAAGGTCATTCAAAATATAGTCACGCTATAACTAAAAGCCAAATTATTCGTAATTACTTAATTACGGTCTTTCCAAAGTTCTTTTGTACTCTACAAAATAACATGCAACCAAAGTACCACCTGCTAATTACGCTCACACGCAACTTTTTTTTCACTGTAGTACCAGTAAAATAAACATTCATCTTCAAGCTAATACAAAGTAAAGTCAGAATGACAGACGACATTCTAGAAGGCTCAGCCCTAAAGCACCATGTTACTTCTAGCATGGGACAATTTTTCTTCGATCAGGCAGAACGCTTTAGCGATAGAATATGCCAGGTAAAACCTTTTTTTTTTCGCCTTTAAACAATAACAATTTTTTCTAGATCGACACCAGATTGAATAAAAAAGAAACGTATTCTGATGTTAAACAAAGAAGTGTTAGAGCAGCCCTCGCGCTGCAGAACAGAGGTGTCATTTCAGAGGATGTCGTAGTACTGTGTACTAAACTCACTCTTGATAATGTCGTACCAATCGTGGCTTCATTTTTCTTAGGTGCTAAATTAGCAAATTTAGATCCTTCGTTGTCTGTACGACAAACCACACACTTGTTGTCTTTAGTATCACCGAAGATAATTTTCGTGGAAGAAGAATCGCTGGGGTTAATTGAAGAAAGTCTGGCTTTTGCAAATTTGAAAGCTGAGATTGTTGTTTTTGGAAAATCTTCAAAGTACTCGACTTTTTCGGAATTCGTTAAACCGCAAGAAAATGAAAATAAGTTCAAACCTACTAGCGTGGACATTCATGACATTGCGGTTATTTTTTTCAGTAGTGGTACCACCGGTCTTCCAAAGGCGATCTGTCACAGCCACCATAGCTTCTTGAATGTGGGATACTCTTTCATGTAAGTATTATTAATAATCATTAATCCAACATGTGGATTTAATAATAACATAATTTAAGTCAATCTGGTATAAACTGTGACGTCATTTTGTCCTTCACATCGTTTTATTGGGTGTCTGCAATGATCATTCTCACCACTTCGTTCATAGTCGGAGGTCACCGCATCTTCTGCGGTCCGATGGACGCTGAAAAAACTTTCACAATAATAGATAAATACAAAGTACCAACTTCACACACTGCAGAATATGGTAGTAATTCTTCATTTCTAGGTAACCATGTTATTCTTAGCCCCAATTCTCACTTACAAACTCACAAACTTTGACGGTCGTCATTCCTACGACACCTCCTCTCTCAAACACATCACAACCGGAGGTACTCCGATCAGTGCCACCCAGTTAGAACGCATATCTACCGTTTTCAACCACTCCGACATACTCTTCGTCTACGGCTGTACGGAAGCTGGCATCGTAAGTACATTTAACCCAATCACGGAGCAAGTACTCATGCGTACCAAACTCGGTTCTTGCGGCAAGGCAGCCCCCGGTATGACCATCAAGATTGTTGATGTATCCACCAATCAAACACTCGGAGCTAATCAAAAAGGCGAGGTTTGTGTGAAATCGTGTACCACGATGGAAGGGTACTACAAAGCTGCCAGTACCGCAGCTTTTGACAGTGATGGTTTTCTGAAAACTGGCGATATAGGATACTATGACTCCGACGGGTGTTTGTATGTTATTGAAAGACTGAAAGAGATGTTTAAGTATTTGTCTTGGCATGTGGTACCATCGTCGATAGAGGCGGTACTCCTTGAACATCCTGGGATTAAGGAAGCTGTGGTTTTTGGGACACCGAAGAGCGAAGAAGAGGGAGAAGTGCCGACGGCTTGTGTTATTTTGAAGGAAAAGGGTTGTGTGCGGGAGGAAGAAATTGAAGAGTTTGTGGAGAAGAGGGTTTCGGATTACGAGAGGCTGAGAGGAGGGGTGATTTTTGTTGATGAGTTGCAGAAAACCCCGAGTGGGAAGCTGATGAGGAAGGAAATTAGGAACAATATCCTACGGGAAACTACAAAGCTATAATTGTTGTTTCAGTTGTTGAGGTTTAAATTTTAATCTGTTTGGTGTTTTGATGGCGGAGCCGGATATTTGTAATTGTAGGTTTGAAATTGAAATCATTGTGCATTACGTAACGCTTGTATTTTTAATATACCTGAATTTAAAATTCCTCTTCATTGTTATAAAAAAATACCATGCAAATTTTAGAAGAAGCTGTATATTTTTTGATACTCTAGTTATAATAAAATATTGATGTGCTGGTTTTTCCTGTTGATATTTATTCCAGTAGAAAGATGTCAGTGAAATGAATAATTAATTTTTCAAATTAAATTTAAATAAAATCAACTCGATCCTTAGCTGCGTATGTTATCATGAAAATGATGCTGGCAATATTTATCCGCATTGAAACCACTTAGTCATCGTGTGTAATTTTTTGTACCCACATAGCTCGCAGAGCTCGTTTATCTCGTAATAAATTCATAATATAACAATAAAACAAAATCAGAGTTCATCTATTGAACGTAAATGAAGCATTACCAGTAAGCAATAAAATTAAATACTACTGTAAACAAAAAATAACAACAATGAATTGCCCAAAAATACTCCGTTTACAAACACATCAACTTCGGACTTATCGCGTGATTGTTTGTGATAAGAACAAAGTGATAGTGGAGATTAACAGTGATTAAACAATAAAACTAGAGATGCCCTACATGCAAACTATTTATTGTTGATAAAAAAAAACAAGGCTAAGCTACCTACCTACGAACGTGGCTTGTGATAGCGTCCTTAAATTTTCAAAAATGAACCTAAATAAATATGGTGAGTTTAAACAGAAAATCCACATCTGATACGCACTCCACATATTGAAATTTCTTTACACAAAAAAATCAAAAGCAGAAACCATCAGTCAGTTATGCTGTGTTCATTTTAACACGTGACAATCTATTTCAGAAGACATCACCATTTCGAATGACTATATAATCACTACTGCAGATGCACCAATAGAACCCACTCAAAGTTTGGGAGCTGCTATGTTCACCAACCTAAGGCTAAACCAAGAGAGCATAGCACAGGTACCCATCTACCAACTATTATCAACTAAATACACCATTTTTTAATAGATTGACGCCAAAACCGGCCAACAAGACACCTTTGGTCAACTTCTGCAACGTTCTATCCGAACTGTTCTTCATATGAGAGACAAAGGTATAACCCGTGACCATATCATCACCCTTTGCGCTAAGAATAACCTTAACGTTGGAGTACCATACATTGCCACACAATTCCTTGGTGCTAAAATGGCCTCAATCGACCCGTCCTTCTCACCACAAGAAATGAATCATCTTCTTAACACGGTACGTCCGAAAATTATTTTCGCAACTTCCGAGTCAGTACGGGCTATTGGCGAAGTGCTGAAAGAGATTTCTCTAGATGCAGAACTAGTGGTTTTGGGGAAAAGTACCAAACATACTGAGTTTTCAGAGTTTCTTAAGCCTCATGCAGACGAAGATAAGTTCGAACCTGTTGAAATACACGATTTGAAAGAAACGGCACTTATTTATTTTAGTAGCGGTACTACCGGTTTGCCTAAAGGTATCTGTTTAAACCACTACGGTTTTCTGGGACATTCCTTAAATAGCAAAGTTTCGAAAAACGTGGATGAGGAGTGGTTTGCTTCGGTACTACCGCGAATGTCGTTCCCTCCAACTATTCTTCTTTATACTTCCCAGTACTGGATTTCGGCTGGGGCGATGCTGTTGAGTTCGATTCTTGAAGGATACTGTCGTTTAATTTGTGAAGATTTCGATGGAAAAGAAATTTGGAATTTATTTCAAAGATTTAAGCCATCAGTACTCTTACTGACTCCTGTTCAAGCAATAGAGATGTTGGTAAATAAGAGAATAGATGTTGATGTTAGCTGCATCATAAGTATCATAATAATAGGAAGTGCTATTTCCAAAGAATACGTTTTAAAATTAAGAAGTACCTTTCCACAGACTGATATTTATAGTGGATACGGACAAACCGAAGTTTGTGGACCCGTCGTTATGTTTAAACCTATGGACAAACATCACAGGGAACTAAGTAAAAGGTCCGACAAGATAGAGTCTGTGGGTCTTCCTATGCCCGGTACTTCATACAAGGTATGTATGTACTACTAACAAAATATTTCAATACCCCAATTTCATACCACGATTGCGGGTTGTGGACACCGAAACCGGCGAACACTTAGGACCCAATCAACGGGGCGAACTCCTCCTCAAATCCAAATTCACAATGAATGGATATTACAAAGTTGACTCTTCAGACACTTTTGATAAAGACGGTTGGCTGAAAACTGGCGACATCGTGTACTACGATACAGACCTGTGTTTTTATATTGTGGATAGGATAAAAGAAGCCTTCAAGTACCAAGGATGGTTTATAGCACCCACTGTTCTCGAAAACGTGTTGCTTGAACATCCTGCCGTCAAATTAGCAGTAGTGATCGGCATACCGCACAATGATGGTCATCACCCTATGGGTTTGGTAGTCCTTAATGATGATTCCGAAGTTAGCGAAAACGAACTTGAGAAGTTTGTAGAAGACCGAGTGCCGGAAAGGCAGAGATTGAGAGCTGGTGTTAGGTTTATTAAATTGGTTCCTGTTACGGTTACGGGAAAAGTTAAGAGGTCGCAGCTGAAACAAATGGTTTTAGGAGGAAAATTATAAGTTTTTAAGAACTTTTTTGCTTATTAAGTATTATTACAATTTTTCACACAAATTGCATAATATATAAATTTGAATAGAGCTTAAACAATAAAAAAATATACATATGTAGGCATATTGTAATGATTACCTCTAAATTTGATAGGCGGAATGAAATAAAAATCGTTTCTATATATCTTAGTTTCCACATAACACATGTATTAAAAAAATACTCCTATTAATTAAGGGAACATATTAAATTGCATTTTTTTATAAGTAAAACAAATCATTGTTACAATTAAAATAAGTTCAAAAATTATGTCGAATATCCTAGAGATATTTTTTTACATAATCATCCTGAAATATTACAGAGCTCATAAAATAGGCACCACGTACTGATATAAGCACATATCACTTTTAATTCTCAGTCATGACACACTTATTTTAGCTGTGTAACATAGATAAGTGATAATGATAAGACATTGGACACTGTATCGTAATATGTACCTATTTAGATACGTATAAATACGTCGTGATAATTACGCAACTCGGTCTAGTAGCGTAAACCATGGCGAACCAAAGCACTAGTAGTAAGTAGAATTTAAAATAATTTCACACTTTTTCTTTGAACAACAAACATTGTTCATCTTGCAGGTAAAATCTGTGACGAGCCGCCACTAAATTCGTTCACGAGAAAATTGTAACTAAAAAGACTAATAACAAACCCTCAAAACATAACGCGAAAATTTGCAAATCTTAATTAATTAACACGCATGTTCTAATCGGCATATAGTACCATTCAAATAGATAAACAAAAATCAACTATCAATCCCCAAATGCAGGAACAAAACTCGCGTATTCGCAAATTGCGAATAACATTGCGCTTGCCAGACATTGCAAATAAATTGTACAAAATAATGTGCCAGAAACATCGCCAATCGCAATTACTCTCATCTAAAAATTGTATCCAAACCAAAACAGCTGCAAACGAAACGCAGACGCATAAAAAACATCAAAGAACGCCGTCGCTTCAAACTTACTACGTCATCAACCCAGCAGTGCATCTGTGCACGCACACTCATCTTAGCCCTCGCTAGAATAATCCCCACTTCATCCCCGGAACTGAGATTTCATCAGCTTCCCATATTTTTACCATATAAGGAAGCGGACTTACCGATTGGTCGACGCATCTTCACATTTTCATGACCATATAAGGGCATATAGTACCACACAAAAGCACGGTTCTATTTCTGTCCAAAACGAAGCTATATAAGGCTGAATTTCGAGCAGGAAAGAGATTCAGTTTAGTAGAGTTTCCAGTTGCGGCCGAAGGCCCTGTAGAATCGTTGGTCGAGATTTTTATTAATTTTGCTGAATTTTGAAGAAATCCGAACTTAGAAGAATTTGCTGAGCCCGAGAGGAAGATAGAAAAATTCTCAATGCTGCAGCTGTGTAAGTCTACCTTTTAGTCATTCTTAATTTATCTTGCTTTCCGTTTTTTCGTCATGTGTTCTCGAATTCGAATCGTACATGTGTAGCGTTTAATTTATGCGTTTTCTTCGTTACGTTGGGTGTGAACAGTTAGCGCCGGCACAGAAAGTAATCTTTAGTGCTTCCATATGTTCCCGTTTGCAGGTGGCACGTTTATTAGCCTTGCGTCGGTTCTTGATTGTTGGGGAGGATTTTTCGATAAATTACCGTTCGCTTTTATGATAATTATTCCAAATTTCTGTAAATTGCCGATTTAACTCTTTTGCTTGCGACATAAATATTTTATATGCGTTTTTGGAGAGGATTTTTCTGATTTTTACCGTTTGCTTTTATGATAATTATTCCAATATCTCTTTAAATTTGCCGATTTAATTCTTTGCTTGCGACATGAATATCTTATGTGCGTTTTTGGGAAGTTCCCGAATTGAAACCTTTTAATCTAATTTTCTTGCTGTCGATTATTTTATATTGAATTTTTGCCGTTTAAATATGACTCCGTTCTCTGATTATTTTGCTATAGTATTTGGAAACCTCACATTATATTTTATTTTAATCGTCTCATTGTATTTTAGCGCATTTATGATACTAATGTCCCAATGTTTAACTGCAGGTATAAATTATGACTGTTTATTTTTACATGTATCTAACTGTCCTGTAACCATCAATTTTTCTCGTGAACAATTGTTGTGCTCGGCATATTTAGCTAATCGATGTATGTGAAGACTTATTTATCTCTCTTTTTACATGTTTGTATTCATAAGCTGTCGTAGATTTAAGTGCATGATTTTAACCCGTTATTTTAGTTGTTCTTATAATCAGTGGAGATTTCTTCGAATCCACTGAATTATTGGTTTTATTATTATTTTAGTTGTTTTAATGATTTAATTAATATATAAATGCCCAATCGCAATTTATTTAAATAATTAAGCAATGATTCCATTTAGTAGTTAGTAGTTTATTTTTTTTGGTTATTTATCATGCTCGTAATATTAATATTGTTTAGAAGGTGTTGCATTTAATTAAGGATTTACCGAATTAATTTTTAGTCTTTTTGCATGCTGATTTTTCTAGGATTAAGTTTATTAATTAAAAATGTGGGTTATGTTCATAGATTTTAAGAGTTTTATTAGTGGAATATAACTGCGTAGCGCTTTAGAAGATAGTTTTGCATGTTGTTTTGTTTTTTCGTGTTATGTGTGTGAATTTATTTTATGTTTTATTTTTCTGTTGATTATTTACACATTTACTCGATTATTCTTTTGACATGCTTATTATGCTTTCTTTTAATATACGTATAAAAATGTTATATATGTTTAATTATTACCTCTTCCCCTACATGCAGTTTAGCTCTTCCATTTCCAAGGAAATGGGCCTACACCCAAATAAATAATTTTGTTAGTGTCCAAAAGCTCGGCCGCGGTCAAAACTATTTGGGCACGACAAAATGGCGCAGTCGGTAGGATCATTCGCTGAATTGCAAAAAAGGGAAGTTGTAATAATGAATTAACAAAAAAAAATAAGAAAAATCCAAAGCATTTCACCCTAGAAATTACGGTAGAATTAACGTAGATTTAACTATTACGAAATAACGGCTAATAACAAAATGAATTCAGTGTTAATTTCATAGCGACAATTATCGCGGCCATCTTGTCGAACCGCCGTGGCAACTTAGCCAATTCAGCTCAGCGTAAGCTCGTGCGTCGCGCGACTATTTTCAACCCTTTTCGGCCGAACTTATTTCGAACGATCGCGCCGGAAAATTGAAAATAATTTTGCATGATTTTAATAAACCGTTCTCATAAGAAGAACAAATTAGCAGAAAAATTAAATAAATAGATGTTATAAACCGCATAAAAGAGATTTTAGAAAAATCTAGTAAGGTTAATGTAAATAAAATTAATTTTGAGCAATTTTTAGTATAAAATTAGGCATTTTACTTTTTATCTAAACAACGGCCTTTATTTATCAAAGAAGTTTATTTTCTATCGAGCACACTTATTATGATAATTCCAGAAAAACATTAAATTCGAGAATTCACGCAATTTATTCAACTAGAGTGCACACAGAGTTTAAGTACTTCTTACTTACCAAGTTTTGTCTATAAGATACTAAAATTTTTTCCTCATCTTTTTCACTTTCGCACTTTTAAATTATGGAACAACTTTTCTTTTAATTACATCCAGTAGCACAGCAAGCTTATGAAATAAACACCAGAAATTTTCAATTACTTCAAATTTATTTTAAATTATAAGACATACACCATAAGAACACCATCATGTATAATCACTCCACCGACAATTTAGTTCGGAATAGGCGACGATCGCAGTGTGAGTCAGTAGTACCACCAGGAACTGACCAGATAATATCCCAACTCGCGAAAAATTCGGCGGTGATGGTACAAAGTCCGCTTCGTAGGTAGGCAGAAGTCTTCGTTGTACCTCAACTACGGGCCTTTTGCTGGTTGCGGGGCGCGATGTCGAAAGTCCGTCCCAAATCGAACCCGCGATTTCTAACGTGGAAACGACGCGAATTTGATTGACAAGCTCGCAAAGCGTCTAGGCGTCGAAGAAAAGCTCTCCTCTGTCCGAAGATAACGTAGAAAATCGGTAGAAACTCGTCGTTGTTCACCTATAAAAAAAAAAGTAATCGTTGAAAAGATTTCATTACAAAATTAAAGTAAATTAACAGACATACGTTTGAACCATTGAGAACACAATAGAAAACAAAATTATTACTTACCTATTTCTGCTTTTGCTTGCTAGATTAATTTTCACAACAACAGACACGATCTTGCTTGTATCAAAAATCACTGAACACTAAAACGGTTTTCTCAATATCTTAAGTTCCCAAATTTAGAAACAGTGCGACAAGACGGTTCTCTCGCTTTAACGAACCCCTAATTGGTGCGAAGATGCACCCGAATTGCGCCCTTGTGGTTAGACGACACCAGATGTCACACAAACAGTGATTTGCATGTTATACCATAACTAATTGCTCGCACTCTCGTTGAATATGAAAACTTTACATACTGGACTAAAGGAATAAATAAAATTGTTTACTGGAATTTTATTACGAAGTACTAAAGAAAATACTTTCGCTTATTTTGTTTCGTTTATTTTTGCAAAAATATCTTATCGTTATGACTGTCAATACCGGTAATGTGCTAACTTTTTTCACGCGAACGCTACAACCCTGCAAGTACCTTTCCGAAATGCATCAGTACAAAACCCGTGCAGTAGCGCAGTTCTTAATCGCGATCCCCCAACTCAAGAAGTCGTACCAGATGTTTAATAAAACACGATAGCTTCCCCTGCCTAGTGCATCTTTCACAGACCCAGATGTAAATAACATACTATAGTTTACCTTAATTTCGCAACATCAGAATAAATGATAAGAAAGAACAATTTATTTAAATACCGCTTATGCATATAATAATTAATAATAAAACCCAACGAATTCATTCTGTTTGGTGAAGGATATTCACCCTGACTCGGAACAGCTGGGACCGGAAGCGCTTTTGAGATAAAACAGTAAAAAAAAATCATTTTCGATATTTAAATAAAGTAAAACAAATTTAAACAAATACACAAATCATTGCTAGCATTGTCACGTACGTTTTGACGAAATCATTAAAGAATTTTCATTTAAATTTTATAAAACCTACTTTAAATAATTACAGGCAATTTTTAGCTTTTCGACTCTAAAATAACAAAAGAAAAATCAATATATAAACCAATCAGTCAATCATTGTTTTTTGTATATGAGCCATGCCTTACTAATTTTTTTTTCCTGAACGTTTAATTCATATTTGATAAAAATAGAACCTTTGTCTGAACTTTGATAAACAACACATCAATTAACTAAAAAAAAAAATTTTGTTAGATTTTCTGAAATTAGACTTTAAAGATGTCCATAAGTAATTTTGTCTTGTTGAATTTAAGGAAAGAATTTTATAAACCACAGTTAAACTAATAAACGAATTCGATTTGGATTTTTACGTAAAAAAAAAGACCTTTTGTTTTGTTGAACTTCCAGCATAAAAATAAAGTAATAATAATATATTTAAATTTTAATTTTTGGAATAATATAAAGAAAATCAATCA